ACTCCTGTGATTATCTTTGCTTTGTAATGCAACAGTGTCTCGATGACTCACACTTTGTTTCTGATATATGCCGACAATCATTACTCCATTTCACATTTCATTACTCCCCCCAAACGTGAGTTTAAAACAGTGTTTTTAATCTGTTTTGCTTTGAACAAGCGTGAGCAGCACAAGATGAACAATTATTCTGATGCATTCAGCTGAATTCTGAATGGCTGAATTGTTATGTTGCTAAGGGAATGTCATGCTTGATTCCGTGTGGGTTATGTAAACACAAGACCAATTGCCATGTCTACGAAACGAATATAGGAGGAAACTTGTACAACCTCATGAAAAGCCTTTATTGCAACTCGACATGTTCCATCAAAATCGGTGAAAACCAAACACAGCCTTTTTCATATTCCAGAGGTGTACGCCAAGGCTGTATTTTAAGCCCTCTTTTATTTAACCTCTATTTAAACAATGTACCACATTTATTCGAAAACACACACCTTATCTGACCCATTTGTTCTTCCAAATGGGAAAAAAAATAAATTCACTTTTGTACGCAGATGATTTAGTTATTCTATCAAGATCGAAAACTGGATTACAGAACTGTTTAAATGCGCTTTCCTTGTATTGTGACAAATGGAAGCTAAAAATTAATCCGAAAAAAAAAAAAATTATGATATTCCAGAAACGCCCAAAAAAAAATCTATTGACATCAAATTCCAACATAGGCAGTGAGTCAATTGAAATTGTCCAAGAATACACTTATTTAGGTACACGTTTAACTCCAACGGAAACTTTACACTTGCACTCGAACACTTAAAAGAAAAGGCCCTTCACGCGTTTTCTAGTATTCGGAAGCGGACAATTCTTAACAAACTTAATCCTAATACTGCATCCCATATTTTTGACACCATGGTATTCCCAATCTTAAGTTACAACAGTGAGGTATGGGGGAGTGTACACCAAGCAAGATTTTAAAAAATGGGATAGCTCCCCAATAGAAAAAGTCCACCTCAAATTCTGTAAACGTTACTTAGAGGTTAACAATAAGGCCTCTAACATAGCTTGCAGAGCTGAACTTGATAGATTGCCGCTGCTTATCCCGATAAATCAGAAAATTATGAAATATTTTGTTTACCTCAACAACAAAGATAATGACTCTATAGTCAAACAGTCTTTCCTTATGTCAAAGAATCTACATTCAGGATATTTTTCCAATTTCATAAACATGTTTGAACAATACAATCTAACCAGTTTAGATGCTGAATCTCTAGATAATGATAAAATTAGACGATATACCACAGAAATGAGAGAGAAATATCTATCTTTTTGGTGGCACAGCCTTGAAAATTCAAAAAAACTAGAATTTTATAAAACTTTTAAAGACGAATATTCTACATCTGATTATCTCTACCAGATAAGACGTTATGACGAACGACAGAATTTTGTTAAATTTAAAATAAGTAATCACAAACTTATGATTGAACATGGTCGATACCAAATCGATCATTTGCCAAGAGAAAATAGATTATGTCCTTTATGTAACTCAAATCAGGTAGAAGATGAGATTCATTTCCTCTTTCAATGTAACAAATACTCAGTACAGAGACAGGCATTTATTAATCAAATCAATCGAATAATACCTGACTTTGACAAGAAATCATCTCCAGAAAGCATAAAACTGATAATGAATTCGAAGGAACATCATTTTAAAATACATATGTTTTTGTTGTTGTTGTTGTTTGTTTTTACTACAGTCTGCAAATTATATTCAAACAGGTGTTGTGGTCCGGTTTTAGCACGCAGGTTCGATACTATTTTATTCATATTGTCTTGAGTTTCATTAGTGTTATAAGGCTCGATTTCGTTTGACTGTAAATATCCTAGCGATTAAATATGTGTAGGCCTGAAATAAACAACACAAGCTTGTAAGGGTTACTACACAGCTGCCATGAGAGACGAGAACGGATTTCGCAATACAATTTGTACTGCAGTGTCCAATGAATGTAACACTGTAACTGTTTGCTTACCGATTATAACGATGTACAAAGAAACCCTGAATCTTGGAATATTCCTTGCTCGATCCCTCTGAGATCCTGGAGATCGCCATATTTGATTTTAGACACAACTGAATTATGGGTGCAGCACAGGTCACCCAGATAGTTAGGGCCTGTTGATAGATGCTAATCTTTGCGGACAGAGGTTAACAGTAGGGTTGGCGAAAAACCGTGCGTTTTATATTACAGAGAGTGAAGTTCGCGCTGGGAGGGTTTTCTTGTTTGTGAGAAAGTGTATTCTTACATAATGGAGTAGGCCATTTGCACGTGGTGTCATTTTACCATTATCAGGGTATTGCTTTCTTGTGCAAGTTAAGGCTTTTGTTATTAAAACCTTACTGGGACTACCAAATTTAAATAGAAAAGAAAAAACGAAATGAACTCTGGTCTTAGTAGTAAAAATAAAGGGATACGTCATCGTACAAATGGCCCACGGAGCTGTTGCCCGCGCGAAGCCTGGGTTTTTGCCCCGTTTGGGGCAATTACACAGTCCTCCGCGGCCATGCGCAACTTCGCTGCAAGAGATCACGGTGAGTGAAACTGCATTAGTTTTTTTGTTTTTTTTTACTTTCACAAGTAGAAGTCTTGACGTTTCTGTCAGTCTTTAAATGCCGGTAACTCTGGGAGACACTCGAGCAAAAGCTCTTGGTTCTTGCCGCAAGAGTTACCGGCAGGTAATTGGGGTTAAAACGAGAACGGTAAATAGGACATCTTGCTTGGAAACCGCAAGAGGTGCTCCGAATATTTCTCTCTCAAAGCTACTATTAACTTGAACCAGTTAACAAACTTTAGTAATGCTAGTATTTTATGCTGCGATACTTCTTTCCCTGAATTGCTGTTGCTTATTATTATTTATTATTATTATCTTTTTTCACCAGAGAGGGAGTAAAGCAGTGGTCACTGCACTAAAGGAGCCTAAAGAACTTTGACCCTTTCGAAAAAAACAGACCCAACGGACAATACAAGGACCACGGAAATAGCATACTAGATTGCTTACAAACCCTGTGTGCTTTAAGAAACCTTTTCTGGCCAAATTAGAAAGATCACCATGGCAGATTATAAACTACAAGAGATAGCTAACACTTGTGTTATTTCTGTCTGATTTCACCTAAAAAAGGTACCTATCTAAGAATTCCAGCCGTTGGCTAGTGTAGCTATCTAACTTACCGCCATACAGTAGTGGTGACACACGCAAGCATTGAAATCAGTGCATACTTTTTGTTCGTTATACTCCTCCCATATTAGTTGTTGGGACAAGGGCCTCAGAAGCCGGTGGGGGGGGGGGGGTTTGAGGGGAAAGGGGCGTGATTCGCTGGCCAACCTCTACCACACTTGAACGAACCTTAGCCACTCTAAGGCCTTTTTGGTAATTCAGAAGTTACGTCAATTTGGAGACCACAGAAAAGGCATCCATTTTTTACACAGCCTCTTCTGTTGTAGGGTACCTTTTTCCAAAATCAGACAGATATATATATATATATATATATATATATATAGCGAGCGCGCGCTTTTCATTCTAAAATTTAAATTTCAAACGTTATATGTAACCGTTTTTATCACGCGATCACTTTTCTTGACGTAGACCCTGACGCTTCAGTGTTATAATGGAGTTTAACTGAAGAGTGGGTCACCTTTTCGGTGGCCTACGAAACAGGCTTGTATTAAACACCCATGTACTCAGGATTTGAGTAGTTCACCTACTGGTCTATATATATATATATTTATATTTACCACAGGTAAGGTACTTCAACGTTAACATTGATTTATATTATATAATTAGCGATTAGCGATATTGCTTTAAAATAACAATCGGTTGCACACAGAGATTGTTTGGGTCTCCTGAGGTTTTTTCTCCAGAATTTGGACCTCACATTAACCATCCTCCGAGACCCAGGGGCAGTCAGTCAGACCGGGTTAAAACGCGCGACGAAAGTTTTCAAGCATGGGCTGAAGAGCCCCTGGGTACCGACTCTCACCGGACCATTTCCAAACTGTCAAGAGAATGCTGGTTCCTGATTGGGCACAAAAAATGCTTTGTATTATTGTGCCCAATTGGGGAACAGCATATCCTGAGTTCTTTTCGTGAGTTCGTACACAACGGCTATCATCTCGCCACAGTTGCCCGGTTCGTTCAGCAAGCATTGCTAACCAGAAACGAAGGAACTACCGATCACTACTATCAGCAGGAGCAATTTAATTTGCACTGAGAAAATTCTGTTTCTGACGGATCACAATGTATCGTAAATAAATGATGAAGCGGCTACGAGAAAGTAAAAAAAGCAATTGCTTGACATGGCAAAACAACAACTTTGCACGTGGATCAAGCTTTTTTGTATAATGAGAGAAAATGAGAGAAAGGAACCTCTCTCCTTTCTCTCATTTTTGCCTCGTCGTGAGAGACCTCTGCTAGCAGGGAAAACTTGAATACGGCTAATAGAAGTTCAGCTCCAGAAGAGCTCGCTTGCATTTGACAAAGTAAGTGAGTTGGAATAATCACGATAGAGACTGAAAAAATGTGAGTTCACTCTTCATGCGAATATTTCGTGGTTGTCAGCTCTCGTGACATACAAAACTCCCTAAGATTTATGAAGGCGCGATCGATGCAAGCGTGAATACCTAGCCTGCGAGCGAGCTCTCCTATTTGGGCGAGTGAAATGAGTCTCGCGAGAACGCGCGAGCGAGCTGCGAAGCCCCTCGCTCGCGCGTTCTCGTGAGGCTCGCCTCGCTTGCCCAAATAGGAGAGCTTGTTCGCAGGCTAGTGAATACCTGCCAGTTGTAAGCTCAAGCTTGTATTTTTGGAAAAGCGTCTTTAGTTTTCGTGTAGACAGTGGTTGTCTTTACACTCGGCTGGCAAGTAAGACTTGAGAGCTGGTAAGCTTTACTTAACCAAAAATGCGTGTTTGAAGGCCTAAGCAAAATCTCAAGTACCCGGTAACTTTACTTTGCGTCTCATTAAAACCGACCGAACTTACGGTTTCCAAGCTTTGAGAAAAGCGAAACATGTCAATCAATCTTAATTATGTTGCGTGGGAAAACCTGAAGTGAAAAAGATAGGTTGTGTGTGAAGCTTTCTTTTCCTTGAAGAATTTAAAATTTAATTGTCTTGAAATATTTCTTAGCTTATTTAGGCTCTAGTGTTAAGACTACCAGTATTTTGAAATGTAGCTTTTATATCAAACTGAAAGATTCCTGACTGCGTGCATTTCTTTGGTGCATGAGCCAGGCAAGCCGTGATCGAGTCAATAACCGTCATGTACGAACTCACGAAAAGAACTCAGAGGATGCTGTTCGCCGATTGGGCATAATAATACAAAGCATTTTTTGTGCCCAATCAGGAACCAGCATTCTCTTGACCGTTTGGAAATGGTCCGGTGAGAGTCGGTACCCAGGGGCTTTTCCGCCTGTGCTTGAAAACTTTTGTCGCGCCTTTTCTCCCGGCCCGACTGACTGACCCTGGGTCTCCGAGGATGCACATTAACCTGACAAGTTGTGGATGCTTTCAGTGAAAACCCCGCATTTTGGTTGCTATGATACTATGCACCTTAAAGGTTCCCTCGGTAACTGTGGCGATAAACTGCGCATTTGTATAATTTGCATAGCGATGCATTCCTTTCTCGTCAAAATCTTAGCCCCAGAGTCAGTAGCTTGCGTGGCAGGCGTTCGAAAGGATAGGGGAAGTGAATTTGGGCGCGACGTGCCCGAAATCCCCTTTCCCTCCCTTCCCTTGCAAACGCCTGCCACGCAGGCTACAGAGTCAATTTTTTCTGTATCAAGTGGGTCTACGATGAACTTGCATCAGTTAGAACGGTTTCCGTTTGAACTTGAAATGGTTACGGACGAAAAGAATACCCGGCAACAAACTAACAACAATACAAGAATTTGATTGGGTTAACCTGGCTCGAATTCCAGCGTGGAGTCCGACGGAAAAGGTAGATTGGTTTTTCCACGGTCAGAATGCTCCAAACAGAAAATCCGTGTTGCATTCCCTTGAATTCGTGGTCTTTTCCCGCTAACAGGGAATGATTTGAGAAAATAGCAAAAGCGATTTCCCTGAACCTGTGGTTTCTTCAGCACTTGAACAGTCGCGTTTCGCCGACGAGTCGTTCTGCTACCGCGTATGGTACGAGAACAAAGTGACGTCTTCGGTTAATTTTGGCAAAGTTGTTTGAATTTTAAAGATATAAAATGTTTTTAATTAAATATTTTAAAAGGATCATTATACAAGAAATAGCTTATATTGTTACATGTAATTTCTTCACTCAGCAACACACTTTCAGAACCAGGAGTGATATCTCGGATTTTTTTAAAAAGAGTAAACTGACAACGAGCGAGACTGAACTAACAGAGCGATTTTCGGTTGAACTTGAAAAGTATTTTCCATAAGTATATTTATTTGTTTTATCAGCCAGTGGTTGCCGGAAGGTCGAAACATGGCCGGACTCGCTTACTGACTCCTTGAGGTCAAAAAATGCATCGTTCTAGTCGAGCCAAGTCAAATCATGGAAAACTTCTTTCCGTCAATCCATTTTTGTAGCTTTTTATAGGAATGCGTTGAACCAACCAACAGCCGCTCAGGCCTGGTTCATACGGGTACTTTTCATGTGCCGAACCTAACTGAATAAGTTCGACTTTGGAGCGACGCTGGCGCGACATCTGATTCAGACGGCGTACCGTGTGTCGAACCTAAGTTAAGTTCGACAAAAGTTCGACAGACTCTGTCGAACTTAATGCTTTTGCCGCACCAGACTAAAACTGCCGCACCAAATTGATTCAGACGCCGCTCTTTTGCCGTACTTAATTCATCAGTTAGGGCCTTAGCCTGTCTCTCCCACGCAGACATTCTTAGGGCTCTGTCACGCGCGCGTTTCGCCTCCACTAACGGGGGAGGGTTACGAAGTCCTAAAACGTCTGTGTGGGACCGAATCTTACAGGAACTGTTTTAAACACCAGGGGCCTCTCGGTTCTCGAAATGGTGTCATTTGAAACAGAAGCCCGGACAAAGTTTGAAAACAACTCCTTGTCTAAATTCCTGTATACTGTCAAATTTCTGGAATAAGTGCAATGCAGAAGTGTATAATTATTCCCAAGAGGGGGGAGGGGAGGTGCTGTAATCAGTAGTATCATAGTTATCGGCTTTAAACGGGGGGGCGGGGGGAGGGGTGGTAAGAAGTTAGTTCAGCTATTGTACAGGGTAGGGGGGAGGTTTCGAGATGACTTTTAATCGTATTGTACTCATTTTATAACCTCTTCATAATTAATGCACAGACCCTAAACGCTGAGGATATTAAGTCTCACTGCATGTTTCTTTGACCGTTGATTCTCTAAAATTAAGTGCTTAAAATACAACAGATTCGCTATCTGATTCACTATTTTTGGGGTGTTTACTCTATAAAGCGCTTGTGTACTTTTATACTGAGAGGTTCCGCCCCGAGGTCCGACCCTTTACCCTTTATATACCATTTTTGACATTAAAGGTACCCCTTTCGTATATTTTCCATTAACAAATGGTACGCCTTTCACATATTAGTCTGGAACGGCTGCATCCCTTGTAATTGCTGTAAATACACGCTCGTTTAAATATGAGTAAATTTCTAAACCAGAAAGTTTTCTTGTCTTTTCACAGCCATAAAATGCGCCAGTTAGCCCCTTTAGATCTTATCACAGGTCGCAATGACATATTTCGCCACCCTTTCATATACTTCAGCTAGTGAAATCCCTATCCTTTCATATACCTGAAGCCTGATAAGGTACCCCTTTCGGGCGGAGCTTCCCCGTATAAACCATTATAGAGAATACCCCCTCCGGGATATAAAGTTTCAAGTGTATGAAAGCACAATGGGAGGACAATCTTGTTCGGGTAAAAGAAGGAACGTTAAGACTTAAAAAGCTTGGCCTTTTGAGAAAAATAAATAGATGGCGGGTCATTTAGTCGAAGATTATATGATCTCCTCGGATAACCTCGAAACATTCCATTAGTTCCGTTCCTACTCGATTTCCGATACAAAATTTGTGTTATTCTGGTTGCTAGAGATTATTAATGCGCGGTTCCTGGCTCCAGTTAAGTGTAAGTGGCGCCCCGTACTCGGACTTTAGCTTGGCCGCTTGGCATAGCTTCGGTGTTGGCATCCGGCCAACTCCGAAGCATCCCATCGCGTGCGAGAAAAAACATCTGTCATTCAGGGTAAGTTTGTATTAGTCGTTATTCCTCAGCAAGAATTTAGACTTTGTGGCTAGGCCTACCTAGTCACTATTCATTACAACAGCCAAACCGTGTTATATGAGAAAAGAGTTTATTAAAATTAATTTAGTATGTAGCGCATGTTCCGTCGTGTTAACAAACAAGGAAGCGCGGTAATGAGAGTTGTCCTCGTCCGTCTCTCTATGACGCACAACTCTGCCTAGCAGCTTTAGTTCTTTTTGGCCTTGAAATTTTCATACTTGGAGTGACTTCGGAACCAGACAAGAAACGGTATAAGGATAGTGGGAAGAGACATAAGACTAAACAGACCCCAATCAACCTGTTAAAAACAAAAGAGTAGAAATTAGTACGGTCTGATGCTTGAAAATGTGCAGACTGATAAATTGTACTTCACTGTGCTGCTCACTGTATATTAATTTTTAAAGCCAAGTTAAGACGGGCAACAAATACGCGTAACAAGTTTCTAAACATTGCTGAAAAAAGAGTGAGAAGCGATGTTGTCACCCACGTTCAAACCTGTCTCTCAACAAATGTTGCAAGTTGCGTGAATACTGACTGTCACTCGCCTTGGGGCCGGGAAAAAGCCTACATGTACAGATTTTGTCGCAAAAAGTAGAACTAATCTCTACAACGACCTAAACTGTTGCAAAGCAGATTTGAACACGCAACATAACTTTTCAACACTTTTCAGCAGCAATGTTTCGAAACAAGTTGCAAGTTTTTTGTTGCCCGTTTTCCCCTTCCGCGGCGAGGGTGTGCCGCTGGGACCCTGGAACCCTTAACCTATACCAGAGCTAGTTGAGCTGAATTTTGCTACCCTATACTAGAGTAAACTCCCCAAATCCCCCCTATCCTAGGGCAGCTGTTTTCCAGAAACTACTGAGGTCACTAGCACAGTCTAGCCAAAACAAAACCTTATACCACAATCCCTAGTCTACATAACATCTTCAACCAACTGATCAGTTTCCTGAAAAATGATACCCTGTTCTAGACCCACACGCTCTGATTTATATACCCTATCCTAGAGTAAACTGCCTGAAAACCATACCCTTCACAGCGACACATACCTATATAGCCCATATATGGCAGTACCCCCCCCCTTCCCACCCCAGCATACATCCTTTATTTGATAAAGCAAATAACTGCTGTGGACCTGCTATCTATGTTACACTATAATGAATTAACATCTAAAAATATATCCTAATATAAATAGTAATAAATAGAAATAATAAACAAATAAATAGATAAGCTTAAGATAACTATGTAAAAATAAATATATAAATTGAAATTAAGTTGACTTAGACAATTTTACAAATGACAGATAGAAGGATGACTAATTAAAATGACTAGTAATAAACCAGATATCAATAATATATAAATTCATCACTATTATTATTGGTTGCAGTAGAGTTCGTGCTGAAAGGAATTTGGTTAATGCATTTAGAGAATTTCTTAATGTTAGCCTTGAGTGAAGAGTAACTAGGCTTGGACTTTAACTGGCTAGGTAAGCAATTCCAAACAATGCTTGCACGATGAGTGAAAACACAAAAGTGATCAACACCCAAAGTGAACCCAACTATTTCCCCAAGGGGAGCTTTGGGGAAAGGTCTAGTGTAACCGCACCTAATGAGTTGCCAGTCATGGAAAAGCCCCACTTACTAGATGTGGTGAGTGCTTGCGATCATATTCCTGCTGAGGCATAATTCCTCCCTCTCCTGGCATTGTAGAATATACAGTCTGAAAAAACATTGAACCTGTTTTGTTTGGTACTATATGGCATTAATAAGCATAAAAAAGAAAACTCTTGGTCTAGCTTAACATACAGCATCAAGATGCTAATTCCAAAGCATTGATTTTATACATTCCAAGCCCGCTTTATGGTAGCCTCCCATGCAGGCATATTTAGGGGAGCACGTTTTTCATCCCTCCCCACAAACGCTTGCTCAACCGAAGACAACATTCCTTTCCCATGCTTAGCCAATCACATTGTACTTTCCAAATTCTGGAAAGTTGACCTTGACCGCAAGGTAATCTGATAATTACTCGATCTGCATGAAACACTGGAAAAACTTTCTGACCTCTAATAAATGTTAGATTCAGAACAGCAAAAATAAGATTTAGTCAAATTTTAGAATACTCCATGCCCTTCATAACCTTAGCGAAGGAAAGAAAAGAAGGAAAACGGTAATTCTAGGGTCACGGTTTAGTCGCGTTTAGCCTGTCAACACTTTATTGCACAACTGCTTATTGGTCACTTACCACGCAAATAAAACAATGGGAAAGGAATGTTGTTTTCAGCTGAGCAGGCGTTTGTGGGGAGGGATGAAAAACGAGCTCCCCTAAAAATGCCTGCAAGGCAGGCTAGCTTTATTTGCACCCACTTAATACTGACACCTAATTATTATGGACAGTTTGCTTTATTCATGGGGCAAGAAAGCTCTGACATTTTCTCTGACATCCCGTTAATACAGATGCTTTCTATTATCCCCTCAGTGTCTGAATTAATGCGGCATGACTATATTACATTGGTTATCGTTTGCTTCTTGTTTTGTTAATTCCTGCCATTTTCAACTTGACTTTACTCATTGTTGAGCACGTATATTTCAACGTGAGCCCTCTTGATTAGCTTTTTCCCTCGTAGGACAAACTTTTTTATAAACATGTTAATAAAAAAAGTGAGGCAGTTTTAGTTATTCTATAGTAAATTTCCAGGGCTCAAAATAAATTTCAGATGATCAATGGCCAGACACGACGTACCGGCCAAAGAAATTTTGGCTTGGTCTAGTATCATTCTGACTTCTTAACTTATCCTTGAAGAGTTTTCTATTTATTAACGTAATTTAATTTTTACAAAGAGACAACATCTAAGATTTACAGGTGAGGATTTGGCTGTATTTTCAAGAATGACAGTGCATGTGAACCTGGTCATCATGACCAGCGAGTGAAGTTTTTGGCCAGTCAAGTCGCCATTCTGGCTGAACATTGTCTGTTGACTGGCCGTCATGTACCTGAGGATCTGTTGCGTCCTCAGAAGCCTTGTATGACACCTGAGCAGACGTGAAGTTGAATACTCCAGACTTCTTAGGTTCAAGAATTAATGTGTGAGAAACATTAGCTCCACTGATCGTTTAGTCAAGGAAAAATTACTGCTAAAATAATTACTATCACAACTCAGATGTTTTTCAAAGAAAGTAATTCTACTGTAAGTGAGTGTCTAGTAACTGTAACGCATTGTGGTTCAATTTCATCCTTGGTTTACATTTCACTTGGCTTAGTTTAAGTTCATTATCATACATTATCACACCCAAAAACAAAGGAAAATAAAATTTGAACCAAGAATGAAAATTTAACCACAACCTAAATACCAGTATGCTTTTAATAGATAGAAAACAATGGTTAGGAGCTATGCTTAAGACTTGCCTGATCATCAAAACACTGATGGGAAATTAGAACAGATTAGTATAGGTAATAGCATGATTTGTATTGATATTTGGCATAAATACCACAAGTGATATTTTGATATTGTTCATGTAATTTTGAAATTTGAGACAACTTTGAAATATCATGAGTGGTATTTATGCCAAATACCACCTAAAAATCATGCTATTATTTGTTTATAGTACTACTGCAAAAGGTTTGTAATTTTCACATGTAGGTATTTCAAATTAAGCTGAAATACCACTGCTCTAAGCCAATCAACTTGTAGAAATTTCTCATGTAGTAGTATCAAATCAAATTTATTTATTTTTTACTCCCAGAATTCAGCCAGGAGTAGAGGTGAAAATGATTGTTACTCTTTCATGGCAATTACATATTACCAGGCCAAGAAACAAGATGAAATCAAGCCATATCCTAAATGTGTCCTGTAGCTCAGTGGTAGAGCATCTGGACTAGTAGAAAGATGGTCATGAATAGGGAGTGCTCAGATTTTTTCTTCTGAGCCACCTGTGTCACTGACTGAAAAACCACCTTTCTCATGTATTCCCCAGGCTCAAAATTCACCATCTGATTTTCTATCATTCCAGATTTTGTTTCGTAAAATACAAAAAAAAAACACACAAAATAATGGTGTACAGTGAAAAAGTACTGCTACCAACTGACTTTTCATTTAAATGCTAAAATCATAAGATTTCTTCTATGGACACAAAAGCGTGAACTATATATTTCTTTCTTCATAATTGACTCTAGAGGTATTCAGAACTCACAAACAATACTATAGTATTAAAAGGATACGGAGCAATAACTTTCCACTTTACGGACAACAGACCATGAAGAACCTTGAATTCATCTGCTGGAAAGGAATTGTCTGCCAAAGACACTGATGTGGCTGGACTGGTGATGCAAACAATAATATTGTTACAAAAAGTCAAAGCATAACATTTACACAACAATGTACTGCAAGTTTAGATGGGACAGGAAGGGAAATCGAAAATGATAAAATTATTAATTTTTATCTTTAATAGTGTGTTGTTAGCCCAAGGAAAAGTTCTCATCTTTGGGATATGGGTGGATTAATTTTCCATTCCTACAAGAGCCCCCATCCCGTCAGTGATGAATTTTAACTGATGTGCTTTGTCTGTCTGGCAGGATGGCATTAAAGAGGTAAAGTAAGTTGAATTTCTTTTAAAGTGCATTTTAGATTTGTCAAGGAAAAGCTCTTCAATTTGGGGTATTGATGAGTTTTCCTCCCCTGCAAATACAGGCAGATTTCTGGACTCTTTCACAGCACTGGGATATGTGAAAAAGAGCAAGGAATTGATGCAAGCTTTTCCTTGCTTTCCTTAAAAAAAAGATAATAAATTATTGTTACCTGTGATCCCAACATGTGTGGTCATGTGAACATAATTATCATCAACTTTACCTACATTACCACAGGGCTCTTGCGTGCTGTATACAGCAAGTGAAGGGATAGAGAAATTTGCATGCAACAACAAAACAGGAAATTTGTCCATGGTCATACACAAAGTTTTAATACTATACTTACTGGTAGCTAAAATCACTCTATTTTAGCACAGAATGAAATCTTACATCTTAGTGTACGTTAAAAACTTACCCACTTCCAACATTGAAGATGTTATAATGGACTGTTAACTCTTTTCCCTCCACAACATACTGGTTCAGAATATTTTTTGAGACAAGAAGCCTGGCACTTGAATCTCCTTCAGCACTAAGGGAAAATCCTATAAAGGCTCCAATAAGAAAGCAAAGTAAAACCTGGAAACAAAAACAATTAAAACTAAGTAAAAAGTGGTTAAGCAACAGAATGCTTGGTCACTTTTAACCAACTAACAAAAGATCTGGCTTTCCTGAATGCACTGTCAAGCCAAACAAGCAACCAGATATAAACCTCATACTATTTAAGTTTGAGGTCTGTACTGTAAACAAGGGTCTGTAATTTACGGTATGCATTGAGAAAACAACATTAGTAAGATGTTTATTATATCTCAGGGTTTGAGAAGAGACTAGAAGGGCATAGATAATTTCAATTCAGGGAGGAAAGCTGTTGATGACTGATGTGCATCAAATGCTAAACACAAGCATCCAAAATTGTGACTTTGAATTAACCAAAACACTTGTTTATCTCTTAACACACGAATTGCAACCACATAAAATTTTAAATTTTCCAGCATACCCTATTTCAGACCTGAACTGCTTTACTTAAGAGACAAAATAAAAAAAAACACACTCAATTCCAGATCCTATAGACTACACGCAGTCTCTTTTTTTTCTAAGTCTGTCAAGTAAAACACGTGAGACACAAAAATGACAACTACCCAGACTTTTTCATCACTGGAGTCAATTGTTCAGCCAATTCCAAGCATGCCCATTTCCATGCATCCCCTTGCCCTTGCTGGAAATTTGTGTGCATTTGTCATTTTTTCTTTTCTTAAGAACAGGGTTGTCATTAAGAGCCGGGGGCCGGGGATTTTCCCCGGCTACTAAGAGAGTGGCCCCCCGCTACTTTTATTGGAAAATAGAAGAAAAATAGAACCAAAAGAAATCCCTAGCCGTTTGATTCACCGCCTACTTGTTTTATTTACCCAGCAACTTGAAATCTTAGTGACAACCCTGTAACAAAGTTGGAAATGCCCCACATTATCTGTGCATGTTAAGTCTTAAACAGTATACTCAGTGGCTCATTTAGCTGGGCAGTAAAGGGCTTAGGTCTACATATCGGTGGCTGTTATATCTCAGCAGTGGGTAGATAAGTCTGTTTATTTTTCCTTTCAGTTAGTACTCAGACCATGATAGGCTAGTTTGGCAGGCTGTATTTCACTGTGTGAGCAATAAATCACAAATTCTGGTCTGAACAGTGCAAATGTTTCAGGAAACATGAAGCCCATTGCCATTTAAATTTTCCAGGAGAGCCTCCCCCTTTTCGTTGATGAGTCTCACTTACACCAGAGAAGATTGCTTAGTTAAAAAACAACAACAAAAAAAGACAAATCAATTTAACGACAATCAAGAGCATGGCACGAGCTTGCACTCAAAGATCTTACAGAGTGCAAGAAGTTAGACTCCCTACGATCATCTTATGTTTTCAATTATATTTACTTATTTTTTTAACATCCAGTTGCTGTAGTGTGGAAGTAGGGAGGTTTTCGAGACCTGTGCTGCACGTGTCTTGAATCAGAGATAATTTATACCCTTTACGTGTTTACTTCAATGTTCATAAGCCAGCATAAACAAAGCAACACGTGAGCGAACCTTGAAATCCTGTTAGCTAAAAAATTCACCATTCTTCCCGGATCGGTGATTAAAATGAAAACTCGGATTACATTTTCTTTCATGGTCTCACATGCAGATAGATATACGATCAGGAAATTCAACATACCACTTTCATTTCTGCAATAATTTGCCCCTAACACCGTTTGTCCTGCCGGATATCGAAGAAAGAAAGAAAAGGAGAAAGAAAGGTGACGTGTTCGAGAACGAGGCCAAGCCACGCGCATGACTCTGTGGGGATGAGTTGAGCCGGCGATGAGGCAACGTCACTTCACAACCAGTTTCAACAAAACAAAGCTCTTGTCAGAGCTCAAAGAAATTGGATCATGTATGGAACACGATCGGGAGATTTGTTCTCTCACCTTTGAGCAAGCTTGCACAGATTTCTTCACGCTCAAGAACGATTTTACATGTAATCTTTTAAGGGGGTGCGACTTTTATTAATTTCTTCCCCATGTGTTGCCGTAGTACTGTTATCCCATTGGTCTTTGTCGATCAGTCTTCTGAGTTGATTTGAAGATGTCTGCTTAAAAATGAACAGTTCTAAGGTGATTTCAGACGAGATTGACGGAGCGACGAGACAAGGCCACGAAGAACTTGCCAAAGGAAACATCGAAGAGGCCTGTAGTTCGTTTGAAAAGGCTGTCCAACTTGCGGAGGATCTCAAGGAGGGCTTTACTGAAAGAGCGTGCTATTTCAACTTAGGAGCATGTTACGTCGCGAGGGGTGATGCTAAACGAGGTGTCGAATTTTTGCTCAAAGCTTTTCCTCCAGAAAAGGAATCAGATGGCGTTACAAACTATGCGGATTTGCAATACAATTTAGCAACAGCGTATGATGCTCTTGGCGAGGTACATGAGGCTGTAAAATACTTTGAAATCGCCGCAGAGGAATATAAGACGCAAGGAAATGAAGAAATGCGAGGGGAAACTCTCCTTAAACTGGGCAATGATTGTACGAATCGCGGTGAAATTAAAAAAGCCGCTGAATTTTATCAGCAGGCTGCTGAAATTTTCCAGGAACTTGGCGATAAGAAGACTCAGCTACTTATTTTAAACAATCTCGCCAGCTTACTGGCGGAGCTTCGCGACATAGGACGCTGCGGAGCAGTGCTAACTCAAGTTATTGAATTGTGCGTTGAAGTTGATGACGTTCCTCTTAAGGGTAAGTTGTTATTCCTTTTGTCAGTGAACGATATTGTTGTAGTTTTTATGTATATTATTACATTTTAATAACTATATGAAGTAGTTAGTACTCAGGCAGACTTAATTGATGACAGTTTTTAGCGCATCAGTCAACATGGGCTAATTGTTTGAAATACCATTACTTCCCATGACAACACGACAAGAACCATGCATTCTCCTTGCAGAGGCTGCAAAACGTTTTGAAACGTGGGGCAGGGTGGGGAGCTCATCTTCCATTCACATACCCCTACTCAGATTTTCCAAATGCCCTTTGCATTGTTCTTTGGCACAATCAAACCTCTCTTCAAAGTGTCTAGTGTTTCCGTAATCGATTTGTGACTAGGCTGTTGTTCAGGTGGCCCTGCTTCATGGTGTTTCTCAGGTAGTTCTGGAGTTGTCTGAGGGCAGAATAGAGACCTTTAGCATCAGGTTTTTCATGAGAAACCGCAAATCGCAGTTCGCAGTTATGCATTTGAAGTTTCACGTTGCTGAGATTTCAGATTTTAGCAAGGCGTCCAGTTTAGTTCAGTTCAGTTCATTTTTATTTAGCCAAAATATAATACAACACAAGAATACATATAGGAATTGTAAGTTGGCAAGGGAGGCCAGAAGACACCAGAAGGCTTATGAAGCCTGGGCTCCCTAGTCACGAAGAAAAAAACACCTTGCCATAAATCACTTACTGCTAGAAGCCTCTCCTGCAGTTCAAACGTGAACTACAAACTGCAAACATGACTGCAAGGCAGTGGTCACATGACATTCTGCGGTTTGTGGTTTGCGGTTTTCCATGAAAAACCTGATGCTAAAGGTCTCTAATATGTGCGCTCTACGTCACAGGTATTGTCAAATACAAATTTTTGTTTGGGTTGGGGGGGGCTCGGGACCCCCTGCCCCCCCTGCTCTGTGCCTTATGCTTTGGAAGAGTTTTAAAATGAAGCCTTCTCAAATGGCATTGTAAATGCTATGGTATAATAAGTGTGAGAATTTATATAAAGAGAGTGTTTATAATTTCTCTTACAATACTGGTACACAATTAGAAACTACTGTAACTTTTACCCAGGGGAAGGTCATCAGCAATTGAATGCAACACATGGAGCACTATTTACAACTGCGTTTAATTTTGACTTATCTATAATATCTTCATTAGGTCAATGTTTTTTGCCTACTTTGTAGCAAGCTCAGCTTGGTTCCAAACATTTTCTGTTTGATATGAGATACTGGCATATATATGTTGACATGCAAGCTGCCAAATCATAATCAAACCTTCTTTGGTTGAATGTCGTACACATGACTCTATAGTGTGTAGAGGAGAACTGTAAGTGTAGCATTTAGCTGAGGTCTTTCGGAGAACTAGAGAATACACCAAAAGTTAGGAATTCACCAAATTTAGCAGAAATGCAATGTTTATAATACTGTCTTGGACGCTCTTAGTGTGACTACATTGTCGCCAGTCTGTACCTAAGACTGTGAGTAGCCATATACATTGTACAGTGCTGGCAATTTTGCCACTAAATTAACTACATAATATTACACCTTACTTGGAGATTGTGTATCGTCCGGTGTCAAGAAAAATGAGGCAATTTAAAAACTGAACAAGCATTGTTGTGGATGCAACATATTGTTTACCTATTTCTCCACTTGAAGTTGGCTTCTTTGATGCAAAAATGATGATTTGAATCTGGCTTTAGAAAAGCGTATTTCACATCTAAACAAATACTGCTTAGTTTATGCACCAACGAAATTTCAGGGCAAAATTTTGAAGTCAGGATAGTGTAGTCACTTAATCCACTTGAAAAAGAAACATGTCATGCTTGTTAACCCTTTAAGTCCCAATGGTGACCAACATCAATATTCTCTTAACACTATCCATACATTGTTAAGAGATTAGGTTATGAGAATTAATAAAATGATCACCAAAGAGAAAATACCTTGATCTTTTATCAAATTCTCTTAACTCATTCTCTAAGGAAATGTATGAAGACCAGTTTGGAGGATTTGTATGTGGATATATCAGACTATATGAGACTGATACATCATTTAATATTCAGACACCAAGCAAGAAGTTGGAAATGAGGTGCTGCCAAACATTTTAGCCAGGTGTTTTACTTTTTGCGGAATTTTATGGCAGTTAGGATTTTGACATCCATGCTCTTTTGATTGCCACTGAGTTCCTTGGTTTCTCTTCATGAATCATAAATGTTTTTAAAAGTCTTATTTCCAAGTGTTTAAGTTGTTGTGAGCTCTTCTAATCAACAAGTCCAGTATCGCGGGGCACCCAACAACGGTTTCCTCTTAAATACATTAAAAACTCTTTTAGGCTATCCAGAATACTTTCAGATCTCTAGAAATGCATTCTTAGTGGCGCTACAAAATTTTTTGTCTGTTTGGTCACCCTAGGGTAACTTGAGCCTTTTCGAATTTACAAGGGTTTTCGTTGTTATTTTTCCAAAAAGTTTAGATACAATTTAAAGTTTTATGACAGGGTGAAAATTTTCCTGATTCCTCTCTTCATCACCGTTTTTAATCCAAAAATTTTAGGTTTCTTTTCCTATGAACAATAGCTGATCATGGTGAGTGAAATGTGTAAAATTCAACTTCAGAAAATCATAGGGAACTTATAAGATAACCTTCGAAAATCATACATGAATGGCACAGACATCTAAATGTTGTAGCTGTTCCCAATAAGCTACAGAAAATTCTAGGCAATTTTAGCTTGTCGGATCAGTTATTTCACAGAAAAAAGTATGCAGTATGTCAAGTCTATTTTCTTTTTTTTTTTTGTTAGGTAAAGTCTACAACGACATTGGTCTACTGTATAATGGATTAAAATCTTACAAGAATGCTGCAGAGTGCTTTGAGCTGGCAATTCCTCTGATGCGTACGGAAAATCCTGACAAGTCACTGGAAGCTGTTCTTCAACAAAATTTAGGAGCTGTTTATAACCAGCTTAAGGAATACAACAAAGCAATGGATTGTCATAGGCAAGCAGTCTCTCTTCATGGTGAGAAACGTGTCATATTTTTTTAACAAGCTCGTCTTGGAGATTGAACTAATCCTCACCCTTACTATCGGCAGAAAATAAATAAATAAATAGCAATTGAGCAATAGCACATCCACAAAATGGTTTTTCGTGAACCATGCATGATTAAATAGGAATTGTAAGTTAAGTAGAGGGGAAAACCGGAGAAACCCAGAGAAAAACCTCTCTGAGCAAGGGTGAGAACCATCTACAAACTCAACTCCCCCCTCTAATACCTAGTGTCTCCCTCCCTTTAGTCCTAATTTGATCATGAAATATTAAGCATTGTTGCGTAATTTCCTCCTTTATTATATAAACACCAATGAAATACCATGTGAGCTTTTGCACAAAAACTTGATGTCTTCACTTGTGAAAATAACATGTTATCTTCACCTGTGAAAATATCACCATTGCTATGCCTTCACACCAAAAAACTATTAAAGTGAAATGGCTGGGTAGTTCATTGGTGTTTGTATAATAAAATTAATAGAACATTACATGGCAGCTTGGAGATACAAAATTTCTCTTCTCGTGTTGAAAAATATTTCAACACTCGAAGAGAAATTTCGTATCTCTGCACGGCCATATAATATCCTCTATATCTCTTCCACTTCCTGCCCTTTATAACTCCCACTTCCCTAGTTTGAAATTTCAGCGGTCTCTTCACCCCTCCCATGGCCACTCTTTGGGGATGTGGGGCGAACAGATGGCTGACATTTTATTTTAGACTACCACATCCCTCTCTTTCCTGTCCTGCCTTTAATACCCCTTCTGTCCCCTATTTTCCCGGGCTCCCACCCCCTGTCCTCCCACACAACTCACATGTACATTCACTGGCACAGTAATATTTGACCCCTTTAGTACCTACATAGTTACTCACAAGTGACTTTCATACCAGTTGATGCATATGCACGCCTATCGGCAGAGTGGTCAGTAGAAGGACTAGAGTGTAGTATAATCAAGGTTGTCTAGTGTCAACGCGAGATTTGACTTGGCATTTTTATTAAGTGACTTTTATGCGTTCAATTCTTTAGGTGAGTTATCCAACAGGTCAGCCCAGGGACAAGCTTTCTGTAACATGGGATTCGCTCAGAGCCAACTCGGAGATCATAACAAAGCTGGAGAAAGCTTCAGTCATGCAATCCAAGCAGCTAAGGATTCGGCTGATAAGAGCGGCTTGTGGCAAGCTTACGAGGGTTTGGCCGCCGTCAGCTTTCTTAAACAGGACTATGACAAGGCTGTGGAGAACTATAAGTCAGCTCTGTCTGTTCTTTCAACTTCTGGGGACGCTGATCCTGACCACAATAACAGGATTGTCAGTAAACTTGCTAATGCCTTGGAATGCCAGTTGGTTCTCGCCAAGAGGTTAAATGGAAGGCTACCTCCTTTAAGACTTGACAGCTTGAAGGGTGATCGCTCGGCAGACAAGAGTGAACGCAAGAGCAAACGGGTGGGAAAAACCCGCTCCAGACAGGAGCACCACCAGCTGATAGCTCGTGGGATTGACGGAGATCAGACTCCTTCAGAGTCGGAGGATTCTTTTGATTGGTCTTCAGAGGAATCTAGTGATGATCAAGAAGAAAGTCAGCATGAGGAACCTGACAAGGGAAAAAGGCGCGGTCCGCAGGGAGTGATAACCACAGAAGCAGAGGTTCATCACGAGAGAGCTTTAATTTCTAGGTCACAGAAGAAGTCTTCGACGGATTCGAGTGTAGAAGAAGCGCCTGTGAGGGAGGAGGGCAGCGCAAGGAGAAGTAAAAGACATCGTCATTCAAGAAAACCCCAAAATACATCGCCCAGAGAACAACTAAAATCCACGCAGGAAGAGTACATCTATGAAGAGCCACCGAATGACGTTGATAACTCAAGAGTATCCGGTAGAGATTTTTCTCCAGCAAAGAGCGACTACTCTGATGACATGCCGCGTGCCCACAGAGAAGCTTATCTGGCGTCAGTACAGGCTGCTAAAGGAACCAGGTCATCACCCAACGGTACTGAAGTGAAAAAAGACAAAGAAAGCGTGCAGTCCAGAACTTGTGTTATTCAGTAGTAGAATTATGGAGACTACTACAACTACTACATATGCGAGTGAAATCATATTTTTTAAAGAATGATAGCAACAGAACGTAATATTTTTGTAAAGTCCGTTTTTGCATTTATACTTCGTTATTGAGAAGGGGTGCTTAATATCTTTTTTTTCAGACTTTGTTTAGGTTCGCGATGTGAACATGTTTTGGAACGTTAAGGTGACAGCAATATTGTATGGTGTTCGTTTAGTAATTCGCAGGGGTGTACCTATCGCGTTAATTAACAATGCAAAAACCGTCAACAAACTTTACCTTTGAATTTCTTGGTTAATGGTTGATCGTTTAAGAAGCTGTAAGGGAGACTTGAAATCGAGTTTAGAATGATATCTAAAAACGTTGACACATAAACGTTAGTCTAAAAAAAGTATTCTGCTTCTAGTCCATCCTTATTTTCTTTTCTATGGGATGAAAATATTGCGTCTCTTGTTTGATACTGATTTCTTGAAGGTATTTTTAATGTTACTGTAAAGCAAAGAAGTTGTCCTTTCTTGTATTCAAGTAAACCGGTTCTGATGTACTCTTAATAATACAGTGCTATTTGTCTTTTGCATTTTACACGATCAGATTTAGCCCAGACATTTGGCGACCCTAATGACTGGTTTCCCCGCAAAATGATGTCTGAGAAACGAGCGCAGAAATTCCATATTGATGACGCGTCACTACCCAGATCTGGGTAATGCTTCTGATTGGTTGAATCAAATTTCTCACTCGGCACGACCAATCAGAAGCACTACCCAGATCTGGGTAGTGACGGGTCTTCAGTATGGAATTTCTGCGCTCGTTTCTTAGACGTCATTTGGCGGGGAAACCAGTGGTAGGGTAGTCTGCTACACAGCCGTTTTTAGTGTCGTCACGCAACGCTCCTGGGGAGGAGCGTTGCGTGACGACACTAAAAACGGCTGTGTAGCAGACTAGTGGTAGGGTCGCCAAAAGACGGCTGTTTTCTCTGCCTAGATCAGATTTGAAATTCGTTGTGCTTTTGATTGAAGGCTCTCTAGGAGGATAAAAAGTTAATCTTCCTGATGGAAGAATTAAATGAAAGTTACGAGCAAATGTATTATAGACGTCTTAAATTAGTGAGGTTCAAATAACAAAATGCTTTTAAAATTTGCACAAGAAAGCAAAACCCTGAAGGATTCTCTGGTGATAGTAGTAAAATGACCGCATCGTGCAAATGGCGTATGGGCTTGGATCGAATGTTAACGATCCTAACGATCCAGGCCAATTTTAGAAGGATTCATATGGAGTCATTGGAGCTTAACGTTTCTCATATCTTCCGGCACCAATTTGCACCAACAGGCTGATTTTTAGCAAGTTAACATTTTCTTCTTGGTCTTTCTGGACGTGCCAACCAATCCCATGATTTCATAAATTTAATTTTTGTAACGTCATCACTTCTATTCTCTATAAACCAGTTTCAAATTCAAAATTCTTTTTTGACTCCAAGGTTGAGTAGAATAAAACAACAACAAAAAACAGAATCGAAGTATTCACCCCTGAATCTCCATACGATTAGCCTACAATTTCTTTCGATTTATAGAGCATTTTCAAATGAGGTCACTGCGGCCATATTGGTGTTCCAAAACAATAAAACGGTGGCCATGTTGGTGTTCCAAACCAGTCCTGTGGGAGTTGATCTCTTTTCTTATGTAAACACTTTCTTTTGTTCTCATAAATTTGCATAGATGCTGGTCACGTGAGTGAAAACTCTCTATACCCTGGGACAAGTCGCAGCGACAATTGACCACTACAGAAAATATCATAACATACCATAATGCTCTTTGTTTGTCACCCCAAAATTTTGCATAAGCATTGTTTTCAGTTTCTCTTGGGGTCATTTTAACTTCCAAGAGAAACCGAAAACAATGTTTATGCAAAATTTTGGGGTGACGAACAAAGAGCTTTATGGTATGTTATGGTATTTTCTGTAGTGGTCAATTCGCTTCGTGTGAGCATAGCTGATAGAGTTGAATGGTTTTGAGACCCTTTACGAAGGCCGTTACACTCCTTTGTTATATGTTTTTGTTAGCTTTTTGACGCACTTGAAGTTGACGGTGCACAACCCTCAATAGCATTCCGGATCTTCTTGACCAATAAGAACGTAGACTGCGAGCAGTTTCTCTTTTTCTTCATATTTAGTGAGGGGAGTGCACGCGCGCGCGAGCGTCAAGCGGCGAAGACGAGGGACGCGAGAAACGAAGGGCCGCAGCCTCTCTCGTCTCGCACCTTCAGTAACCCGCGTGGTCATTTGTGTGTCGCGCGCGTTTTGCTCGATGAACCAAGAAAAAAGAGAGACTGCTCGTAGTCTAATAAAAACGTGCCATTAATTTATTCTCTGTTGACAAAGGATTGTGCATCGTCAGGACGTTCCCAACATAAACCGTAGCATTGTTTTTATCTTTGATAGTTGCTGTCCGTTTATAACAAGGCTCCTCTATGGTGTGACACGGTGGATTTTCATGAAAATCTTTGCTCCTGATCGCAAAAATTCATCCTCCACACAGGTGCGATGTGAAGACCCGTATAAAGTAATAATCTAGAGTAAAAGAGCCTTATTTAAGGGCCCCTAGGCCTCATTATTCCGCGCGACCTGTGCGTTTCGGGACCGAAACAGACTACAAGCGGTCTCTCTTTTTTTCTTAGTGAAGTCCTTAGAGCGAAACGTGCGAGACACGAAAATAACCACGCGCGACTGACGGCGTGAATCGCGGCTTCGCTGCTCGACGTCCGCACGCGTGTACTCCCTTCACTAAATCTGAAGAAAGAGAGAGACTGCTTGCATAAGACCGAAATGAACTGATCGAGAAGGCCTTGGAAGACTCCGAACGAGGACCAAAACTTGGGTAAGGCGAGGACGACTTACAGGTTGAGATTTGACTGTCGTGTATTTTCAAACAATGCACACCCCGAAAAGCTTCATTCAACTTTTTCTCAGCAAAAACATTAACACGGAGGGGTAGATGGGCAGTTTCCTCGAATCTTAGAATGCTGAGTGATAATCTCCTGCGTTCAGGCGTTACTTCTCCTTTGTGAGTAACAGATATGAAGAAAGGGCATGATCGCAGGCTAGCGTTGGGACACTAAAAAAGTCTCAAACAGGTTTAAACTCGTTTTATTCGCAAGTAACATTAACCTACAACGTATTGTCTAAAGTGAAAATTACATATTTTATTAACAAGAATCACGCCTCACATATAGTACATGGTACAATGTATATTATTGTTCAGTTTCTTTCATTATTATCTATCATTTATGATCTTTCTAAATATAAAATTATATTAGATTTAATTTAGTGATTCAAATATTGATTTCGAAAATATCTTAATATATATATATTCTAAAAATATTTACAATTTATACACCACATAAATTAACACGTTTTAACGACTCAAAAGACCAAAGAAAAGAGGAATTCTCCAGTTTGTAGCTGATCTTAACAGTGCATTTCGTTTCCACAAAATTATACTAACGAATAGCGGAAAGAAGCCTACAGTTAATCCCTAAATTATCCTTGAGTTTAAGCCCAAACCTGAAAACCAAAACGAGAAAAAGTTAAACAACAAGTAATTCTTCACAGAAACGGAAGAAATAACGTGGTACAACAAAGTCCCTTAGCTATTTCCTCCATACTTTGAAAACAACGATCAGGAGTATTTAAATTTTGCAAAAAACTGGCAAAGCGGTCTTCAAGCATGGAAAGCAAGATGTTAGGTAGTTAATCAAAGGAGAATAACGTAATGAAAGGAGATCCAATCTGACGAGCGTGAAACGCGATGACTGCTCCGACGGACCGACAAATAAGCAAAACCAGAGACAGAAGTAAATACAGAAAGCTAAAAAAACACTAGCAGAAAAAAGACAAAAACAAACAAACAAGTTTGCCAGAATCCTATGCTATTCTAAATGTTTGAAAATCCATTTTGGGATATGAGTATCGAAACGCCAGATGTGTTATTGGATTGAGAATCCAGATTTGGACTTTCGCGCAGAGATGCAACTCAATTTCTAGTTTACTAGCTGGAACACAGGTTTTCCTTTGTGTCTTACTTACTCTTAGTGTATTGTCCCAGCTTCCAGTAGCCACAGCTGTCCCATCTGGCGACACCTCCAGACAACTGATTCGGTTATCATGGGCATAATACACTGACAGCTGCTCAGACTGTAAGTTTAATCATTAGTGGTCATCAGCAAATTTTATAGCCTGCGAAAACATCCCTTTCTCCTCGTTCTTCGCCGCTGGGGACGTTTCACGCGAAGGAACGAAGTTCCTCCGCGCGAAACGTCCCCAGCGGCGAAGGGCGAGGAGAAACGGACGTTTTCGCAGGCTACAAATTTTATCCTCGTGAAATAGATTATTTTTTCACGACAGATCACTATTTTAGAACTGCAATGATAATATCAAGATTTTCACATACCTTGAGCGTATCCCATACATTCATAGTGTAGTCATGGTAACCACCAAAGAGTAATCTCCCTAAGAAAACAAAAAGGTTATAAATAAGTCTTTCTTATCATTCTTTTTTTAATTTTAAAAATAGGTCTTCAGCGTTCTCCCTAAATTTTAGCTCAGCAGGTAAGGAACCATTCATCGCCGGTAAGGCAAAAAAATATTTGCACACTTTCCTGGGGAGGGGGTAGTAGAGTGAAGGACGTGGCTTCGACCTCGCTGTGAAATTAAGGAGCTAAGTTCTCTGAAACGTCGTTCCCCCTCATTTGAAGTCCTATTTTACGCAAATCAGCCGTTGTTATCTCAATTCAAAACGTTTGAATTTAATAATTGTACTCTGTCTTCAAAGACTCCCTTTCCAAAATGCGTGGCCCATAAAAAAAAACCTGTGTATACTTTAGTACACTTCCATGTATTCATTCATTACCTTGATCGGATCGGATCACAACTTATGTATTCTTTAAGACATCTTACTCAATTTAGTAAACCTTCAAGCCGTTGCCGATGGTAAGAAGTGTTGCTTCAGACAGTAAATTTGTATAGGTAATAGCATGATTTGTAGTGATATTTGGCATAAATACCACGAATGATATTTCAAAATTGTTATACGAAATTTCACGAGCCGTAAGGCGAGTGAAATTTGAGACAATTTTGAAATATCACGAGTGGTATTTATGCCAAATATCACATACAAATCTTGCTATTATTTGTTTATACTACTACCCTCAAAAGGTTTGTAATTTTCACATGTAGGTATTTCAAATTAAGCTGAAATACCATTGCTCTCAGCCAATCAAATTGCAGAAATTTCTCATGTAGTAGTATAATACCGGTTACCGCCTGATAAGGAGAACACTGGGTCTTATGGGCCACCTACCGCTAATAGAAAAGTCTAAGGACGCTGCTCCAAATATAATGTGTTCTTTAGAGTAAACAGCAAGTTCATGGTCTGCTCTTAGATCATATAGACGACACTAAAAATGACAAGTAAAACACTTGGTAAGAAACTTTGAACAACGAAAAACTGCAACAACATCATCAGCCTGGGAATAAAGATGTTGTTCCATAGAAGATGCCACTTTCCTTTTCAGGCTACAAACACAGCAGCAAAGCAACATCATAGCAGACAAACAATATTATTTATTACAACAGTAATCAAAAATGAGTACTTTTCCAGAAATGACATCACGACTTAATAGAACAATAAATCAATACCCACGGGTCACTTTGACTTTCACTGTGCACAGGTCGTCAAAACATCAGCCACTGCCACTAACAGTTCCATATTAGTACCATGATATTTAACCTTATGTTGTTTTTTTTTTGGGGGGGGGGAGGGGGTCGAGTTAGGAATACTTACAGTGGCATCATCAGAAGCAGTACCAAATGCTTCTCCACTGGGATAAAACCTACATGTAATTAGAAACATAACAATCCTTAGATGAACTATTACTTTATATGTCCTGAATTTGGGGCATTATGCCATGTGGTGTTTATTGCACTGAGGCTCTTTACCCGAGGCTCTCACTGCGACAAAATGAGATTTGGAAATGTTGGTTCTTGAGGAGAGAGAGAAACTGGAGTGCATAGAAAAAATCTCTTGGAGCAAAGGGAAGAACCAACAACAAACCAACCCACATATATGGCATTGACACAGGGATTTGAACCCTAGCCATACTGGTTGGAGGCTAATGCTCTTACCACTGAGCAACCCTTGCTCTTACTTGTCAAGGTGTTGCAAAGGAAAATGTAATTAAAAAAAGTACTAAGTGTGCAGGGAACGATCCATTCTCGACCCTCTCCTCTACATGCACAGAAGAGCTCTGGGTTGAGATTAAGAATGATCTTATCCCCTTCCTCTCATTGTGCATGCGCCAGAAGAGATAATATTATGCAACCACAACCACTTCAAGAACCTTATTTGTAAGGTAGGCAGCCATTCTGTGGTGTGAAACTGCCGCTTCTTTGGTATAGCATGTCTTGGGGCGCACAGCGAGCAAAATTTTCTATGTAGGTTTTGGACAAGAATGACAGATCAAGTTTGACACTGCCCCATTCCTTTGGTTTTTCATCCCTACCTTACTCCATTAATATCAGCCTCATGTGTCTGGAAAGAATTAACAGCATGGCCAGTCCTGATATCCCATACAAGGGCTGTGTTATCACATCCCTGTAGAAGGTAATAATTTACAAAATAAATATAACGACATGGCAAACTGAGCTTATTTAAAAGGTAGTATTTTTAGAAATCCCTAAAATTTTGGGGTATGATGAAAAAAATAATACACCTACTGGAAAAATTCAAAGTTAAAGTTTACATAATTAAATGGTAAATGGCATTTAACATCCAAGCATTTACTTTTTTTTTCTTCATGCGTCATTACAGTCAAACCGTAAACACTTAAAATATTGCAGGAATGTTCTTACTGTTATGACCAATCACAGCCAAGATAAGGACATGCAAACCAGCTTACAGTTTTCCCACGCCTGAATGGCATTTTTCTTACCACACAACAAGTATCCCAAAATATTTCTAGTGTTCACGGTTTTGGTTTTTATAAAAGATCTAAAATGACATTAAGTTAATGCTGTCTAAGTACTTACACCAGAAATGAATATATTCCTGCCTTCAGATGGAGTAAGATCAATACTGTGAATCAAAACAAGTGGAAGAAGAATGGGTCATTATTGAACATCAGCAACATTTATAAAAAAAATATTTGCAGTCCTCATTTAGCAACTTTACAACTCCTAGCCTAAGAAAACAGTCAACATTTCTTGCTGCCACAACTGGTTTTCCCAGAAAATGACATTTGAGGAATGAGTGCAGAAATTCTATAGTGATAACGCATCACTACCCAGATCTGGTTAGTGCTTCTGATTGGATGAATTTACAAATTAACAATCAATCACAAGCACTACCCAGATATGTGTATAGTGACATGTCATCAGTGGCATTGTGAAATGTTAGCTGTTTTCTCAGGCTATACCACTCCTAGCTGTGTCTCAAGTGCCAATAGGAGGCTAAGGCCTAGTGAATTAGTTCTTGAGGAACATTTACTTTAGTTGCCTGAGTGACCAAGGGTTACAGTGACATTATGACACAATCTGCATTGTGATTGGCTGTATAAGAACACAGTTTGTTAATTAGTTACTATCATAACTTTCCTGCATTACATTCCAGCAAGCACGTACTTTAAAAAAGGTTAAAGTTTCAGTTTGCTTGTTCTAGGTGTTCAAACAGGGCTCGAAATTGCGACTGATACGGTCGCCAATGCGACTAGCATTTTCTCCTTGGCGACTTAAACTTCTGGCTTAGTCGCCACTTTGGCGACCAGATTTCTCTATGATATAGATTTAAATTAAAAGAGTAAAGTCTGTTAAAACAAAAATTTCATCTTTTCTTGCTTTGCTTTCGTCATACAAAATGTGCTAAATCGCATAAACAAAGCCAATTTATCTCCAAATTTATACCGACTTCTGTCCGCGATATTTTTAAACGATCAAATCTGATATCAGAAGCCCTGTAGTATAGTGCGATCTAGGTCGCGGAAGTAAAATTTCACGGGATTTTCAGAGACAGATTTGGCAGAAATTTTCACAGCTAACTTCGCTGAAAAACAGCCGATTTCGTGGGAATTTTCTGGGCAAATTTCGCTAGAAATCGATTGATTTTGCACTGATTTGACGACCGTGTGTAATGTTTTTAACAGAGATAATCTAACATATTCTAGCAACAAAGCGCTCGAGAAATGAGCCAATGGCAAAGCTTTTAACATCATGACTAGTGCTCAGTGTTTCACAACATAGTTTACGCCTGGTAATTTTGAGACATTTTTCGCGCATTGTGGTGATGAAGTTTCAAGGTAAATTTGCAAGGTTTCGGCAATTAAACAGCCCCAATAGCCGAAATAAGTTTCAAATATGTTGTGTCGACAAGTATTTGATAAGATTTCTCGCGAATTTCGCGGTATTTCGCACATTATTGTAAATTTCACGGGATTTTGCAGGTTTACCTGAAATTCGCGGCTCAGCGACCGCGCTAAATATCAGAAGCCAAGCTGATACTGTGAGCTGGTTCATTAACATCATACAAACTGGGGACTAAAAATTTGTACCTGGCGACTACATTTCTCCAGTTTGTCGCCAAAAGGCGACCTGAAGATTTTTTTAATTTCGAGCCCTGTCAAATGATACGGAGTGGCGCAAAAAAAACACAGAAAATTTGAGGAGACTGACTCCTCTCTCCTTGTCCTTTATTGTCATTTTTTTGCACCCTGTTTCACTTCACACCACTGCCTTCTATCTCAACACCTAGAACAGGATACAGCCTTGGATGAACAATTTCAGCTAAACCCGTCTATTTTGTCATCCAGTCCGATAAATTAGTTTCTTTTATTTTTTTCATCTAAAACCTTCAGTTGCATGGTGCCTTATTTATTCAGAGGACTGGTCTATTTCGTCAAGAGCTTTTTGGCCTATTGGGAAATTATGTGCATAGTCTCTAACATTTTCTGCAGTGTCAGCTCTTTAATGTTGAAAAGTCCTGAGTTGTGATAGTAATTTTTCATATTATACCTCATCACATCAGAAGCATGACCATGAAAACTTTGCAGCAACTGTCCTGATTCAACATCCCACAGAGCACATGTGGTGTCACCACTACCAGTTAAGATCTGCAACGATCAGATAATCATTAACAATTAACTGCCAAAGCTTTTAAATGATCTGAACCACATCATTAGTGATTTACACTAAGAGATTGTTGAAAAGAAAAATGGTAAAAGGAAATAAACTAGAGCTAGCGTTGGGAATCAGCTGAGATTTCACAATCGATCATTGGAAAAGACCGGATTGACCCACCCAATCCATTATGGATTATAATAAATTGGTAAAAACCTCTTCACACACGACATGGCAAAAACATGTCACCAAATGTATCACAGAAGGGACATGAGTGGATTTGACCCTGCTTGCCCAAAATAGTTACAAAAGCTCAGCTCAGCAGTTAGAGTGGGCAGGTTGTGAGTTCAATTCTTGCCTGAAGCACAGAATTTTTTCTGTTCTTTTGAGTGATCGAATATTCTGTCTTCTTTTAAATTATGAGACTATTAAAAAGACAAAACACAAGTTTTTATAATACCTTTTTTTGCCAACAATAAATTTTTACTTTTGTTTTCCTCTGTGATTGATTGGACATTTTCCATAATTCATTATCATGTTGCTCATCAATGATCGGCACACCACTAATGTACATAGTATTTAATTAATGTTCCCACCTGTTGATCAGAGTTTGTAAATGTGCAGCACGACATGTAGCTAGTATGCATGGCAACAGTTTGCTTCTTAGTAGCACCCTCATCATCAAAACTCAGTTTAAACAAGGAGCACTTGTTGTCAAGTCCCCTGGGTTAAGAAAAAATTTCAGGAAAAATAATTTGTTTACTGTCTTTCAATAATAATTTATTAGACTATAATGTCATTATTGATTTGTAAGATTGCTAATAATGAATCATTATGAATTTGATTTCATAGCCAGGGAATATAGTCATCTCTAACCACTTCCTACAACTGGGGACATTTTGTGAGAGATAACTCTTCAATCTGATGATCTATATCAATGTTCTCATGAGAAAATGTAAATATTTACTTTGGTAGTCATGGGGTTCAAGATGTAAATTTGTTCAAGTTTTTGTTTTTCCATTAGTGTAAAATTTTGAATCCTGCTGTGAACTTGGTGCAAGCAAAATTCAAAAAGAGTAATAACAAAAAACCTAATGTTCATTATTCCTACGGAATAAAATATGTCTTGGTAAATTCAGCTCATTGCACTTTAATCTCAGTGGTCTTCTGTCTTAAGTGTGTTATTCATGTGCAATAGCTAAAAGAATCCAAATACTACATCAACCAATCAGAGCTCCTGACCAGATTCTGTACACAATTGGCATGCATCACTAGTACAGTAAAAGCCCACAACTAAGAACCTAAAAATTAAGAACCTGTTAGCCTAAAATTGGTCATTTATACCCCCTATAAACAAGAACCTATTTAGCCTAAGAAATTTAAAACAGGTTCTTATTTTCTAAAATCATACTAGTACATTACAGCTGCATTGCAAGAATCATATTTGAAGCAAAAAAAGCAGATTGCCAAAGCTCGGCAAAGCATATAAATACATGTAAATGTATAAATTGATATATTCTTAAATGTTTTTTGGGGGGGTGGGGGGTGGTGTGGGGCTGAAGAAAATAAAAGTATAGGCTAATGACCAACTTGTTTGAAGTTGTGTTTTAATTGTTTTTCTCCACGACTAAGAACCCATTTTAAGAACCTAAATAGCCTAAAATTCTGTTAACTACCATTTATATAAGAACCTGTTTAGGCTAACTCCTAAAAATGAAGGTTCTTAGTTGCAGGTTTTTACTGTATGAATTTTTGGGGCCAAAATATTGCACATTCTCTCTTGCAAAACATTCCAATAGCAAGGAGCAATAACAGGCAGCTGTAGTCACAAGCTAGTACAGGTAATTGGTACTTGTGTCTACAGTAATCATTATTATCATCTTCATTTTTTATAAAACAATAGTACTATCATTATTATTAAATAACTAGATGAACATCACAAAAGCTCAAGAGATCTACAGTTTGTTATATAAATTTAAAAAATTGAATTTAAACTGAAAAACTCAATTCTTGATTTAATTTTTTCCATTATCAACTTACCCACAAGCAACCATGTGGCCTGATGGTGAAAATGCACAAGCCATTACCCAAGTTGTTGGCATGGAAATTGCATGTTCCTATAATACATAGTCAATAACTTGATGTAAACAATAATAATACCACAAATATGAATTAACATCAGTTGAAAATGAATGATTGTTTTTTTTTAAATAGCCTTGTAAATGAAGTTATGTATGCACATGTGAAGTTTGGAGAGCACAAGAGGAGCTTACGAGTATGTTATAAGTCAAATTTACATCCAGGTTAAACTTTTTTAGCCTGGGGTTGATTCTCAATTTCCTTTGTCTCCTAGCCCTAACAATTATTCATGAAAATAGGATTACTTTTTAACTGAACAAGACATGATAGACTTGATTGCCTGATTAAGGTAGCTATTTTCCTTGCACCCTACGTAGCTACAAATTTTGTGGCTACCAGTAATTAAAACCTAAGTCTTCTTTACCTTGTTTGTAGTAAATGCATCCCACACAATCACTTTGCCATCCTGATGAAATAAAAGGAAAATAAAAGTTCAAAACAAATTAAAACATCATTTAGGTATTAGACAATTTTCCCCTCAAGAAGTTTGAACCACCTTTCTGACTTTGAGCAAAATCTTGTTGTATATTACCGTAGTTTTATTGAGCTTGTTACAGTTACGAGAATAAACTCCTCTCTCTTTTAACCCTTTAAGCCCTAAGATCGAGTGATCAGCATCAAATTTCTCCTTGTAATATCAATGCTTTGTCAAACAGAGTGGTCATGAGAATTAGGGACATGATCACTCAAGATGAATTTCTTTGATATTTTATCAAGTTCTCCCCACTTCTTCTGTAGGAAATGAATAGGGGCAACAAATGAGAATTCAAATTTTGATCTTAGGGTTAAAAGGGTTAAAAACCTACTATCTAAGTATTAAACATCCCTGCTTAAAACCTCATTAGATCCCCTGGGCATTTAATAGGTCATTTATGGAACCCGGGTAATAAGAACTGGGTATTACACCTGTGAACTGCTGACCATACGTCGTCTGTCTTGCGCCCAGTTTAGGCAAAGCACCTTTCCTTGATGACCTTTGAGAATTCTTCGCACTTTGAGAGGTGTGAAAACCAGAGTTTCTACCTTATCAGCCACCTCTTTTACTGCAGATCAAAGATAGACACTGCTTGTTAATAATAAAAAAATACTTGCATCATACTATCATCAACTTATACAAGACCTTTAAAACAAAGATTTGATAATACAAAATCAAGTAAAAATAACTGAGAAAATCAAACAAAATTTTAGTGATGCCAAGATACCACAATATGCCGCTCAGAAAATAGCTTAGCTCAAATTGATTCAGCCACATTATTACAACAACAACAACAACAACAACTTTATTTGTACCCTACATTGATTTACATGATACAAAAAAATAGATAAAATATGGAGAGAGTACAGGCTGCCCATAATAACCACTGAGGGCTAAAAAGATGGGGCAACCTTACTTAGGTTATTAATAAATGATTGAATTAAAGGGTTATTGTAGCCTTTCTTTAGTCTAGTCATCTGAAAACCCACGCTATCCCAGATATCTTATAAAAAACACTATATATATTTATAATATCAATCACTTTTCTAGGAAATGATATCAATTCCTCCAGCTAATCTCGCTGATTTCTATACCCTATTACAGACTTTCTTTTAACTTCCTGGGCCTGGCTCCTGAAAGGCCGATTAGCACTAATCCAGAATAAGAGGGGGAACAAAGAGGAACAACATTTTAATTATTAAAATTTTGTTCCTCTTTTTGTATTTACCTTCCTATGCATTGCTTAGAGTAACATTTTGTGTTATCATTTCTTTCTTCGAAGTAAAGGCACAATAGTATTTTGTAAATTTGAGTTACATGTTCTTAGACAAGAAAACCTTGCTAAAAATTTGGCTTAATCCTGGGTTAAACTTAACCATCTTTTGAGGAACCGGGCCCCGATGACTATTTTATTTGAGAGAACCTTTGCTGATGCATGGCAGCAGTTTAACTCATAAATATGAGCTTAACTCATAAATTTTGGACAAAAATAGTAAATGTATACTAGAAAATTTATACGTTATCACAAAATCCTCGCGAGGCTTTAAAGGATCAGCAGAGAGAATAAAGGGAAACAAGCCAAAGGGAAAGAAAATGATCAAAACTAAAAAGAAAAAAATGTGCAAAGTTTAAAAGTATGACTTCCCTGGGATTCGGGATTCGAGATAACATCTTTGTTACGCTAAAATAATTATTATTACACTTGAAGCATTTTTCTCTGCCGTGAACACTGTTTGAAGTTGTTGGAACTGTATTTATCATGAATTCAAAGATACATTTGAGGAAAATCAACTTAAAGGCATATTTGAGTAGAGATTCTAACCCTCCCGTTTTGGCCGGAAATGTCCTGTTTTTGCTTAATATTCTCCGGGTTTTTGAAACTCTTCCTTTCTTTGTGTAAATTTCAAAGCCATTTTGCATTATTTCGGTCTTAATTCACTCTCGGGTTTAACGGCGGATGGATGTACGGAGCTGAAACCAGTCTTTGATTTGATCAATTTGTCACATCGATCAGTGGGGAAAGAACCAATTCATTGTTGGTTTGCCTCGATATAACATAAATTCAAAGGTACAGATTTTAGGGAAAAGAAAAGGTTTTGACGTTAAAAAGCCAAAGTGAAATGCTCTTTTGAATAAAACATGATAGTGCACCACAGCATTTGCATTCGCACTTGAAGTAGTGTTGCTTAGCATCCCTATTTTAAAATGCACCCCGATGTCAAAACTGGATGACGTCGACTGTGAGCGATCAATGTGCGAGGCATACAAATTTATAAACCTCGCGAGGCAAGGTGCCTTGGCCGCCTCCCTTTGCTCAGACTCACTGTAAAAAGGTGTGAGAGTAAATCAGGAAATGGCTACAAAGACCTTTATATGTGAAAGTCAGTAGTTTGTGTATTAAACTGTAATATTTCTGGCTGCCAAAAATGTAAATGAGCTGCCCTATATATTTTTCATCAAATTTACATATTTTAACTTTGCATTACACAAAGGGTATTAAGGAATATCGGTAATATTGTGCTTTTTTCTTTCAATTCCTTCAGAAGTGGAATTTCTGAAACCTAATACTATTAATAAAAAACCATTAGGGAATAACACACATTTGCTAATGGGCTAATGTTGTTGCATACAAAATAATATATTTAATGTGTACTGAATAAATTATCAATATGATTGGCAACAATAAAAGATTTGCCTGTACATGGCTACCAAACAATATACAGGTTAAACAAAAGATTATAGCTCTAGCAATATTACCAAGATAAGGAATGCCAATTGTATATTGTAAAAGTCATTGTCATATTTTTAATTCAAAACCACTTTGGAACTAGCTTTGGCATCATAAGAAGTCATTAATTTACCATTAAGAGTTCCAAAATGGACGGTTTAAAATTTATTATTACTCTTTTGAAGAAATTCATTCAGCTAGTGCTAATTATTACGAAACAAATTTTAAGAGTTCTTCAAACAAAAAGTTCAGTATTGCAGTTGACAGTTTTATTGCCTTGCCTGTCAGCCATCATTTTCAACACTAAAAAAATGCCAAAGGTGTCAGGAGCCTTAAGCAGGTGTCAATTATGCAAATAATGTAACATCACTCTGTCAAGCCTCCCACACCACCTCCCTCCCCCCGTAAAGTCTGTAAAGTTGGGTTTTTTTTTAACACCAATGAATCACTAGGCTCGATTACCAGCCGCTGTTTGGGAAATGACCCCGTGCTCCTCTCCCACGGTGGAAATCGTGCCTAATGAATCACCTGCATACTGTCCAACCTTTTGAGTATGTAAAATTGAGATATTTTTTCAATAAGGTGAGTGCTGAAAGGGTGAGCCCCTAGGGGATCTGGGCGTATTCTCCCCAGAAAATATGGAAAATTGGATCCTCTGAAATGCCATTTCTAGTGTTCTGAGAGGACAATTTTTGTCAAAGATGTTCACTAAATTGATTGCCATTTTATGCTTATTTTTATTTGCCTGGTTTCACGTACAAGTACTCAATTTTATTTTATATTTCATGCGGTTTTAAAAGTTTTCTGGATATCAGTTTCAGTTGAGTATACTCCGTTGGAAAAATCAGAACAGGTGTCAAAAACAGGGTTTTTCCTATCCCGATTGCATATTGGTCTGGATTCGGGATTTTCAAGCAAAATTGGGAGAATCCCACAAAATTGGGATGATTGGACAGTCTGTACATGAGGGCTGAGGTTGTGAGCTGCTAGGGGAGTCTGGGGGCATGCTACCATAGAAAATGTTACAAAAATCTTGACGCTCTGAAATGCTATTTCTAGTGTTCAGAGAGGTCAGTTTTCGTCTAAAATGTTTGCTAAATTGATTGCAATTTTTAATCTTCATTATTGTTTGCGTGGCTTTACATGCAAGTACTCCACTTTATGTTAAATTTTGTGCCGTATAGTTTCCTGGGTATCAATTTCAGTTAAGTATGCTCTGTTAGGTGTCCTTCTATAAGAATCATAAAGAATTCATTTGAAAATATCAGAACAGAAGTCAAAATCAGGATTTTTCCTATCCTGAGTACATGTTAGTTGGCATTCGGGATTTTTAAGCAAAATTGGGAGAATCTCGATGGTTGGACATTCTGCAGTAGTGTGTCCAGCTGTGCCCAAAATGATGGCTGTTAACTTAGGAAGTTACAGCTACTACCATTTAAATGCCTGCCTTTTCAAAAGGAAGTTTTAGCTGTTTGAAGAAAACGTGAAGTAATGGAATCACAAATATACCATTTTAGAACAACATTTTCACTCTGTTCCCAGGTATTTTCTTCTTTCTCATGACTTATGTTCGTTTAAGGCTAAAGATGAAGACGATCTTTGGTTCCACTCAGTATCAATCACCGAATAAAAAGTAGGAAAGGCAAGCATATGATGAGCTGCCAACAAAAAATATTAAAACATGCTTTCAAAGCCAATCAGCTGGATATTACAAGTGAGATTATAAAAGCATTTCACCAATTCTTACTTCGAATTCTAAGGATAAAAGGAAAAGCACGTCAGGCAACTAAACGGATACTGAAAATTGCCACAATACTTATTTCGTTATGCATGTATCATCACAGAGAGCTTCGATCATAAAGCTTAAATAGAAATGGTTGTCACCACTTATTCACTACAGCAAATTAAATTAATATTGACGTACTTTCTTGATACAAACCTACGTTTCGGTGCAGATTGTAAGGTGTTGTTGGCAGATTTTAGGGATCACAAAGCAAGCAGAAAGATCAACAAACCAGTTGGATGCTCTCTTTAAGTACAGAAAATATACGAGCTTAAAATAAGTAATCGATCGTATCTGGCATCAGTGTTACTTACGTTGCACGTCATTACATTTCTGCTTTTCCTCATCAATTTTTACTTTAAGCTGCTCCGCTTCTCTGCAAAGGGAGGCAAGAGATTCTTCAGAACCATCTGACGAACTTGCCGCCATCTTGAATTTTGACAATTTTATGCTAATTTAGTTACTTTCACCTCGAGCCTCAGTGCGCATGCGAAGTAGTTTCCAGGACAACAGTTCCAAGTTCTTCACAAATCCTGAAGGGTCTCCTGAAGGTTTATCTCATTTAGAGCGTTTAAATATCACAAGTTTTTAGCTTTATTTTGTGGGTTTTTAAATTATCCTTTAAGCATGAGTTCAGATACTATTTCCGTCATGAGACACAACAATTCGTGTGGTAAAACTTTGTTAGACAACTGGGTTGAAGAGGTAAGTATGTCACTTGGGCAATGTTTTAATACAGTTTAATAGCATCTGCAGTACATGTCTAGAGACTTTTAGGCCTAATTTTCCCCTGAATTTACCTTAAATTGTGTCACTCATTGCTTCCTGCAGAGACAATGTGAGCAGTTTGATAAATCAGGTGAAATCAATGTTTCCGAGCTTCATAAACAGGGGCACAAGGTAGAGTATGGAATATTTTGTTAACCAGCTGAGATCAGCGGGCTCTATTATTATTTTTTCTTTCGTTTCGCTTGTTTATAGAGAAACCATGACATGAAGGAATGTATAAGAGCTGTCAAAATATTAGGCCTGACCTCAGTTGGAGTCAATTCCGGGTACACACATGCCCCCCCCCCCCCCCCCCCCGGCCAACCCCCCGAGGTGTTGGCATTTTTTTTTTTTGCTTTCTTTTTTGCCTTGGATGGCACAGGATGCTTGCATCACAAGTCCTAACACTTAAGCAATAGAAAACGTTTTCCGTGTTTGCATAGCCTGATATAAACACGAGAGGGGTTGGGTATTCGAGACAGTTATGCAAACCCGAGACGAAGTCGAGGGTTTGCATAACTGTCGAGAATTCTCTCAATGCCTCGAGGGTTTATATCAGGCTATGCAAACACAGGAAAAAAGTTTTCTATTGCTTTTATAAAATAAGTTTCCCGAGAAAAAACGCAAAACTCTTTGTATGGCAATGATTAAAAGAGAAATTCTAATACCGTATTTATTCGATTAACCGCCCTGGGCGCTTATTAAATTTTTGGACCTTGAGAGTGGGCGCTTATTCGAGGTGGGCGCTTATTCGAGGCTGGGCGCTTATTAAATTTTCACCATTTTCAGCAAGTGAAGTATGCTTATTTTGCAACAAAACACCCAACAAAACAATAAAAGCTAATAACAAAACGCGAAGAAGTAACGAAGCAAGGTTTCTGTAAAATACTCTCAAGAAAACTCCGTCCTCGGGAAAGTCTCTTATTAGAATTTATTCACTCAAGTGGGTGAGGTGGGGGTGAGCGCTTATTTGAGTTCGATTGGGAGGAGGAGGGGGTGGGCGCTTATTCGAGGCTGGGCGCTTATTAACTTTTTCTGCCATTAGGATGGGCGCTTATTCGAGGTGGGCGCTAATTCGAGGTTGGGCGCTTATTCGAATAAATACGGTACCAGTCGCAAAGTCTTGTCCACGAAGTCTTGCACGGGTAATCAGTTCTTGGTTTGCAAATAGATGCTTTCCAAAATACAGATTTTTCTCGCTTAAAATGTCAGCTTATTAAAAGCAAAAAAAAATTGACACACTTTCTTTGTAACGATTTTCCATGTTTCAGCCGACGAAGGACACCTTGTTGAATTTTGAACTTGAAAACTTTTTCAAATTCGTGCTTGGGTGATTGATGCGCGAAAAGCCAAACAACTTGACGCCACAACCATGTTTACATACTCTCATGCAAACACTCCTCTTAGCCAATCGGAGCGCGTGTACTGTCTTAGTTATTTTATAGAACATAATTTGTGCTGCTCTGTTTGATTGACGTGTTAATGTCGCAATTTTTTAGGTACACTTAAAGTATAAGGTTAACTTCGCAATTGCTAATTTCTGATGCAAATTAAAAGCTTGTATACCAATTTTCCATGCTACAAGAGTTGAGATCTGTCAAAGACACTGCTCTCTGGTTAAATAAAAGGTGAGCAAAGTGGAGAACATTTCTGGCATCAGCATTTGCAAGAAAGTGAAAGCTGCTCTTTGATTGGCTGTATTCTGGGAAAGGAATGTACATCCAATTGAAGCAGCCACATGGACCGGGAGCACTGCGTGACTCCTGCCTGAGCAGCTGTGAAGGAGACCAGAGTTTTGTAGAAGTGCCTAGCTTACACGCTGATTTCCTTGTTGACACTTTATTTAAAACATGACGAGGCCCGTGCTCTTTGGACCTTATGGAGGGGAGACATTTGTGGATTTGGCGCAGCTTTTAGCTGCCATGAGGGTTGTTGCAGCACTTTTGAGGTTCATCTTTGGACATAACCTGTTTCAGGAATCCAGATAATTGCAATGTTGCAAACAACAGTGAGCAGATTTGTTTTTGTGTTGTGGACTATCTACCAGTTGATGGTCAGTGGAATAATGATTTTGCTTTATTAATCCTCAATGCAGGGTATCCTTACAACAGATTTTGATGCCAAGCCAGAAGGGTTATCCACTGTTAGAGATTCATACAGAAAACCACAGACACTTGGAGTGCGGCAGGTTGGTTTGCGGCAACAACTTCTTCAGGAAGAGCTCATTAGACAAGTCAGGTAAATAATAAATTAATTGTGACTGGGCCATTTGAGGCTTCGCAGGTGATCTTCACTAGCAAATGGTAGGAGTGGCCAATTTTGCCCAAACAATTGGGGTGCCTGAAAGATCAACTTTCATCCGATAGTTGAAATTTTAGAACCTTTGTGTAAGGGTTCCTTTGAGTCTCAGTATTTGAGCTTTGTGCTGGGCTATTACAGTCTTACATTTTTAAGCGAGCAACTTCTCAATCACTTATTACATTTTACTGGAAATCAAAAATTGATGTCCCTGGAACGTAATTGATTTTTGATTTCCAGTGAGTCAGGGAACAAAATAATTAGGATTAGGAAACTTTGATTGCATAATTAAAGGGGTCTAGAGCAATTATTACCATGCCAAAAGTTCATTAAACAGTCTGTGTAGTCAGTGCAGGATGAAAAAGACCTGATGTGAAAGCAATTCAGGTGAAAAGCTTAAATAAAGAAATCCACCAGGGATGTAACTTGATTATATTTGTGTATGCTTTTCTCTCTCTAGTGCTGAAGTGGATCAAGAATTCAACCCTCCACCTCCTACAATAGAATATCTCTCAACAACCAAAAAGGATTTCTCGAAAGGTAAGTGTGGTTTTTACTGGAATTTGGGTGTAAGGGGTTTTGAGTATATGAGTTTGTTTCGAATAGGGCCTTTTTATAGACTTTAATTTTTTCAGAAGGTATAGAGTTATCTTTTGTCCTTTGTACATGTTAAACAAGGATCTCCTCAGTTAGGCCAATAGGAAAATACATCAGATAGATCAAATTTATGATCTTGGAAAGTTTGTTTCATTGACTCCACCTTCAAGATTGGAGTGTATAGAAACACACTCAAAGAGAATTGAATTAGATGTCAGGACCACAAATTCTTTTAGATTTCTACCACATACCGAAGGTACTCTGTAGTCCAGCAAGAAGACTAGATTTTTTTTTCATATATTTATTGTTATGTGCAAAGGAGCCAAACTCCTTCCCAGGATTCTCTTCCACTCACCCTTACTTCATGGGATAATAGTGAGAAAGAAACCTGGGAACAAGGTTGCAATGGAGCTTTGAACAACAAAGTGAATGTAATATTGGTTCTGAGCTTAGGATTTTGAAACTCTTAATGTTATCTAAACCTTGGCGACTGTTTTCCAAGACACAAATTTTAAAAGTTGGATAGTTATGAATGTTTTATACATTCACAAATTATAAGTGCAATGTAACCCCAGTAATATGACGACTGTGGGGCGATAAATCCTGGTCACAATAACAAGGTGATCATAGTTAAACAGGGTCTTTGAAATAACAAATGATAAATCAGTGTTTTTTTTTGTTTGGATCAAAAGAATTTAATAGTCAGAAAAATCAGGTGCGAGTAACATGGGGTTCCACTGTTCTTCTTTGAAAAATATCAAGACAATGTCCAGTGAGCCAGTGTGAGTGCTTTTCCACCATCTGTACCATCACTATTTGTTAATATCACACAAGTCAATAGAAGTTTTGATTTCAAGTCAAGCAAAGTGTGGGACATAAAATCTGTTTTCTGGTATTAAAATTATGTTTGATAGCTGTGGACTATTGAATTAAAATATATGTATATTGATCTTTTCCAAATGAATAATTTACTCATGCACTGTATTATTGCAGAATTTACTCCAATTGTCAAGGCACCAACAAGGGTGAGCATAAATAATATCATTTGTATGAAAATTTAAAGTAGCAAAGAGGTAAGCACTAAATGTCCTAGTGGAGAGGATAATCCCAAAAAGCTTTCTTTCCTAAACTGACCACGTTATGGCAAGTTTATTAATTATTTTATTTGCCACTCTAACTCTAAACTCTTTTGCATAATTCCATGGGATGCTCTCATTTGGCCAGACCAACAGAGACCTGTGGAACGTTGTTGGAATAAAAGAAATCCTGTTTACAATACAGTTATTCTTAGAGAAGCGGAACTCAACGTCAAAGAGGACCACCTCTGTAGATGGACCACTTTTTCCACAAAAAAACGTTTCAATTACATGTATGTTTCAACCAGATTAAAGCTGGGCTTTTTTGACCAGGGTTGCAGAGAAAGCTCGGCCGTGGAAGTAACAAGGCCAGAAAGGCCACGCTTTGGTGGCCAAGGTTGCCAAGAAAGCTTGGCTGTGGCCATACTTGCCAGGCTTTACCAGGCCGCATTTTCCCGGTAAGCCTGGCCAAAAACCCGGAAAGCCTGGCCGTGTTTTCGGCCGGGCTCCTGATGCAAGGGAACGTTCAGAAATTTTGGCATATTCCAAAGCACGCATGGTGTTACTATTCAATTGAAACCTCTTTGAAAATGTGTTTATGTTAAATCTAAAACGAAAATATAATTGGCATCCAAACGTCTATGTCGGCATGTAACATGTATTCCGGGAATAATTCTAACACCATGCGTCATCTTGGATTTCAAGTAGGTGTGTTGTATGGTCCCTTCTGAACGGTAGTGTCCACATAGTTTACTCTGAGAGAGACTAGATGTTTCTATACTATCTGCTAGCATCATTTTCATTTTGTAGTTAAAAAAACCTATTGACTAACTTTTTGGAATTGGTAACCTTAAGTAGCTCCTGGAAAAAAAGCTAATTTCATGCCTTGCTTTATTGTGTTGTTTTACAGGAACATGATGTTAAAACTGAACAACCTGCAACCTTTTGGCTTGAGCGAGCTGAAGAAGTGCACGTACGTTTGAACCGTTGTTAGTTTCAGTGAATTCCAGTACATGTATTATATGAAAGTCAGTTCTAAATTATGCCCGGATGACAGAATCAAACAGTCCATCTCTAATACCTTTGGAGTCATTGAGTTCCTGTCCGGGCAATAAGCTTTTAAATGGTGATAAAAGGAAGTCACTGAAAATCGGGTAATCCCTTGGAGTAATCCCTTATTTTCACTGGGAAAGTTACAAGTGTGTTTGAAAAACGCGTGCGCGGTTTGAAATCGCCTCGCCGATGATCGGCCGTGTCCCACGCGCGCTTGCGTAAGTCCCGCGCTCTACTATTGCAGAGATGAATAAGACGCTTTTCGTAGTTTTCAGTCCATTCATACTGTCCTTTCATCCAGTGATCAATATATTTCATTGACAGTACAAAGAAATGATTGGCTAAAAAGCTAGTAAGTCCCAACTGCCTCCAACTGCCCTTCTAGAAGTGGTACAAGTACATCCAAAGATGTGCCAACTGAAAACCACTAGAAAATTCAAAGCCGAATGATGACTATGGCGAGGCCTCTCACTGAAGACGGAACTGGGTACCCCGAGAGGAGTTTGGAAAGTTTGGGTTTTCAGAAAGACGTTTGTTTGATTTCGAGTCCAAATTTCTCATTATCTCAGCACTACAATATTAGTTGTAATTTTTCGATTTTATTTGACGAAATGCGTTTTCGTGGAATTGAAAGAAAAATGGCACCGTCAGTTTGAAAAACCAGCAGTTAGGTTGACTTCTGCAAAAACAGGAAATTGTTTGTATCAGAAGACACTCACCAAATTACACCATCTGCAACTTGTGAATTGTGGCGAACTGCAACTGACAACCGTACGACTTAGCGACGATGTAAATAATTGTTTACAAAACCTAGTTTATTACCCTACAGTAAATAGGCGTCGGTTCATTATTATTATTTTTTATTTCAGGGAGTTTCACAAGTTCGTACCAAAGACACGCCATTCCGTAAAAATGCTGCATTCAGCACACCAATCGACGAATACAAGGATGCGCCCAAACCAGGGGAACAATGGAAGTTTTAAACAAAGTTTTGTACATACCATGAACGAACGTACTTAATTGTATTTATTACGAATTTGTGTAAATATTTTTTTTTACTTTTACTTCCTTACTTCAGCATGTGATTTATTATGACAACGCGGACTTAGTTCATGTTCTAAGAAATAAGAATAAGTACTTCTATTTGCAAAATGACTTCCAAACTAAATTAAAGCAAATTTCAGTGGAAAAGATAGAAAACGCTGCATCTGGGGGATTTGCTTTCTTGGGTGTATAGGTGTAGATTAGACTTTCTAAAGCTAAAAAGTCCTTTAAAATTATTTTTCCTGGTTGGTTATTAAGAACTTATGAGAGGTCAAATTGTAGCAAGTCTAGGTGTAGAGGGTCCACAATAGGTTTGGCGGGATGCGGGATTTGGCTATTTTTCGTGGTGATATTCGGGATAGGAGCTGAAAACAGAAGCGGGATGCGGGAATTCTAATAACCAGCGGGAGCGGTATTTCCTATTTTAATGGGGATGGGATTCGGGAATCATAAGGAAAAAATAGCGGGATACGGGAATTAAGTTTTGTCTTGACTAACAATTTATTAGCGTTGACTGAAAAAGAAAATGGTTCTTTAGTGTTGATACCGCCTTTGTAGTCAAGCTATGAGTGTCAAAGGAAGTGAAGCCTGTCAAATTTTGCCCATTATCACTTGTTTGTGTTGTTCGTCTTTTCCGATTTTACTATTTTCGTCGTTTTCGTCACTCGGAAAGAGGTATCAAATCACTGGGGTTAGAAGTCACGTTAAGCGTTCGTTAAGATCCTGTACTCATTCCTGTTTTGTCGACGGATTTGACCTTTTCTGCTTTTGCCTGGACAGACCTGTCGGACCTGGAACAGAGCGTTTGTTATTAAAGTAAGTCTGGCCACAGTATGGCCACACCAGAGCTGATAGAAGTGGACAATGTGGTAGACATCATAAATTGTGTGGCTTTTTACTACGAAAAAGGTGCCAGTGGGAATGTGTTTCTTCGGAAAGAAAAATTTAGAGCTCCCGTGTCAAGGCAAGTGAAGACCTTGAAAGTCTTAAAAGAAACAGTCAGGTGAGTCGACCAGAGTTTACTGCTATCTGCAGTTCGTCAAAGAACCGTGCGACAAGAAACGACCATGGCTAGGGCTGGAACGCTCCCCGATTTCTTGTACGAGGAAGACATTGTGCCAGGGGAAAGCGTTGACCTAACAGGAGATGTCGGCCTTCCTGACGAATATGATACAAGCGGCAGTGCGGAAGAAGAAGAAGCCGAAGACCAAGTAGGAGAAGGATCTGTAAGGGTCGCCACTTTGGATGGTGAAGCAAACTTCCTGCTTGGAAGGGTTTCCGCATTTGGCCGTGCTGTTAGATTTAATAGCAGCTTTATGTTTCCTTAAAAGAGACCAGTGTGTTTTTATTCATTTTCCATGTCCTACACTCTATGTAAGCAATTGTCAGACTTGGCTTCATCGCCTGATGGAAACTAGCAGCAAAGCAGTCGAATCTTCGTAAGACAGACAGATAACATCAATCTACCTTACTCAAAAAAATACAGGACTTAAAGTATCGAAGTAAACATGTACCGATGAGAGGACGAAAAAATGAGCAAACAGAAAATACAGTTATGGTCGCTAATTGTGATGTTGAGAACCTTGACCATCAAAACTGACAATTGTTAGAAGGTAAGTCTTATATAACTTCTATTTCAGTGATCAAGCAAAAAATCTCGTAAACAAAATGGGACGGGATCGGGATTCGGGCGTAAAATGGGGCGGGATGGCGGGATTGAGAAGAAAAAATGGCGGGAAAGCGGGATTTGAGAACCCCTATTGTGGACTCTCGGTGTAGATCTGTAGATTCGAAAGGGTTTTTATGTAAAAATCAAATAAAAGAAAATGGCAATAAAGTCGTTTGCAATCAGCATCCTTAGTCGTAATTTACATTCGACACCAGTATTTGCATTTAATTTTGCTGCTTCTCGCTTTCAATCGGCTTCTTTGCATGCTTCCACCAATAAAGTTTCACCTAGTAATTCAGACGCAGTATCGATACTATCATGTTTTACAGCTGCTTCTAACCTGGATTGAACTGTTTGTGATTTGAGCCTGGAGAACGGTGAAAAACAAAAATAGGTCTAATTAGCAAAAAAGCAACTTTGCACGTGCAGCCACTTTTTTGTACATTTCTTTGCTGTTGTTTTGCACGACTGCAACGTGAAACTTCCAGAAACTTCTTAGTTACACATTTTATGGAGAAAATGTCGTACGTTTTCTTGTTCACCTTTTTTTCACTGCCGCTCATTTTCACCTTGCATTGATCGCCGATAGCATTTCTCATTTTGTCACCGCCGCTACCAAATTTTCATGTTGTTCTTCCAACAAGAAAATGTCTCCTTTGGTTTTTTTTCTATCTCTCTAGATCTCTGTCGCTTACTTTCTCTTTTTGTCTGTCTTTCTTTTGCTCTATATTTCAAATTTGTGGACATTACAATTAATCTAAGCTTAATACTTTAGAAAACACGGATATAGAGACAATTTCCCCTTTCCGTTTGCGTTTTCATCGACTCCTTAGTTGTCTCTGCTTCACAAGACGCCGGTAGCTATGCGACTTTCCGTCAAAATAACCTCGAGTTACATTTGAGATGCCATACCTGTTGATTGAGTTATTTTACATTGGTATGCCTGTGGTGCGGACGGACGGTCGGGCGGGTGGTCGGTCGGTGTACGGTCACGTGATTACCAAATTTTCTCGGATGGGTATTTTGCCACATTTTCTTACCCATGGTGCTCCACTGCGCGCGCTTCGCGCGCGAGGGCTCCGCTATAATGAAAGCAGGTGTTTGTACCTTCCAGGTCACCAACAATCCCTCGCTTGAGAATAGTTCAGTTTCGAATTAAAAATTACCGTTGAATACAAACATTAAGGACACATTCATACAGGGTTAACCTCGACATAAAGTATTATATTCAGAAATTCCGGCAAGTAAGTGTTTGAAATTTGAATATAAACAATAGACAGAGTAATAAACAGCTCTTTTTCTCGTTGGAATTTGTGAATTTGTTACTTCAGATGGAGGCTAAGCCTGTAAAAAATGCGTCTTCACTTCTTTAATTCAGCGGTCATAGCGAACTCGAAACTGGACTATTCGTAAATTTATGTGTATATTTCTAACAAATTTCTACCGCTAGCGTTCACCGTGCCTGAAATCAATCGCGTAGGCAATACCCTGTTTATAATTAGGACAGACACGCACTAAAGTATACAGGTATACCCCGTTTAAGACAGACTCTGTGCCATACTTGGGACGGAGAGGTCAAAAACCATACCCTGTCCAGCGGCAAATTTAGGCCATATAAGGGAGTACCCACCCCGCCCCCCGAGGCTTCAAACTTAGATCAAATTTCGTAACTATCCTAAAGTACCTTTACAGTCTTCTGTATTACTACTTGTTTTGGCTTAATGGAGAAATCAATTTAAAACCTCTAAAATTATGCACCAAATCACGAAGAACCGTTAGGCACACCCCACAAAAGGTAATCACATTCGCCTCGTAAGCACTTGCCGGAAGGTACCCCTAGTTCATTTTTTTCTTTACCTCTGCTTTTCATTTCCTTTCTCCTCATTTGTAACTTGTGGATTACACGTAGCGTAAGGAACAAGTTATTGTGGGCACTGCGATATGCAAATCTGTCACTCGGGTGTAGACACCGTTAGCAATTATTCGGCTCCGCACGAAACCACCCGATATAAAAACGTAGATCGTAGATCGATCGTTCCTGTTCCGCGATCAAGAACCTGAAGTGGTTAGCGTGCATTGTGCCCAGAGCTTTTGATGTTATGATTTTGTACCTTTCACAGGACGATAAGTTGTCTTCATGTGGACTTTGAATGTTTCAAATTAGCACTATGGCCAACCTTGAGACAGAGGTTTATGAACTTTTGAAGCTTTTTGACTCCTCCAAGCGATAAACATGGCGAAAAGATCAGAAATTGCTCTTCGACCCCCAGGCTGGTCCAAACTCACGATTCTGCCGTGAGTCTCACGATTTTTTAACTTTTCAAAGTGACTCTGAAGGTGACTACCGCACAGGTTGTCGAAACGTCAGTCAATGTCAACAACAACAGTCCTATTCAGGACTACGTTCACCCGGACGATCAAACTCAACCTACCAGTTTAAAAACGTAAATGTTAACTGCTGCTGAATCAGCAGGGGCACCTAACGGCAATTTTCGGGAAAATATCTGTTCGGAAGACGATTTGAGAACGAGAATTTTCGGAACATTTGTTGTAAAATTTCTTGCTTGCCTGCCTCTCCTAGGATTTTCGAACATCTACAAAATGGTATAATTACCCATTTTAAACGGATATTTACCCTAAAAAAGGCAACCTAGAATTTTCGGGAGCCTTTTCCTGGCTGAAATTTTCGAAAAGGTAAGTTTTGAGCCCTATAATTTTCGGATCACTAGACTTTCAGCTAGGAAATCCGAACAGATGAAAAGTTTTAAGGGGATAAAAATATTGCTATATCTACCGTTTAAATACTAAAATACGTTCAACAATGCTATGTTCAGTGGTTTTGAACTATATCCTCGTTGGGTGCCCCTGAATCAGCTGAATCATAATTGATTCTCCTCATGTGAACGCCGAGAACTTCAAGCTGTACAACGCCTTCAGCAAGAGACTTCTGGACGCTTTTGTGAGACACTTGTCGGCTATATGTTCTTCAAATGCGACGAAATGAGTTTTTTAATTTAAGTACGGCTTTTACCGTCAAAACCCTCCTTGTTAATTTTCCTCAAATATATCTTTCAATATTCTTCATAAATATCTTTTGAGTATGTAAAATCGGGATATTTTTGATCACCGACGAATCACATGATTGCCGATTGGGTGAGCCGCTTGGGGGTCTGGAGTTTTTTCTCCTAGAAAATTTTGAAATCTTGATGCTCCAGCTGAAAAGCCATTTCCAGTGTTCTGAGAGGACAATTTTGTCTAAGATGTTCGCTAAATCGCACAAACCGATTGCCATTTTTTTTGCTTATTTTTATTTGCGTGTCTTCGCTTCTCGATATTTTAATTTATATTTCGTGCGGTTTTAAAGTTTCCTGGACATCAATTTTAGTTAAGTATACTCTGTTAGGTGTTCTTATATTAGTATCATAAGAATTAATTTGAAAATATCAGAACAGATGTCAAAATCGGGATTTTTCCCATCCCGATCCTATATTGGTCGGGATTCGGGATTTTCATGCAACATCGGGAGAATCCGACGAATCGGGGTGGTTGGACAGTCTGTAAATAAAGCTCTACCCGCTTCAAACAGCGTCCACCGGCCAGAATTTCATGGGCAAAAAATCAGGGGCACCCAACGACAATTTTCGTAAAATATCTGTTCGGAAGACGATTTGAGATCTAGAATTTTCGGAACATTTGTTGTTAAATTTCTTGTTTGCCCGCATCTCCTAGGATTTTCGACCCCCCAAAATGGTATAATTGCCCATTTTTAACGGATTTTTACCCTAAAAAGGTCACCTAGAGTTTTCGGGAGCCTTTTTTCTGGCTGAAATTTTCGAAAAGGTAATTTTTGATCCCTATAATTTTCGGATCACTAGACTTTCAGCTAGGAAATCCCAACAGATAAAAAATTTTTAGGGGATAAAAATATTGCTATATCTACCGTTTAAATACTAAAATACGTTGAACAATGCTATGATTAAGTGGTTTTGAACTATATTCTCGTTGGGTGCCCCTGAAAAATGTTAAATATATTTAATTTAACACGAATGTTCAATATTGGTTGTCGTGGCGTAATAGATAACGCATTGCCCTTTCATGTCGAACTTTTGGGCTTCGCCTCCCACTGGAGGAAATATTTTTTTCCTCTCTTCTTGGTCTTATTTTTCTTTAAACGTATTTTCATTTTTTGACAGACTTAAATAGCAAGTTAATTATCAGCTTTCATTTCTAAAATAATTAATCCAAAAGTTAGCTACAGGCACCCTTTGATTTTTCCTCTTCGCTTTTTTTAGCCTACTATGATTAACACGATTTTCATTGAATACATCTTAAGATTTACCGTAGCTCTGCCATTGATTTTTGCATGTATAATTCTGATAACATTTTGTTGTAATAATTTAACTGAAAGAGCCCATTCCCTATAAGCCTGGTGGCTTCCCTTGGGCTTCCTCGCCCTTAGCTTTTAAATATTTAGATTTTTTTTTAAACATCTTTATGGCAAAAAAATAAACTGAACTAAACTGAGCTATTACTCCGGCGCGAAAACTCTACCGGATAGGGTTTCCGTTCACACATAAGAGCGGAGATTTCGGCACGATTTCTGTAACGGAGCGAAGCTACGCCGCCCCGCGCCGACCTCCGGTTTATTGCGAAGATAGCCTGTTGTAGTATTACTGTATTCCTATATAGGCAAGAGATACTGTTTGCAATGATTGAAGTATCAAAGTCTTTTGGGATCAAATTCCTTGACAAACTCTGCAACATCTCTCCGAGTGGCCATGTAATTAGGCTACGCATGGCGCATGAAGCTTTACCAGTCATAATAGGAGTCATTGCGTCATATTTCCCATGGTTCGTGGCCGCAGAACCATGCGTATTCAGACATGCCATCAGGAATGCAGACATAATCTAGTGCTGCTTGGGCATCACGTGCCCATTGATCTTCCCTGTTTTGTTGTACATCTTCCAAACGCTTTATCTCCTTACACACCCTGCACTTCTGCTCTCCATTTCTCAGCTGCGTTAAACTGAACTCTTCATGCGGAAACCATCGATCGCAGCACGTGCATACAGTGTTAGCGGCCGGAAAATCCAGTGTTCCTTTATCAGGGATAATGTCGAGAGGGAGGTACGCATTCTTTTCGTAGCCATCGAAAGATCTTTCTGTTTTGCCCCGGTACAGGTCAACATACTTATCGGATGCCACTCGAAGACGGGCCTGCTCTCCACCGTTGACATTCTTCATCTTGTTGTACAATCTGAACATGGCCATTGTATCCACAACGCAGTACTGGATGAGATCATCCGTTAGTGGCCTTTTCGTCCACAGTTCTTTATCCTTCTCTAACAACCTTTTTCCCTTATCCTTTATTTTGATCAACTTTTCGTCTTGGAGGTACAACTCAACGCAACGACCAAACCCATATATCTTCTCTATTTCATCAGTTCGCTGACTCCGACGATTCCGACGACCTCCTCGTTTATTGTTGGAGGAAGACTGCGCAGTGTTAGCTGTGTTAGTTGTGGAAGCTGACGGGTTTTCACGGCGATAGATGACTTCAAGCAGCTGCACGTCCAAGACTCCGCTCAATTTTACCTTAAACTGATGCCAAAGCGCGTCGGAGTCTTGTCGACAATCAAACATCAACTTCTTGCGAGATTCGTCTTCAAGGATTGCGCCAAGTCCACTGCTGAATGTGGCTTGTCCTAACTTCTGCACATCAAATATGTAGACTTTCTCTTCAGTTGCTACTGTGATGATGGTAAGGGCTCCCTCTCTGCTCAACGAATTCCCCTCACAATCAACAGCTAGTAGAGTGTTCCCTTCCGCTATCTTCAGTTTGAGCTCAGAGATAGCACCCTGCAGACCAGTGTCACTATCGACGAATCTGTAATCATAATCAGTTATATTTTCATTAGCCATTTTTGGCCAAAAAATAATTATAATTCTTATGAGAGCGAAAACAGATTTCGTCTTTTCTACGATTTGTTATTCTTGTGGAACACTTTGGAAAAGAAAATGGCAGCTGTGTAAATAATTTTGTGGTTCCAAGAATACTTTAATACGCACTTCCACCTTTCCACGTAACATATGATAGCCTCCCACGCAGATGTTCTTTGGGCTTTTTTTCTTCCCTTGTCTTTCCTATGGGGGGTGTGGATGTACAGAGTGTACATTATACTAAGCATCTTAAAGGCATCTGAGTGGCCTTTAAATCCTACAATGAACTACAATGTGGGGTCCATAGTGGATTATCACGGAGAAAACCCGCGTAGTTTTGAAATTTCTACAACTGACTTCATCTAGTCTACAGGGTAACTGGTAATGGGAATTTAAGTTCGATGGTAGTCTTGACTACCATTTTAGTTTTCAATATCGATTTTAAAAAAAGATATTTCGAAGAATGAGACCTTGACTCCTGCAGTCCTTCAGAAATGTACCATGTAAAGACATAGCATCTTTCAAATAGGCAGGGTCTTGCATCTTCAATTTTCTTATTTCTCGCAAAACAGCTGTGAAACAACTGTACAGAATTTTAGAAGTTTATTTTGTGCATTTCGCGCAATATATAGTGCTTCCTTAAGGCACAACTACTTCGTTGCATATCCGAAAACCGTGAACAATCAAGGTGGACGATAATGATCAGATCACACGAAAAACGGCAAGCCGCAAGGCTGATTACAGTAACAGCTTGCCGTTTTCTTTTAACATCTGTACAGACTCCTCCCCTCCGGACAAAATCAATTTTCCCTAAGGGAAGGGGGCGGCTGTACACTGGCTATCTTTCGTCTGACTAGGTAATAACATTGGAGATATAATCGTAGTGTTTATGATATTCGGATCCGCACAGAAACACAAAGCGTAGCTGAATTCATTTTTTAAGAAAAAAAAGTATGCCACTGCATCCTGGACACCATCAAATTACTCACTGTAAAGCCAGAGTTCCAAAAGAGTAGCGACTGTTAATACTTAAACTATGCATCTTTTTTCTAAGGCCGCTTTTGAAAGATAATAGGGACTTTAAGATCCAACGACGCGACGGCAATGAGAACGTCGCACAAAAAGTGAATTTGCGTTCTTCCAGTCTATATCGCAATTATTCCTACCCACTTACTTTGTCAAACGTAGGCGAACCCTCCTGGAGTTGAATTCCTAGGCACCATATCCATGTACAGTAAGAGAAATAAAATTTCGTCGTTGCTTGTTTACTTCCTCCGTTAAACGCGAAATTAGGAATGTTCACGTCGTAGTCGTGCAAAAACGGGCAGAGAAATGTACAAAATAGAATGGTGCACGTGCAAAGTTGTTGTTTTGCTAATCAAACCTATTGTTTTTTGACGTTCTCGTTACGGTTTGCGTCGTTGGATCTTAAAGTCCCTAGCCACCCTTTACGCAGACATTGAGAAAGATATGATCCGCTTCTCGTGCTCTTTGAGGATCACAGACATGTTTCGCCTTTATCCATCTATTCGGGGTCGTTACTTTGCGTTCTTAGGGACCTTACGATCCGACAACGGCGACGTCCATTTAGACGTCGCTGAAAAATACCCTTCTCATCCTATCTCAAGAGGGTAAGGTCCCTAATCCAAACTCGTCGACGACACCTGGGAACAACGCTGCGAATTTTCGTTCCGGGAAACGGGGCCACCTTTTCAGATGATCCGTTGCTCCCGGAAAGGAAGCTTAAGCAACCACGACGGCGAGGGCAACAAGAACGGCAAAAATGCAATAGGTTTGATTAGCAAAACAACAACTTTGCACGTGCAGCACGTTTGTTTGTACATTTATTTGCCGTCGTTGCACGACTACAACGTGAAAGTGACTAATTTCACGTTTTGTCGAGGACGCGAACACAAGACAACAGCTTTCTTTTTCTTTTCCTGAACTTTCGATGCAGTCCACTGGAATTCAACTCCAAAAAAATTTGCCAACATTTGACGAAAGAAACGAGATAAAATAACGGCGATAAAGATTGAGACAGCGCGCGCAAATTGACTTTTTAAGTGACGTTTTCGTAGCCGTCGCCGTCGATGTGGCTTGAGCTCCCTAATTTCCCAAAAAGTCGAATTCCATTTACTTTCCTACCAAAATCTCCGCAAACGTTTTGTAAATGGTAAACCATCCGTGTATTTGCGCCTTGCACGCTATACCTCTCTACCTCTAGATATTAAACCTTGTTTCCAGGACAAACCCTCCAAGAAAAGCTAGAGTCGCGGCTGCCGCTAGCAGCAGCCTGACTAATTATTCTGAATTTACAAACAGGAGACGCTGATCAAAGCTTCAATTGAGCCACTTTAACCGAAGATTTTTCTTTCTTTTTCTTCATTTGCTTCTTTGCTCTAACTTGATCTCTAACCTCGTCTTGAAGACGAGAGAAGAACGTCGTGGAGGATTTCACAGATTTGTCATTTCCGTCGTCTTTGAACAAAGACAGATTTTTCGAGTTTTTATGTTCCTTCTCCAACTTTTCAAGCGCTGCTTTTTTCGAATACTTGTTTCCCAAGCTTCTCGACCAGCTTTCTTCGTTTTGTTTTTTCCACAGCTCGTTCGTGCTGTCTCCGTTTCTTTGCTCGTCGTTCCCGTTTTCTATCAGTATCCGTCAGCTCTGTTTTTCCTTTCTGTTCATTTTTCTTCTCATGAACTTCCTCAGGAGCTAGCATCATGGCATCGCTAACAGACACTGGCGCCACTTCCTCCACCGATATGACTGGAACATTGCTCACAACTTTTAGTTCTGGTTTGGGCTGAAACGTAAAGTAAGAGTTTATGTGAGAAAGACTGATATCTGCTAAATAGAACTTAAAAAAATTAACATGAGAATTAACAAGAGAGGATAAAGCGTAAGAGAATTGATCCCCCATATGGGCCCTCTACCCATTGTAATCCCTCCAAAGTTTTTTTGGAACGCATCGGTTTTCCCGCGGATTGGCATCGACGACGGCGACGGCAAAGAAAACGTCACTTTTAAAATGATTTCGCGTTTTTTCCAAATATTGTCGCGTTTATTCCAATTCGCTGAAAATGTCAAATATGGGTGAATTTCTCAGGAGTTGATTTCTTGGGGACCGAAACGCGAGTTTAGAAAGACAAAGGAAAATTCGTCGTGGTTTGATTACGTCCTCCATAAAACATGAAATCGGGCACTTTCACGTCGTAGTCATGCAGGGGACGGCACAGAAATGAACAAAATTTAATAAGGTGTGATGCACGTGCAGAGTTGTTGTTTTATTGCTTTTTGACGTCCTCGTTGCCGTCGCCGTCGTCGATGCTAAAGCTCCCTTTCTCCTCGCGCCTTGCGTGGAAGTTTCGTGGAGGAGGGAAAGCACAAAAACATGTCGGAAGTGCGGGAGTTGCGAGTAATCCTCTCTTGGAACTACTCATGCAACGCTTCCATGCAGGGCTGCTAATCATTACCACCACAAAAATCGTTGACTTGTCCCTGACCTTAAGCAATTTTTACCGGCGTAGCGTTTCACGGAATTTGATGTTCCACGGGAAAATTAGAACATCTAAATCTATCGACTACAGATTTTTTCTGGATAAGGATGCCCTTTAGGTACTAACTCATGGGCCATTTATACGAGAAAAAAAACAAGCTTCTCAAACAATTAAGGCGCAAACTACCTGCACCAATTGTGCGAGCATATCACCTGCGTCTTAGCTAAGTTACATCTCAGTTATCAATCGATAGTTCGCTTTGACTTCATACTGCAACACGATTGGCAAATCGAACAATGCCTCTTTCATATTAGGGTTTCTTTGGCGGGAAAACGAAGAGTCCATGTTTTGATCTTTTCATCCATTGGCTGATAAAACAATCAAGGTCATACGAAAATCGCTCTATACCAGAAGCTCGCATCTTATTTAAAACGCGTCTTCTGTGAAACAAAGCGTCTTATTTTACCTCGTATAAATAGCCCTATAAGGACTTGTGGAGCAAACGGAAAGTGGAATACCCTAACTTTCCACTAACCGGAACCGTCAAGAACTAGAGTTTTCTATAACATTTTGCAATATACTCCTGACTTCAGTTTCCTTGACCTTGGAGAACCTGTTTCCCTGCCTGCCTTCTTGACCGTGGCAACAGAGGCAGGTCAGCAATACGCATGTAAATACACTTATGATGACACACATCCCTTACCAGTTTTGGCGTAAAATGGAAGTTAGACAGCGCATCTAGTTTTGTGAACAATTTGCTCATCAACGCTTTGATTTCAGTATGTTCTTCATTTTCTTTTTCTTCGGCCTCTTCCTGTAAAAGTAAAGATTAAAAGATAACTTCTCATTTGGCAGTAGGCAGGTTCACGGCAAGGTACTAGAAGTAAGCTTTTAAAGAAGCTGTGTCACAAAATTAATAAGAAAAGTTAAAATCGTCATGCGTAAGATTTCATTTTGTGAAATTTGAAGTTTTTGAAGTTTGTTTTCTTGAGCTCTCATAAGAATCTTTTCTTTGCAGTTACACTGTATTTCATATAACTTATTACATTTATAGCCCTCGAAAAGTGTAAAAAAGAATGCAATATGATTGAAAGAATTCTGGTATAAGGTTTTTGTCCACTGAAAATTACAATTACAGTAAACTCTCTCTTAACGGACACCTCTATAAGACGGTAAAACGGACACCTAGAGTTGGTCCATGCCTTTCTTTACTCCTTTTATTTGACTCTCTATAAGACGGACATCTCTCTAAGACGGACACTTAGTGCCGGTCCCAAAGGTGTCGGTCTTGGAGAGAGTTGACTGTACTCAATTTCCTAATGGATTCCGTATTAATTTCTTTTCTGTTTTCTGTATGAATTATAAATGAGTTTTTGAACAGTTTTTCAAGGTTCACTTTTGTTGTTTGTAACGTTTGATATCAAATGCTTTGAGGGAAATATTTTATGTAATTTAGCGGATAAAGACGAATTATTGGCGATATTAACCCACTGAACTGGACAGCTATGACACGGCCCTTTAAGTGAGAAGAAGAGAATGTGAAAAGTGAATTTGTGGTCATTCACACTTCATTGGGAATAAATTTACGTGGAAAGACTATTACTTATCTTACCTGTGTTTGTTTGAGGTATTCCTGTTCGTAAATTTGGCTGAGGCTTAATTTACTTTTCTCTTGGTCCAGTGATATCTTTTTCTTGTACTCAAATGGTTCTGTTACCGGCTTTATTTTCCGTTCGACATCATCCCATGCCTGAAAGTAAGAGTCACTCGATAAGAAGACAATTTCCTCCATCTAGTTAACTTAAACCAATTGCTTAAATGCCAAAATGGGTTCAAGTTTAGAGGCATTGCACTCAAATAAGAAACAAAACAGGATAAAAAAAAACCCTAAAATGCGAGCAGTCTCATGTATTGAAGAAGAGGCCATGTCGCTGTCGGTATTTTACTACTGTATTTGTGATTTTCCTCATCATTGTTATAGGTTTAAACCAACTTCATGTCATTTATCACCATTTCATCTGTCGTATGCTGCAGTTTCAAGTCCATCATGTCCCTTGTCGGAATAAAACCTAAGGCCTCATTAGTTCTGTACGATAATTACACAATGACTAGACAATATGATTTGCAGTAAAGTTCAGTATTACAAACCTCATCTTTGATTCTTTGCTTAACAATATCCTCAAGGTTTTGAGTTGTTTCTTCTGTTATATCTGGAGCTGTGGCAGATATGATAAATAGCTATTTGATTAGAAATTAACTTCTCCCATGATGAATACCATTTATGCACCTATCAATGTTAACCTAAGAGGGGGGGGGGGAGCAAAGGCTGGGGATTTGAACTTGAAGCATTTGTTTGGTCAAATGCCCTATCCCTGGGACATCATATTTGATTAAAACACCCCTCCGACTAAGACAAGAGGTCAGATACGTTTCACTGAAAGTAGAAACATTGTCATTAAAATGCTGTTGGTATTATAAACAGGCTCACCAGTTTTGTCAGAAGTCCAACAGAATGCAATCTTTCTAATTGTCAAGCAGCAAGACCTTTAAAACTGCAAGTATCCCATGATGTTTTCCATTTTCATATATAATTAGCCATTTCAGTTTGTCTCATTGTGAACTTTAATAACTGTGAACCCAGTGGTAGAATTTTGTTTTTCAGAGCCTTTCAGCTTTTCATTTTGCAGATTTTTTTGAAGGCCATCACTCAATAGATTCATGATTCATTTGAATAAGAATAGAGAGGATGAAAACAGATACCTCACCACCAACCTCGTCCCCAGGGTCTTCTTGTTTTTTATAAGGTTTACTTTGTCACATTTTTTGCTGCTATCTTGCACATGTGTTTAAAAATACCCACAGATTCTTGCGGGAACAATGCCCCCATTTCTGGTTACCAATCCATGGGTAACCGATTGGTAACCAGGTCTTTTACAGCTTTCAATCCAAGATGGCATCCATCATCAGAGGAAATTCAAAAGTCCCCACCCTCGGGACTCCCCACCAAGGGCCGACTTCCTTTGTCAAATCCACGACATTCTCCTGGCCTGCCCCCCTCCAGATTAACATTAGGGAGCTTAAGCAACGACGACAGCAAAGGCTATGAAAATGTCACTTAAAAAGTAAATTTGCGCTGCCTGAAACTTTATCGGGCTTATTCCCTTATGTTTAATTTGTCAAATGTTGCAAATTTCTTTGGAGTTGAATTCTAAAGGATTGTATCTAAGTTCAGGAAAAGAAAAAGAAACTTGTTGTTTTGTGTTCCCGTCCTTGACAAAACCTGAAATTAGGCATTTTCATGTTGTAGTTGTGCAATGATGGCAAAGAAATGTACAAAAAAGCGTGATGCATGTGCAAAGTTGTTATTTTGCCAATCTAAACATATTACGGTAGTTTATTGCCGTTCTTGATGCCATTGCCGTCGTCATTGCTTAAACTCCCAATTGATAGGTGCATTACTGCTACACAAAAAATATTGCACATGCAGAACATATTCGCCACTTTAGAAATGAGAAGGGGAGATGAGATGAAATGTGTTCTGCAATAATATTGTTCCTGGGATCGTTACTGGGGACACGCTAGTAAGGTATTGGCAATTTTTTCCCCTGTCTTTGCAAAAGTATCTAAACTTGACCCAGTTTCCCTAGCCATAGCATATTTTACAGTTACAGGTGAAAACAAGGCTGGAGTTGACCTTGGTTTGATACAACCCTCCCTGCTTTATTACGTAAATCAGGTTTTTCTTATGCTGATTACTTATGTTTTAGCATAATTTCCATAAGAAAAGGAAGGATATTTGTATCAAAACAAGGTCAACCTCAACCTCACGTCCACTCAAATGCTGTGATACTAAGCCCACAACTGTAAAATGGTCTATTAGAAAGTCAGCCTACCAACAGTGAAAAATGTCTGAACACAACAGTGGTGAAAACGGGGGAAGGAGGGGTGGGTAGGTGGGAAAGCTATGTCTTCAGTAGTACACAGATCGCAAAACTGAATCACATAACGAAGTGATATTCAAGAATACACCCAGGACACATGTATTCAAGTGGCCTGCAGTGCAGTGTAGCCATCAGTTTTTGGTTTTGAAAGCATAGGAATGCAGACAAGACAAAAGAGCTCATGTGAATCAACACACATGGAATTTTAGACAGTGATGGCTTTTAATGGCAATACATGTATTTAGCTAAACTGTTTTTAACCCACTTGGTTCTAAAACAGTGTACTTTCAAGTCAATAACATATTTTTACAAATAGAAATCTGAGGTTACCAGTGACAGTAGTGTGATCAAAGCTGATATCTTCTTCAAGCAAGCTGTTTATTGGTCGCACCTTTCCACCTGCTTCACCAGACATCTGCCATGGTTTTTCAGCTAAATTGGCTTTTTCTAGCTTCTCAATTTTCTGCTTCAGCTGAGAAAAAGTAGGTGTAACATTAAAAGCACAAAAATGACAAAACTGGTCCATACAGAGACAATAATATTGTTTTAATCAAAATCAGTATGCTTATACTTTCACTGTTTTAGTGCTACATAGTACTCTTTAATCAAAGCCATATGTTCTAGCTATATGGAACTTTTTCCCTTTCTTAATAAAGCTTGAGACTTGTGCTAAAGATTGGACAATAATTTGTTACACCATGATAAAATTACACCTTATTTCCAACTTAAAAATTCGTCTTTCAGTTGAACCCCATTTTCCACAGTGATGTTTTATTTGGGAGAATAAAAGCTGTTTTCAGATTAAAACATTCATCACCCAAATTAGCTTTGTGGGGAATTCTTTGGTTCATGACATGAATGGGTCTCCTAAGGACAAACTATCAGTGATCACATAGAGGTGTGCCTTAAATATATTGCAAGTATTGTCTGATAGACAGCTAGACACTCCTTCCAATATGCCTTGTGTATGCTTGGGAATCAAAGAGAGAATTTAGAATTAGATCAGGAGTAACTAAACACTTTAAATTTCCATGCACCCCATCTGTTATGGTTAGTCATGTGACCTTCTCAGGGACAAATGTTTCATTGAGAAAATTCAAAATTATTTTGACACCCTACCTTTTCTTGCTTCTTTTCAAAATTAGAAAACACTTTGGATTTTTCATCATCATCGTCATCATCATCATCATCATCATCATCATCATCCACTTCATTTTCATCACCGCTGTTTTGATGGTTTTTCTCATTTTCTCCATCATCTTCACTTTCCATCTCCTCACCAGCTTCATCTTCTTCCTCAAAATAGTTTGAATCACTTCCTGCCTTTTCCAACATTTCTCCATCAGGGGGATCAAAGAAATCAGCATATTTAATTTCTCTTGCAGTCTTCGTCTTTTGCTTGTCTTTCTTTGTTATCTTTCTTTCCCTACCGACAAAACAATACAGGGAAAAACAGAGAAAGACTGAATAAGGGATTCACTTCTGTGGCATTCTGTTACAATGGACATACTTTGAAGTGCATTTCCCATGAAAATAGATAAAATAATCACTGACAGTAGGGTGGTTACAATCAGTTGAGGCTGAAATACATGTTTTTAAGAAAAGGTAAACGTGCAGCATGCAACCATCAAGATATTGATGCATGTAGGAGGTTGCTAAACATGAAAAAAGCATAAGAGTTGTTCAAGGCATGGCCAGGAGCAACTGTAGCTTCTTGAGTATCAGCAAACCTCCCAATTTCTTTCACCACTCTGTGGTTGCACAGCTGCAATTTTAACTATTTCTTTTATAACAAAATAAAATTTCCCCACAGATAACAGGGGAATGACATGAGGGTTGCCATTTGCACACACTATATATGGCTTCCGTAGATCATTCTTTAGAAAGCATTTCCCCTCTAAAAAAACTCTTTTCTCTTAACAAGTAGTTCTCAAAGTGGATTGTAAAACCTTTCCATGTAATCTTTAACAATTTTTCCATACTTTCTTTGTTAAGACAAAAATCCTTTCAAACTATGAGGTAAAAACAAAATATAGTCACACAGAAAGTGACACGTACCGCTTCGGACTTTTCTTTTTCTTAGGATTTTACAAAAAGAAATTTATCTATTGCAAGTAAAAGGGTTAAGCAACAACCAAGTCTTAGTATTTAGAGTAATGGCCTTAAGGTGGCTCGATATAGTTTTTCAAGGTCAATACCTCCCAAGTTTGAGCGTAAACTGCGTCGCCATAAACAAGGATTTGGAAAAATTGACACCACAGTTGTATCAGATAAAGAAGAAAATTGGTTATAATCAGGGTCGCAATGACATCGGAGTTGTCATAGCAACGAAATGACGCCATTACCTATATTACTTGCAGCAGTATTTCTCGGCACTGGGAACTGTTCTTCCAAAATCATTTACTGGAGCTTTTACCTACGATAGCTGCCTCGATGTTCGTGAAGTTTAAGCGAAATCTGTAAGAGCGTTATCGAGATATTCTGGGATGAAGTTTTTCTGGTTAGAAATACGGTAAAAAATTGACAATCTTGATGTTGGACTGTTATCTGTACTAAACGAAGCGCTTTTGACATGCAATTTCACCTCATAGTAGTTTCAATCTTTTTAAAAACGTGTCTGAAAGATCATGGAGATACCTCCAGCCGATTGCTAGAAAGGAGGATTTGATTAGTATGTATCAAGGCGCTCTTGTTAGCGGTAATGTAAACATCTCAGTCTACTTTAACAAATTAGCGAATAATTTTTAAACCGCTCGATAAATTTTTTAGAAAATTTAAGAGTCTTGAGATTAACCCTCCTTTTATATGACCTCTTAGTTTCAAGATTATTGATATATTGTAAGGCAGTAAAATAAGGGCTTGAATTCGCTAACATTTTGTCAGAAATTTTGTGTTTACTAGTGAAAGCCTCTCATTATTCAGGGCTATTGTCTCCAAGTTTCATATTTTCGTGCACAACAATAGCTAGCAGTTTTGCATATGTCAAATGCATTGTTAGTTACTGCTGTTCACGTGAAAATGAAACTTTGAGACACTACCCCTGAATAATAAGAGGCTCTCACTTGTAAAGACAAAATTTCTGACAAAATATTAGCGAATTGAAGCCTTTATTTTACTACCTTACAATATATCAATAATCTTGAAACTAAGAGGTCAAATAAAAGGAAGGTTTATCTCAACACTTGCAATTTTTTTAGAAAATTTATCGAGCGGTTTAAAAATTATTCGCTAATTTGTTAAAGTAGACCGAAATGTTTACATTACGGCTAACAAGAGCGCCCCGATACGTACTAATCAAATCCTTCTTTCTAGCAATCCGCTGAAGGTATCTCCATGATCTTTCACCCACGTTTTTAAAAAGATTGAAACTACTATGAGGTGAAATTGCATGTCAAAAGCGCTTCGTTTAGTACAGATAACAGTCCAACATCAAGATTGTCAATTTTTTCCCGTATTTCTAACCAGAAAAACTTCATCCCAGAATATCTCGATAACGCCTTACAGATTTCGCTTAAACTTCACTTAACATCGAGGCAACTATCGAGGTAAAAGCTCCAGTAAACGATTTTGGAAGAACAGTTCCCAGTGCCGAGAAATACTGCTGCAAGTAAAATAGGTAATGGCGTCATTTCGTTGCTATGACAACTCCGATCTCATTGTAACCCTGATCATAACAAATTTTCATCTTTATCTAATACAACTGTGGTGTTAATTTTTCCTAATCTTTGTTTATGGCGTCGTAGTTTACGCTCAAACTTGGGAGGTATTGACCCTGACAAACTGTATCGAGCCACCTTAAAGAAGGTCTATCTATGTGTAGAAATGCACCTTCCAAGAAACCTCTCCGTTGCATCAAGTGCCTTGTTCCAGTCATCATCTTCCTCATCTTCCATATCACTACCACCAATGTCAACAAAATAATCAACAAGTTCACTTTCATTCTCATCACTATCATCTTCGTCATCATTTTCTGTTTGGTTCTTCTTTTTATGTGCTCTTTCAAATTTTCTGTCTTCTTTGTCTAAAAACTGAAGCATGTCTGAGAGTTTAAAGAACTTGTCATCAACTTGATACTTTTTTGCAGAAGGTTTTTGTTTCCCTTTCTGTTTGCTTGTAGTGTTTACTTCTCTCCGATCATTGGTATTCTTGTCATAATTATTATCAGTTTCCTCGTCACTATTTTCAAGACCAGATTCCTTTCCAGAACTGTAATCATCTGAATCACTTTCATTTCCATGTTCTACAAATCCATTTATATTATCACTAATGGTTTCACTTTCCATGTCTACAAGTTGATTTCCTTCAACAAGATCTTTACTCCTGGCGTAAGCTAAACATAACGAAATCTTTTCAGCTTCTTGTTTTATAATATGGATGTCTTTCTTTCCTAAGTGCAGCAATGGAGTATTCTGCAGCTCAATTTCTTGCCAAATTTGTTCGATATCAAAATCATCTACCAAGAGTTCCTGCAATGGACACGTGCTTGCAAGAGAACGGCTACTATTCGGCTCGTCTTTCTTGCAAAAATCAAAAATGTCCTTCACTGTTGCTTTAGTATCTTTCTCAAGAGAAGAAGGAGGTTTAAGATACGTTTCTGGATATTCTGAAGTGCGTTCGAAGCGTGAAAGTAAAGACACAAGGGATGCCACCTCGTTGTTGTCGTCCGCCATGTTGGCTTGAAATAACTTATGTCAGTGCCAGTCTTTTTTGAGTGATTTTGTCCGTGAAAGAACTGGGGCGAACCTGTCATTCTCATTTTCCAAATGGCGGATGCAGATTCCGACGGCCAAGATTCATCATTTTCAGCGCAGAAGAATCTGAGGAAAGAAGTATCAAAGGGAAAAAGAAGAGGTATAGACCATTTCTTAGGCTTATTTACTTGTTAACTAGTCACATTTCGGGCTAGAAGCTCATCGTACTGACTTAAAAATTCGCCATTGTGTGTTACTAACTCGCTTACATTTGCTGGTGCCGTCGCACACCCTTTGGGCCTTCGATTTAAATAGAGGGGGAAATTAAAAACTTTGATCGATACCTTAAGGCCTTACGTGAAGATTAGTTTGTCATTTATCTTCTACTTTCCGCCATTACATAGCTTAGTGTAGAGTAGTTTATTTTTTCGAACGAATTATAAGAATGAAATCTTGTAAAACAACGTGCATGTATTCATACCGGAAGGCAAGCGGCTACCGATAGTTTCAAGTATTAGCTTATAGCTTTCTTACATTTCTATTGATTTTTTCATTCAAGAAGATAAGAATTTTCTACGGTCTTAGAGAAGACATAGTTTTGGTAGTCATTTTTTTCAGGATAGAAAAAAATATTGAAAACCAATGAAATACTTAGCGTTTGCACAGCTTCTTGGTCGCGAAGAGAGATTTCATTTGATTAAGCGGGGAAATCAAACATTTTGTGGCTAGACACCGGAACGTTTTCTCGAGAACCTTCACTATGTTTGATAATTTTGATCGTAATGTAGACTGGAAGTATTGTATGTCTGTTGTTTTTGAATACATGCTGGTGTTGGCCTACGAAGGTGGATTTTGTATAGAAATTTGAAAATCTTTAGATAAAAATTAAACTATCTTGAGTGTCTTTCTGTCGTAGGTAAGCATATATTAACACAGCTGGCTAGTTCGTAATAAAATGATTACTTGAAGCATCTGAAGAAAATAATGGACAGCAGTGTCAGAAAAAATGAAGAGTTCTTTCATTTTTCTTAAGAAAAGGAACAAAACATAAAGAAAATTTCAAATCAAAGTGTGAAGTACTTCAAATGTCTAAGTTAGAACAGTGGGAAAAGAAAAATCTGTACTTCTTAATGTCAATACATTGCTAATTAGACAGGTGATATATTGGTGATTTAGCAAACATAACATTGAGCATATTGTGGCATTAATCATTATTATTAGCATCTACTTCCCAAACTTCTGTTTCCTCTCTAAGGCCATCCTCTTTTTTTTTCTCTGTTTAGCGTCATCCAAGCGACTCAAATTTTTGGCATTTTAAAAAAAAGTAACAACATAGTTAAACCATTTTTCACTTGAAATAATTCTTTTAATCTGGAAAATGAGCATAGTAACAGCACAGAGAAGACAGGAACAAAAACTGGAACATTTTTACAGTGTATTGTGGATTTTGTTAATCCAAATATGTAAATGTTAACTTTTAACGTCATCCTGGAGTACCAGGGCTTCCTATTCTGAGACTTCTTGTTTTTTTTTTTACACCTTTTTTTTTCAATCCGACCGACCGACCGACCCAAATCAGGAAATACATTTGACACAAAACGAAAACAAAGAAGGGGCATGGCCTTACAAGCAGGCTACTCAAAGCAGTCATCAGAGTATAATAAAGATTATTTGTTGTAGCAAGAAAGAGGACCTAAAGGATTTCCTTAAAGGGGCTATATCACACTATTTCCTATCTTTGTAAAAAGCTAAAATGTCTTTTGCATCAATTGAATTCCAAAAATAATGGTTCAGTTTTGTTATATAAGAGCATATTTAGGCATTGAAACCAATTCCTGTCATCTGTTGCCACAAAAAGAAAAAGGTGGGCCAACGTTTTTTTTTGCTGAAGACTCTGTTTGGGAACATCTCTCGCCTGATAGCACACTACAGGAGGAAGATTGAGCACTGAATAAGCTTATAGTTTTGAGCAAAAAAACATTTTATTTTGGGAAAAAAAATAGCATGGCATCTAAAACCTTTTTGAAAAAAATTCGATGTTGTATATATTTTTATCATTTTTGTGCTGCAAATTCTATTGCATTCTAAACTTGGACATTCTATGCCTCCTTCATAGAATTTTACCCACCAGGCTAAATTGATGTGTAACTATTGAGGGAAGGTGGTTTTGAAACTTGTTCTTTAATCTGGTAATAACCATTCTTCCAAAAATAGTTTAAGTCGCTTTAGAGCCTTCCCTGAGCATACACTGTATGTTGAATTTTAGCCTGTTTCAAGAAGCTTTCTCTCAATGTTCCGGGAAGTCACTGTAGACTGGAGTATATTTACCTATTTTTTTTCTGTTAATTTGGGTCAGCCTAAGTTTGACTCATGAAATCTGAACTGGTTTATGTTGCTTATGTTTATAAAATTCTTATAATGCTGAAAAAGTGTTGTACGTGTGAAATTGTATAGAAATGATAGACATGGGAGATGAAAGCTACATTTGCTGTTGCAGGAAAAAATGTTGTAGAAGAAAAAAGTACAAAGAAGAGAGTCATGAGTAAACCTGGGCATCCTGTGTTGGTTACAGGAGCAACTACTGAGCCAGCTTTCAATGGTGTGCCTGTGAATATGTCATCTGATGATAAGGAACTAGTCATGGAGTACTCAGGTAATTGAATTCTTATGGCTCCTTTGGAGCAAGAATTATTTTTAGAAATGGTATGGCTTCAGAAAGTACTGTTGTCTGATAAAAGTTTTTATGAAGACTGCTAAGGCAACCTTTAGATTTCATTATCTGTCCTCTCTTCGATAAATATGATGCGCGTAAAAACACAGGTACAGGTCACTATGCTATACTAAAGTGAACACAACCTAAAAATAATTTTCTACCAGCCCTCATAATATTAATCCTTTTAATGCATTAGAGAGACTGTGTGTTTGAGACCCACCACAGTAAATAATAGTTGTTTATATTCATCCAGGTGCCATTATTTACTTGCCTTTCGGTAGTAAAAAGTTACATGTATGAATTGTACAATATAGCTCATCACAGATAGAAATTTATGTGGATGTAATATTTTGTTTCCATTTGAGAATAATGATAGTGAGCTTTATACAAGTCCTCCTGACATGATGGTGCTAGTTTTTGTACAAATTATTGATGTCAAATCACTTTCAATCGCATAGTCCACAAGCAATTTGACAATGTTGCAAAAAATACATTATTTAGTTTATCTGAACAAAACAACAAATAAGAAATGCTAATTTATAAGGGCTTTATCATGAAATTTATCAAATTTGAAACAGTAGTCCTGCCACCAAATTGAGTGAAACATAAAACTGCTCAAAATATTAAAAGGAGGTAGAGATGGACAAATTTGAGGGAGATTAAAACAGATTGCAATCATGGTTTCTGAAAACTTGTTAGCCTAACAGTTTTTTCAAAGTTTATTTTTGTTGTTTGGAACATTTGATATAATGCTTGGGAGATATACATGTACGTGTTGTCAAGAGGCTGTCATTTTGTCATTTGCCAGTCAGTTCCATTGTGCATAAAGATACATGTGTAACTGGCATAATGTGCCCCATAATGGACCTTCCTTGTTGCAAACATGTAATGTGACTTCATGGAAATTCTGGATAATTTACCAACAATTTTCACACCCCATCAGAAGGCCTTCTATGTGCAACCACCTCATGCAAGCAAGCAGTTATCCAAAAATACCAAAATTATTTCAGTCAAAGCATTTCAGTGGGAAACTCTTTTAAGCACCATTCCATCATAGGCAATGGCAGCCACTTTTTGTGGTGTTTGTTTATAATTTTCCTTCGTTGAAACTTTTCGTAAGTGACTTCTTTACACATGGTCAGATCTTGCATTTGCACAAATTAGGTATTATACTCGGTATTCTTGGGTCATAAGTAAATAGAAGGGAATCATTTTTTTTTCTACACAGCCTTTTACATATATTTAAGTGGTGTTTCCACTACACCACTCAAAGGTAGTTTTAGTGACAGTTGGATGTGCTTAAACAGTTCAGACCCCTTCTACTATAACTCTTGTAAGCAACAGAAGGTTGAATGTTTGCTACAATGGGCAGCTTAAAGGGACACAGTCAGCTATGGGACCGTGCTGACCTGGACACTACTTTTGCAAGTTTGAAAAGAATTTACCCCAACCCAAAATCAAAAGTACGCACTGGATACATCTAGAAATCCGCTTCAATCTGGCCTAGTGTTTCATTTGATCTCCGATCTTTTATTAAAAACCTCTTTTAGAGCAAACTTTTACTCATCCTGTAGGATCCTGTATTTTATCATAATTTTTTAAACACAGTATCCAAAGGAACATGAAAAGAACAGGTAGAGAATTTCTTTAGAAGTCATCTCCAGAAAAATTCTCCAACATTTGAGAATTGAACAACTTGGAGCAATATTAGAGTGATGAATTTTGAAATGCTTAAATTCACATTCTAAGAGACGTTTTTGCCAGTTAGTCTAAGGAGTGGGGTTTTTAAAATAATTGTTGTTTTCCTATTTTCTTAGCCTAGAAATGTTTATTGTAACCATCATGAAGTGAAAAGTTTCTTTGCTCTGGCAAAAACATGAAGTAGGAAAAAAATTTTTTACTCAGAAGGGTTGAATGTAGAGGTAAATAAGAGATTTGAATGAAATGATTATTATTTCATTCAAATCTCTTCAGCTGGAAGTTTGAAAAAACAGATTTGAACTCTTGATTTGATTGCTCGTAGTCTGGAATTTTTTATGTTCATTGTGTGTCATTGTGACTTTTAAAGTATAGAATCAGCCTGTAGCTACATATTACCAATTATTAATTCTATTGTCTAAAATATAATACAGTTGATTATAAGCTATAAGCCGAAGATACTGACTGTGAATAACGTAGTATTCCACCTCAGGACATAGTTGATAGTTTTTTGAAGTAATGCCCCTAGAGTAGTAGTTGTACAGTGTAAACGCTAATTCTATCAACATACATTTTAATGTGTACTGAATGTTTCATATCAGTTATAAGAGATTTCTGTGTCATGAGACATGGTAAAATCAAAAATATATATCGAACGTACCAGATATTGCTTGACTCTTGACCATACTATTTATGTTTTTGATGAGGTTCTTAATCCATTAGCCATTTCTCAATCAATATCACTTTTTGCAAGAACTTAACAATATCAAAACTGTTAGTCATACACTGGTGAATTTAATCCTTAACAATTTACATAGATACTGTCTGTTTTAAGAGGCCAAAGTAAGATTAAGAACAACAGTTACTGAGTTAAGAGTTTGACAGGTTAGGTACACTGTAGTGAACAACAACCATCAGTAATGAATTGTGAATTGTTATTAAGTCAAGCAATAGCCTCTAGATATTATTGTTCCTGTGAAGACTATTCACTGTCTTGTACAGGTAAGCATAAAACTGCATTCATTATTTAATTGATGTCTTAAATTTGATGATCCGTAACTGTGCATTGTAATTTTGAAATTGAAACTATAGGTCAGTTTTTTCTAGTCTTCCCATTATATACTCTCACAAGCACTATAAAAAGAAGTATTTGAAATAAGTTAAGGAACTGGTTTGATTGGTAGCAATTCCTTAATGAGATATTTTCAAATCATTAAAGGAAAAAGGAAAAATATTTGGGATGAAAGAGAAACCATTGATGCATGTATCCTGGCAGGGCGGTCACTAAGATTTGCATAGGTATACCTGAAACATATTTCTTTTTGGGGAAATGAACATGTAGGAAGTTCCTTTTATTTCCGACAAAAGTTTCCGGAGGATGTGATCGTAATAACCAGCCTTTTGCCCTAATTGACAGCCCTGCTAAGAGTTATTTGTATTTTTAGAAAGTGCAAATGGACAGACTAATGAATATGTGGTTATTCCCAGATTTACAGTAGTCAGAAGTAATTTGTATAGAGTAGAATAGAATAGCTGGACAATTGTTTTCTTTCTTTCAGTTGTACATTTTAAAAGTAGGTGTCATGCATGCAGGCCACTAAACTAGGTTCCCTCAAGTCTCCTGTGGCTCAGTGGTAGAGCATCTGCACTAGTAACCAGAAGGTCATTAGGTTTGACTCCGAGGCGCCTGTGTCACTGACAGCCGGAAAACTCATCTTTCTCATTTATTCGCAAGGCTCAAAATGCACCAACACATATCTATCTTTGACTTTTTTATTGAAAAAAATTAATAATTAAAAATGGACCGTTCCTACCCTGTTAATCAATGGAGCAAAGAAAGGTGCACTGTTCTGTATTTTTATAGGAACCCATTAACAGACAACTCCACCCACTTAAATAGCTCAGAACTACGCTTGAATGAGGGAGAACAAAACCAAAAATTTACCTTGTATGAGCCAGCTCACTAAGAGTATTTTAGAGGATAGTGTGGATAGTGTATCTGGAAAAAAAAAGTCTCTTGTTTGTTGCACAAGATGATCGCAGTCCTAGTTTTCACCTATTTGGTATCTAAGTCGTTTGTCCACTTTTCACATCACAACTCACCTTGTCTTAACCTTTCTGCAGACATGTTCGAGCCATCAAGGGGCAGTGGTTTTATCGACATTCAAGAAGGTGATGCCATATCAGAGAGCAGTGACACGGAGATAGTTGCCCATACTAAAGAACAGGTTCAGTATGACAACCCAGCCTCCTCAAGTGAAACCAACAGTGATGATGATGATGATGATGGAAATAACGGCCCTCCACCGTTAAATAGTGATGATGAAGAAGATAATTATAGTGTTGATGGGCCTCCGCCTTTAGACAGTGATGACAATGCAGAGAACACGGGTGATGAACTGCCAATTTCTACTCCTGACTATGGGAGCAGGGAGGAACTGGATTTAGGGAGAGTTCCTGTGGATAGTGAAAGGAGATTTGTCAAAAGTTCTGAAGGCTCTGAGAGTGAGAGTGACAGTGAGGGAGGCGTCAAGGAAGCGCCTCCTCCTCTTGATAGCGAGGACGATGATGAAGGAGAAGAGGTTGAAGCAGGTCATTCCGGTGCAGAAAATGGTGAAAATGCCACTGTCGAGGCTACAGAAAATCACGTGCTCGATTCGCCTCTGGAAGATGTTGATAATGATGACGAAGAGAGACGTGATGACGATGATGACGTCGACAACACTGAGCATGATAATAGGAATAGCGATGATGATGATGAGGAGGAGGATGAAACTGAGGAACGTAATGATGCCAGTGGTGAAGATGGTATCGATGAACAAGGTAAAAGCGATGCTGAGGAGGAGGAGGAGGATGAAAAAGACGATACTCAGGCAGAGCCAAGCCCTATTGAAGCTGTTACTCACGAGGTAGACGACTCGGATGAAACTGGACAGGCTGATGATCCACCAGCAGAAGTTACCGAGGGGCAGATTCCAGCGCAGCAGCAATCCAGTGAAGAGGAGGTAGAGGACGAAGAGGAGGAGGAGGAGGAGGCGAAGAGTGATAACGAACCTATTCAGAGTACAGTGGAAGAAGCAGATATCGTGTCGGCGGCAAATGCTCAGATTGGCACTGCTGTACTTTCCAGTAAGAATTCACAGGGCGATGATTATGATGACCAAGAGGAGGCGAATGGTAGGAAGGATACTGTTAGCAGTGAGCCTGTTCAGAAAGGGCGCACGGTTATTCCTGAACATGCGGATCCAACAGTTGAAGAGGTTTCTGACAGCGATGAACCTTCAGAGTTTGTTGCCGATGAAGAGGACAATGAGCTGGAATGGGACGTGGAGGACTTTGATCTTCCGAAAAAGAAAAGCTCAAAGACGACCTCTAAGGTTGATAAAGAGGGCTTAGAGGTTGATAGACTTAAAAAATCTTTCTTGGACACCCTTAAGAGTGAAGCAGAGCAGAGAAAAGTTTTGGAAACCGAGCCAAAGAAAAAAGAAAAGCCCAGTAAAGGCTTGAATGCTAAGAACTCCCAAGTTGTAGAAGAGAAGAAACCGGGAAAGGATTTTTCAAAGAATGCACCTGCACGGCAAGTTAAAAATGCTCCTGGCTCCGCCAGGAGAGCAACAAAAGATAGCCCGCCTAAAACCGAGCCTGTGAAATTGGGAAAGACAAGTGTTAAAGGTGAAGTTGAAAATACGTCAAAACATTTAGCAAATTCTAAACCTGTCGATAGTACTGCTAAACCTTTGAAAGCCAAGTCTAAAGCGGTTGAGGATGTCAGCTTAGACAAAACGGAAAAACGTAAGACTGGAAAGCAAAGAAAAGATGGCAAACAAAATTCGACAACGTCCGAAGTGCAATCTTCGGAAATGAAAGCTGCGGTAAAACCTGTTAAGGCGAAATCTGCATCATCTTCTTCGCTTCCAACTGGTGATATTGATCAGCAGAGAACTCAAACAGCTTTACCAGCAAAGGAAAAGAAAAAGAAAAGAGCAAGTACAGAGTTGGCAAAGGATTTACAATCGCACAAGAAAGAAACAGACTCTGTAATCGAGCAAAAGCGAACAGAATCAAGGAAGCCACGAACAAGCGATAGCGATACAGTGTCAGATTCTTCAGCAAGGCAAAGAACACAGAAAACAAGCTCTACGGCATCAGTTGCAAAGCAAAAGAAATCAAATGCAGCTGTTTTGAAAGCTGACAAGGAAAGAGCTAAGGCTGGTGACAGTGGCGAATTAAGACAATCCAAACCTAAACGAACTGCTCCTAAGGCTGTTGTTAATCAAGCAAGACACGAAGATGACCGTCATTTCGAGAATAAAAGACATAGCGGTGTTCTTGAGAAAAGTTTGCCGGAGGCAAAGACGAAGTCTCGAGTTAGACCCACAAGCAATGGATATCTGTCTAGTTCACAAGAAAAGCTTTTATCCCAGTCTGTTCAACGTGAGCGAGGAGCAAAAGAACGTGACACTCACAGACACGGAGGCCCTGCTCATGGGCATCACCACGCCCACGATAGAAGCAAACACGTGTGGCTGTGTAGAGATGATGAAATTCATAAGCTCATAGCACAAAAGGCATCCTTACTTAAGGAATATGAATCAGGAAGCTTGGCTGGCAGGAAAGTCTGTAAGTAACCTCGTTGGTAATGCTGAGGAAAATGTTCCTGGTGTTTAATGACCACTTCTCATGCGCCACCGATCCATAGCCGACACCACAGACGAAACTAAACTTCTGGTTAAGTCTGTGGATCAATTTAGGTTCCTAGGAAACTGCCCACCTACCCCTCCCCTAAGCCATCAGTTTGCCCTAAGTGAGAAGTAAGTGAGAAGTAAGTGTCAAATTAGGTTTCTGGGAAACTGCCCACCTACCCCTCCCCTAAGCTAACATTAACACTTACTTCTCACGTAGGGCAGACTGATAGCTTAGGCGAGGGGTAGGTGGACAATTTCCCAGAAACTTAAATTGATCCAAGTCAGTCTGCGAAACAGAGACAGAATCCTTGTTCTAGGCCCCCATCTGTGTACCAGGATTTGAGTACGCGCCATGATTGGCTTGTTGAAAATACCATTGTCCAATGGCCAATTAGGTGGAAGGGAGATTCGAAGCGCATTTCCGGTAATTCGTTGAGTCCGTTGGGGGCCCAGACAACAAGGATATAGGCGCCGCTTCGTAGACTTTACCTACCCGGGGCTAGATTACGTCTACGACGCAGGCTAAGGATCCACCATCGGTATGATAACGTACGCCGCCTTGAGCAAGAAACATCGCAGGTCTCAACCGCTGGCATAACTGCGAAGTTGAGCTCGAGTTAAGTTTGCAGGCGTACCGCCGGTAAAGACTGGGATGAACGAGGCTTCAAATTGGGCCTCATTTCTTATCAGCCAAATTATAAGTAAAAGTGTTGTTTGTTGAAATCGGAGATAAGTAGATTGACTAGAAAGTTGGAAAACTGTTTTAAGTGTATTAAAAAATTGTCAAAAATTGTCCATATGAAAAGAAAATTGGCGCCTATAAGAAGCAGTGATGAATAGCCGTAGTTGTCTCCAAGCGCCCGTTGTTCAAAGTCTGGAAAGCGCTTCACCCCGGATAAATCGGCACTAAATCCAGCGGATAAGTACCGGTATTAGAGTTAGCAATGGCGTTATCTAATGAATAGTGATTTATCCAGTGAATAGCACTATCCATCTTTTGAAAAACTGGGGCCAAGAGACGAATTTATTATAACAGCACACATTACAGCCATTTTGCTACTGCAGTAGCAATGCGACCTTCGACCATAATCTGAAGTTCTTCATAAAACTCTAAATTGCGTTTTAAGTTTCAGGTCACAAAAGCCGTTACAAAAGAGAAGAGGATCTAGCTAGTCTCCCGGATGTTGGGTTTATAAGTAGCAAAGAGGCCAGGAGGCATCAGTCTCGGCCTCTGAGCGAGGCTATCCCAGACCGGGCTCCATACAGCTCACAGCGCAAAGATAAGCGACGCTCACTTCAACTCCGATACTCTGGCTCCTCTTCAGATGACGACGAGAGAACAAACAGAGCTGTTGGGTCAAAAAGAGGTGGCACTTTTGCGGTGGGTTTAGCCGCAAGAAACATTGATCATAAAGATGTGGGCGGTGGAGAGAGTGAGTCAGATCATGAGGAGTCTTGTGAGTACTGCGCGGCAGAGAAGGTGAGTTAACACCTCTGAACGCATTCACAGGAGTGTTAGGCCTAGTTCAAACGTCAAACTTTTCTTGTGCCGAAATTATACTTGTTTGGGTCGACCCCAATGTTACAAGTTCGACGGTTGATTCAGACGATTAGTTGGACTCAATTCATTTTTACTATGTACCGGTCAAAATAAATTGTATTAATTAATGTATTAGGTTCGGTACGGGCAAAGTTCGACGTTTGAAACGAAGTCGCTCCCCAATCGAAATTCCCATGTGGGCCATGTGGGTCGACCCAAATTAGATATGTGAATGTCGCACTTAATTGATTCAAACGTCGATGTTTTCATGTACTTAATTGAACGGATTAGGTTAGGTACATGAAAGGTTCGACGTTTGAACTTGGCCTTAGGTAGCCTTCAGCGCGGGCGTCTTCTGGGTGGCGCATGAGCACTTCATTTCGCTCGGGTCAATAAAATGTGATGTGCTAGTCTAGGGAGACAGGGGAGGGGGCGAGTGTATTTCCTCCCTCCGCCTCCCTTACTAGGCACTTTGTTCTCTCAGTCTTGCGTTCACTCTGTTGATCGTTGTTTTTACTCTCCACGACTTTCGAAATAAAAATTGGCGAGTACACTCTGGTCAGCGTTGTTTCGCCTAAAAGCCAGGTCTGCTCTATAAATCCTCGGGACACGTAACAGTATTTTTGAATTTGTGGACGACATCTTCACACGAGTGAAGTGACATAGCTGAAAGACATTTCCAATTTCCAAAATAAACTTTTTTGATACCCCTGTGCGTTCTAAAAACTGGCGTATTTTTGAGATTAAAGCTCTTTTTTCGCGTTTTTATTGACTTCGACTCGGTCCATAGATACATGTAGGCAAAAATGAACTTGGCCAATATCCAGCTAACTTGACCTCACGCCTGGTTAATAACGTATATTTATAGTTACATTTTTTAACTTGAGGTTACTTCCAGCTTTGCTTCTAATCTAAGATGCTTGCTGATTGAGATAATTCGTGTTTGGTAGTCGAGTTTGCTTCCCCTAACACTTCACACAATCGGCTTTCGTGCTAACTAAAAAGCTCCCATAACTCGTCAATTCTTGGAAGCAAGCGCACTCTTTACTGTTCAGCTTTCCCTTGCTTAGCTTAGCGTTGATATTGTTCTCTTTTTCTTCCTTCACTTTATCTGGTTTCGTATCCGCTTTCTCTGCTATAAATTGTAAGATGTCGTGGGACGAGTACGTGAAGAACTGTAAACAGGCAGTGACTCACAGACAGAAGCAACATCAACAACCGCCTCAGCTAGATGATGGTTCGCGCACTTTACCTCTTCAGTTGCCGCTGCAATCTTTTCGCTTGCCTGGACCGTCTCTCGATGATCCTGTAAGTCTTTTTCTGCCCTCGCGTTACTCCAATCTACGATGCTTCACAGCTCAACGGGCATTCAGACGTTTTCGCCTTTATATCAGCAGATTAAGCTTCTATGCTTGTTAGTTCATTGAAAGAGCACTCGACGTTGAAGTCCGTCCAAAAAAAAATTGGTTTGCGACCTGTTTCTCTTTCCTATTTTAACCGTAAATTTCATACACTCTTCACTGACGGTTTTGCCCTTCTTTGCGCTCGTACTCATTGATCCATTTTGAATGCACTTGACTTATACTCGCGTAGATTCGTCAACTCTACTTTAATCATAGCCATTATGTCCTCTCAACTTTCATTTAACTAACGAACGAATAACTTGTTTATTGACACCTTTTGCTGCTTGGTGCTAATACAGATACAGGCCAGTTATATAAACAATACATAATTAGGACACTAAGCGGTAGCATATTGTACAGTTACAAAATTCGCGAAACGATCAGTATTCGATGGTAGGGTGGTAAATGGTCGATTTGAACGTGTACAGTAAGCCGAAGATGAGTGAAGTGCGCTTGTTTTTATCCAAAAATTTTGGTAGCGGGAGGGTGGCTTTAGCCAAGAAATTTCTACAGGCTTACTGCGTGATCGAATTTTTTCTCTATTTTTCGGTGTAAGTATAGTAGTATCAATTCCACTCAAAAATGTTTTTCTTTTTAAAGTCTGTCAGATTTATTTGCCTGGAAACGATCCAAAATTGGTGCCACAGTGGGGAATGGGGCACGTAGTGCCTTCTGGGAGATCCGTCCGCCATTTTGTCTTTTTTCGACATAGACGTGACTTACCGTTAAGTTCCTAAAGTAACGACCCTCCGAAAGTAGCGATAAAGTTTCAATGGGTACGTTTTATCTTCTTTTTTTTTCAAAAAGTCCTCCTTTCGTCTGTGAATACCCACACCGTAATCAAACAATTCTTTTGAATATTTATTTAAAAAGCAATAACATGAAATAAGTTTCTCCAAGTAAAAAGTGTGGATGTTTCCACAATTGTCGCGAAATTATATGGCTCCTACGACCCACGTACGATATATGTTTTAGCTACCCGAAAGTAGCAACCTCCTGAAAGTAGCGACCCTCCGAAAGTAGCGATAGGAAAAGGCTGCTAAATCCGAAACTCGTTACTTTCGTAACTTTATCTTAGTTCAGTTTTGATTGGGTATTGCCACAGTGATACTAATAAAGACCGCCACTATAACTAATTAGCTACCTGACATTAGTTTCCAGACGCTAAGAGCCTGCTCACAGCTTAAAGAAACACCTTATCGTATTCCAGCTCCGGAGCGAGTTTACGAAGTTGCGAGTTTGTTGATCGTTGTCTTGGTATACGTGTTGACGGGGTCTAAATAAATGCCGCCAGATTCTTTCTTTAACGGGCAGGTTGCTCGGAACACCCGGCCTGATTTTGCATTTTTTATAAATCATGTAATCTTGGTCGATTTTTGTCGCCTAAAGAATTAACGAACCAAATCGAGAAATGCACGTTAATCGATTATTTCCTAAAAGCAAGCGAGTTATCTTTAAACCGCGTTCTCTTTTTAGCATCTGTAATATTTGCCTGTCTTTTTAGCGTTTACCTCTTTGAAAAAGGGACGATTACCGCCTGAATGAGATTTTCCTGCAAATGGAACTTTTTTTCTTCACAAGTGCTGGTAGAATGAGCCATTAATCAAGCGAATGTCAATTTGAATGTAATATATTTTATACTCAAACCTTTCTGTCGAGTTAATTGCGAATACAGCTAACGAAGTTGTAAATTCGGAGTTTGTGGATGAAAACCTGTAGCGTGACCCTTCAAATGAAAGCTCTTCGGAAGCGCTTTCGCATCGTTGACACTTTTTTTTTCATAATCTTCGAAAAGAATTTTTTGATTTGTCTCAAGTTTTGGTTTAAGCGCTCTTGGGAATGAAAGGGTCAAATGAAACAGGTTAATTATTTTGGCTGGGGATATGTTTTATTGGTACAATTCAGAGATAAATAATTCACCCAAAACCACTGCTGTGATGTAATATATGGATACGAGTTAACTCTGTCAACAATGAAGAAAGACTTATTTCAATAGGGGAAAAATTCTATCTCCAAAATTTTCAACTGCGATACTTTTGTTTTAATTATGGGGCAGTTGACCGTGGTTATTTGAACTTCTGATTTACCATTAGCGTCCTTTTTTCTGACATTTTTCACCGAGCACTTAATGTATCTTCATGAAACTTGTATTCTTGACGACTTGCATGATTTTGTATGTTTTTTCGTTCAGTTTGTTGTTTATAATATATGAGTGTGATATTTACTTTCGGTGCTACAATTTTCACTGATGTCATTCTAATTTTTTAAAGATCAAAACCCTTAACATTAATTTACAGAACTAACATTTCTTTTTTTTCTAGGCTGCTGCCGCCGCCAAGGCCCGCGAGAAAAATCCAGGTACGAGTAATCGTTGAATTAAATTTTTGTTTATTCTTTCAAAGAAGTTTTGTTCTGCGCTCAGACATTCGCATAACAAAAACCCTTGTGGGCTAAATTAATGTGTAAGCGAAGTCAGAACGTTCTTGCATTTTTTCTAGAGTTTTTTGTTTTTATTTATATAGAAAAAGCGCGAAAATAAAGCATGATTGCTTTTCCAAAATTAAAAGAATTTAATAAGTTCTTATTTCTTTTACCAGCGCTACTTAGTTCGCGAGCGTTAGAATCGTTTGTTGTGTAAGCTTCTTAAAGAAGAATATGATGATATCTCGAGCGACTGCCTAAATTGCCAATTTTGTGTTAATTTTGTACTAAATGCTTTCACGGTGGCTTTTCAGTTCACTTTTGGCTGTTTTGTCCAGTTTTAAAAACCAGGCTAAATTACGTCTGCGTTTACACAGGCATTGGCTAAACCCGCGAACTCCCAGAGAGCAGTTTCGCGTCGAGCTGAAATTTGTGCGGTCGACGTCGTAATTGTGCCCGGACACTCTTCTAATTAATACATAGCAGCGATCGGTTTTTTCTTGTAGCGCTGATTAAAGCACAGGGAGCCCACACAATAGGGCCATTTATACGAGGAAAAATAAGACGCGTCTTACATAAGACACGAACTTTCCGTATAAACGGCACATTTCGTCTAAAATAAGACGCGACTTAGCTAAGACGCGTCTTATTTTAGAACAGACCTTAACACCTGTTCTTAGATAAGACGCGTCTTAGCTAAGACGAGGAAAACTTCGTTTGAAAGACCTTCGCGTCTTACATAAGACGCGGACGCATAGTACGTGTGTGTGTGTCACCGATTGTTATTTTATTGTAAATGTACTGGGTATTGGAACAGTCAACGGCGAACTCAAAATCGCTCAAAAAGCCGCTTTTGAGGCAAAAGGACGACGATATAGCACAGGTAAAGTAATTCAACGTTTATTAAACATTGATTTATATACATTCTTAGCGATATATCGCTACAGGTGAAGCGAACGGTAATGCACCTATCAATGTAAATCCCGTGGGGGGGGCAAGGAGGGGATTTGATGCCTGAGGCTATCCCCATGTCGGGCTTTTGATCGTGAAGCGACCCCGGGGTCGGGACATTTGACTTTGACCGATAGAAGCCTGGTATCAATTCAGAAGCGGTTACCAAGTCCGTCCCTCGAGGCTTTCTGAAAGTCACGCTGTTGGAGAAAGGTATGAAGTTTTCATTTGTTTTAATCGCCATAATCCGATACTTTACACTGTCATCTAAACAGATAATGTCTATTTTGAGAAAGTTTTTATCTTCAAGTTCCCATCTGATTGTAAACCTCGATTGAAATCGAATTTTACCATGAAAGTCAGAGGATTTTTTACGGGTCACTGATCCGACCTGTTCCCACATGTTGAGCAGGTGTTATAAAGCATTTTACGTTTCATTAATATAATAGCACGGTCAATCTTCCTGGAGCGATTATGTTGTTCAAAATAAGAGATGCTAGTGGAGAGAGAAAATACTTAATTACAGCAAGTAATTTAACGGAACTTACGTTAACCTTAAATAAAAGTAGTAAGAACGTACTTTTGAAATGTTCTTTTATTCGTTTTAAATAGTATTATAGTATTGTTTGTTTAGATTTTTCCCCGGGGTGGGGGCTTTTTTGACACTTTTGATTGACCTTTCGTTTCCCACCCTGGGGAATTTGATCAAAAAATTTTAAAATTTGTCAAATCCCCACCCCTTGCCCGCACTCCCCCCACGGGGTTTACTTTGATAGGTGCATAAATCCAGTACATTTACTATAAACTAACAATCGGTTACACACACGTTGTGTGGGTGCTCTGTGGTTCAAGATCTGAGAGGCGAAGTAATTTTGGCGTTTAATGTTTCTTCGAATAAGCTTATTCGCTGCTTTTTAATTTCTCAGGCTTTTGATTTGCTTCTTTAAAAAATCCTATTTACTCGTTTGCGTAAAATTGACATTGGACGTTGTAATACACCGATTCTAGTACGAGGCGGAAGTTGCATTCCATCAGGGTTGTCTGGAATCTCCGGCGACCGGCGAATATTGCCGTCTCAATCGCAGTCTCGCTCCCAGGGTTCTCTTCTTCTCGTCTAGGAGAGAACCCTGGGAACTAGGTTGGCTTAGTCGTCATATAATCGACGGCTACTCACAGAAATAATAGATCGGTCGTCTTGGTTTCGCAACACTTTGTGGGACAAAGACAAACATATGGCAACCACCAACAGCACACTGTGAGGTTACAAAAAGTTTATAATGTGTTTTATCAAATGGCGACGAACGAGTGAAATTAGGCAATTATTTTCCAATTTTACGAGTATACCATATGTGTACCTATTAATATCATAGGTGACAAATTACACTCACTATCTTGAGTTTTGCCTCTTTCATTCTATCGAAAACACCACGCACTAAAAAGTTTAAGGCATACAGCTGTTTCGAGTAAAAGAAAGTGCACGCGACAATCCCGAAAGGCGTTGTGGGTGGCTTCGAGTTGACTGTTATTCAAAGAAATTTGAAAGAACGACTCGAGAGGCAATGGGCGTATGCTTGCGGGTGCTAAAGGAAAGCAGCAAAAGTAGTTTCGACAGCTACAGTGGAACAGTCTATTGATCATATCCCATATTTCCTTTCGGGATTGTCGCGTGCACATCTTTTCCGACAACCTCGCAAAATAGCTGTATATTTTAGGTTCACAGTTTTCTGTATTGTCGTTAAAGTACCCGTTCGTATCCTTTTTGCTTTTTGAGTTTTCCTCTTTTGTGTGTTTAGGTTTTCTGGAGCGTGTCGTAAGATCTTTGTTCGTAACATATTTAAAGCTGGACGCCTTCTCGGCACTGACATTTAAGAAGCGTTGCCATAGTAATTTTGTACTTTAACATGTGACCTCGATTGGCTCCTTATTTTGATCAAGGATAGGGTAGACTAATAGGCGATCGGTTGATTAAGAGGTTATGTCACACTTTTTGCCATACCGTCGGTTGTATCTAAGCGTGGACACGAGACAAAAAATCATGTTCTAATAGGCTGCCAGACATGACGTGTTTTGCCTCCAAACATTTGAAGTTTGACAGCCGTTAAGGCCGCCCGCTGTCGCGCCAAAGGTAAGTTGTACAAATGTTTTTGATCAGTGCGTTCCGCTCTGCCTCATATTTCATTTTTCTCAACTTTTAGGCCTATTTCTCGCTCAGAAACAGCACACTTGCCTCCAGAAATTATTCTTAACTTCTAAAAAATTTTTTGCAACGAATTTTTTTGTTGAGCGAAAACAAATCAAGTCGACAACAGCCGCCTGCTGCAAACTTCGAATGTTTGGCGGCAAAATATGTCATTTTGCACCCAGTTAGAGCATGTTTTTTCCTCACGTGCACACGCTTCGATGCAACCGACGGTATTTTTAAAAAAGCTAAAACGTGTATTCGCATTAATTGAATTCCAAAAATAATGGGCCAGTTTTGGTCTTTAAGACCATATGAAGGCGTTGAAATTGTTTCCAATCGTCTGTTGCTACGGATGGCAAGGATGGACATGGATTAAAATTTGAAAGAAAAGTAGGCCAGTTTTTTCAAGTTTTAATGCTATGCCTACAAAGTTCTTCAAATAAGTTACGGTTAGTGCCCTCTAAGAATTTTGTGTGTTATCTTCTTCAACTCTACAGGAGCATTTAGTGTGTGGGTAAAGACACTAGATAATTGACAGAAAACAGCAATATCGTGTTGACTTACCCCCTTTAAGCATTGTAGAGACGCAGAGACGGTATGGGAATTAGCGGCAGCATCTGTGCAAGAGAACCAAGCGAAACGGTAGTTAAGGTTCAAACAAGGCCTACAAACCTCTCACGCAAATATTTTCAATGCGGCATACGTTTACCGAGTCCTTTCTTCCTTACTGTGCTTTGTTTTTAAAACTTGTCCAAACAGAATGCTGCAAATTTTCCTCAAATGAATGCCTATCAACCATGTTTATAGTTTAATTTTGTCGAAGTGGTGTTTTTTTTACGTTTAATTGTTATAAGAAAAAGAAAAACATTTGCAAAATTAATGATAAAAGAGATTCATTTTGTTGAAATGTTGACTTTTCAACATTTCATAAAAACATCGACAAAAATTGATGGCAAAAGAGATTTATGTCTGAGGGGCTAATTCTCATCTTTCCGCGATAGTATAACAAGAGATAGCCCAGTTTTCGAGTTTGCAATGTTGAATTTTTGAACCAAAAAGAGGATATTACAGCAGTTGAAAATATGTAATTGGTGTTTCTAATTTTATTTACGGCAACGAAGCTATTCAGTTTAAATAAATATTTATCCCTTTTCATGCAGTCAGCATAAACTATTAAAAGGCTTTTAGATGAGTTTAATTAAAATTACATGTGGGTGAGACGCAATTCAGAGCTTTTTTACGCTGTGTATTGTATAACATGAAGCGAAAATAGTTTCTGTTATTAAATATTCCCCCTTGTCGCGTCAGTGAATGTGAATTGACAAACAAAATTAAAAGAATTGCTTGTTTGTTAGTATTCTCTATTTATTCTAGGTTTTCTTATAGCGATTCAATCAACATGCAAGATTTTTTTTCAGTCTTTTTCTCGTCTCATTTAAAACAGACAACGTTCACCTAAACTGATTTTTGAAGCGTTTTAAGTGGTCGGATTTTTAGTTTCATTTTCGATTTCCCTGTGTCTGAAACCTTCTTGATAACTGTCACATAAAAAAGTGCGAGTGGATTGCTAAAAACTAGAAAAACAATTAAATTGGCAACTGCTCCTTCATTTTGCAACGCAATAAATATGTTAAATGAGAACATTTCAACGGGCTGCCGGTCTTTTAGGCGATATTACGCTAAAGGCTGTATCAATTAGTGGTATTTCCCTTGTTTTCCTGCTGTTTTGTTTCAGGAAAGCGTTGTAAAATTACTTTGGATGCCTGTAGCTATAAACATGAGGTGTATTTTTAACCTTCGACAGCTGACTGTTAGCTTGTGCCACTGCATCCGCGAACGTAAATTTCTTACGTAGTTCTGTCTACGAGTTTTTATATTTTTTCACGCATTTTGTTCATAAATTTTTAATTAGCTGTAGACCGTGGGCGCCCTGTCAGATCCAGTCTGTCATATATTATAAAACTGGTCGGACCATAACAGACACTCCTCACTTCACTCTCTTTGCCTTTACGTGAATTTTAGTTGTGTGCTTTTCGGCGCGCTTTCGTGTACGCGCGAGTCCTTCGTGGCTCGCTTGACTGTTTGCGCGGGAAAAAGTGGAAAGCCCCACGCTTGGATTCTAATGACGGGCCTTTAATACCCGAAATGGTTTCCGATGTGTGCGAGTTAAACATTCCGGAAGTGAAACTGTTCTTCCGATTCTGCGAGCACAGAGATAGCGATGTCCTGCCAGTGGGTATGAAGTTTGCGAAAGCTATCTTTTCAACTTCTGTTCGTCAATTTGTGATCCACAATTGATGCGATAAAACTGATTTGCTATCCGGCTCTGTCTGCTTGGAAGGCGAGCTGCAAGCGAGTTTGGCAACAGCTGCTGCTGCTGCTGTTAAGTGCTAAAGCTTAGCTTGGTTTTCCTTTTCTGTGTTTTTTTTTCTCAGCTTGGGAAGGACCTCACCATCCGCGAAATCTACTATTGGGAGTTGTGTACACAGCAAAGGTAAGCCAATGTTATTTTTTGAAGTAGAAATGATCTAACAATGACGGATTTTGTGGTTTGCGGGTGTCGATAAGTCGAGTATAGTTACAAATTTCACCCTCATTTAGTGTCAAACTCAAATTTAGGTTTTCCACCAAGATAACTTGATAACGAAACAACTATGTTTCGTCACGTTTCCTCTTTTTTTATTTTCAAATTCAGCTGAAAATTATTAATTTTTGAGTCAAAAAGTTGGTCGGAGAGAGGTCACAAATTACTGCGAAGATATTTATTATGACTATGTCACACGCTGATAGTCACAAATTGGAATATGTTTTTGGGCTGAAATTTGGCGTTTATTATCAAACATTCACTCCTAGTTTATTGGATGATTCACGTAGGATTTGGCGTTCATTTGCGTTGTGCACGATTGAAAGTCTTTTGTATCCTTCTTGTTTTCTTTGGATGGCAATCATCTCTCCTTTCCAAATTTGCATTCGAAAGGTCCGCTATTGTGTTCACTGACAGGTCAATTTCCAAACAATCAACAATCGGAAAAGTTCCTTTCTTTCCGTCACTATCATACCTCCGCGATTGTATAAAAGCCCCATCTTGTGTGGAATCACCACAAGTAGACATTGTCTCCGCTCGCTGTTTACAGAGCGATTAATGTTTCCAACGAGGGTGATAAGTATGTCTATAAAGTAATTCTAAGATCAGGTAATATAAATTTAAGAATAACAAACAAGATTAATGCAATTCTTCCACGCTTAAAATTAAAAAAAGGTTGTGAATATGGGTGATATTTGACTGCTAATTGTAGAAATAAATCAGTTTGCTGGGAAGATGATATTCCTGCCGTGCACTCACCATAATATACTGCATTTAAGTTATAATTATTTTTAGCGGTAATAGTTTCATTGTTTCTTAAAAGTTCGGGAAAGAGCTCCTCGCCGGCTTTTTATAATAATTCTTAGCAAACGATTCTTTTTCTTTCACAAAAGCCATGTGGTCCTTCATCAGTGATTTTCTTTAAGTCTTATGCTTTATGTGGAATTCAGTTTTTTGAAATCATCAACCATCTCAGCCGTGTCCGTTACGTCACAGGGGTAAGAACGCCTTTTGTAGAGCAGATGTTCAACATATTTGTGGCGTATTAAGACTGTTCGAACGTTCTGAGTCATCGAGTCAGCATTTTGAAGGTCATTGAAAATCAGTTGTCTGGGTTTTTTGGAGTTCGGATACTTTTCTTTTCGCTGCCAAACCGACCTTATTTTGTCCCCCCCCCCCCCGCCGCTCTTCCCAAAAACTGAGGCGTACCTAACGCACCTGACTTGATGATTTTTCCGGTTTCATTACATTTATGTTAGTACCTTGGTTCATCGCAAATCATGTCGCCGCAGTCGCCAAATAAAGCTGTACGGATGGAACAAGCTCAGGAGGCCGTGGGACGAATTAAGGCAAGAGAAGGAATTCATTTGACTGAACTATTAATTTAAGGTCGTTATCACTGACTTTAGTTCCTTCAAACCAACGCTAAAACGTTCCCTAATGTACTGTTTCCTTGCCCAGGTGAAATTGCGACATACTCGTATAGCGGTCCATTTGATGCCCCGTTTTCTTTTTCCGGCAATGGTGAACTTACACAACAGAACGGGAGAGCGAAGAAGACGGCAAAACTTGTGTGACAAGCGTGACAATTATTTTGTTTGAAAAAAAATTTGCCTCAAACTTCATCTTCATTTAAGTAGATCTTTTTGTAAAAGACCAGTAAACATTATTGTCAAGAGAACATACAAGTATTGATAAGAGAACATACAAGTAGTACCCTTTCACGCTTGTCACACACAAACCTTCTGTTTTGCGTAAGCTCACTAATGTTCAGCACTGACAAGACGGCAGAGGTTTTGCTTGTAGCGCCAAGTGTTCTTGCTTGGGGTACTGCAACCTCGTTCTCACGGGGCACTGTTCACACTGAATATGATAAACCACCCTACATTTCTTCTTCTTGGCCGCAGCGTCTTTTTATTCGCATGGAAGACTTGCTTCCGTAATGAGTTAAAGGGTTTGTGGAAGACATCAAGGGCTGGCAGCGGATCTTAAATCCCAACACAACCTGCTGTTCCTGTCAGCAAGGTAAACTTTATTCGATAAAGCAGAACGCTTTATAGTCCTGAAGTATCAGCCGTCTCTTCCCCCCCCTTCCTCCCCCCGCCCCCCAAACGGGTGACCACAACACGCTTTACTGTTTTCCAGGTGCCGGAGGGTGAGGATCAACCTACCACGGATGTGGATCTGTTCATTTCCACGGAGAGACTCAAAGTAGTCAACACTTCAACAAAGGTCAGTGCAGTATCACGCAGTATCACACTGAATCACACACAACGCGAGAATAACTCCAGTAGCGGCAACACGTAGAATTGCTGTATTCTGTCTACAGTTAATAATTTTAGACACGAGAAGTTTATCATCAGAGCCAAATTGACGTTTACACAAGTTGTCGAAATGTTACTCTGTTACTATTACCAACAGCCTTTTTCACGACTACACTCGCTCTGACGATCATATTCATTTTCATTTTGGACTCGACTCCAGGGTTTAAAAGGCACACATCGTAATTTACCCACTTTTAGTACTGTGTAGTAAGTTAACTTATAGGCGGCAATGTCTAAAGCTCATAGGAAAAGCACATTCCAATACCACCTCGTTTTAAAAATCGCAGTTCTCCTTGTTCTTCGCAGGAGGTGATGTTAGACCACGCCCTACGTACCATCTCTTTTATCGCTGATATCGGCGATGTCCTGGTTATAATGGCTCGGCAACCACCTGAGGAACAAAGCAACCAGGTGCCGTTGAAACCTTCACAGATTCTGGCCAGTGTCGGTACAGCACAGACTGATCACAAGAACATCAAGATAACCTGCCATGTTTTTCAGTCACCAGAGGTTTGTCAAGACGCATGCCGATGAAAATTCGTTTTTGTATCCCTTCGGTTTAGTTCTGTATAAACGGTTTTTTTACGCTCAACTCCCTTGGAAATTTGTCGTGACTTCCTTGCGACCTTTCCCCCACCAGTTCCCTGACCGACTTTTAATTACGGTGCCTTCGTTGATTTACATTTCATTTCCATTGGAATTTTGAAGCTGCTGGAATGAAGCGTACATCTATTTTCGTAATCTGAATCTATACCACGTCAGCCACGGTTGCTAATGTTTGAGTGTATTCGAAATTTTTCAGAAAGAAAACACGAAGGAGATAAACGTTTAATGAGTTTCTAAATGTATTAAAAATACGGCTGAATGTTAATCTCCCACTTTCTCGGGGAAAAAAGGAACAAAGATTATTCTAAAAGTGAATAGCAGAGAAGCCGTTCAATAAACTCGCAATTCTTGTTTTATCGCGTCTAAAACACTAAGCTCGCATTTTCAGCTTGATAAGAAACTCGTAATCTTTTTATTATACCATACACAGTGCTTTTGCAAATCGATTTTTAGAATAAATTCAATTTGTTCTTAATCCGGAATAACACGATCCGATTCAATTTTTGACTGGGACCAGTGAGCAAAAATCCATCAACACCTCTGGAAAGAATGCCTTATTATGTAAAATCAGTACATTTGCCAAGTTTTAGAGTGAATTATTAAAAACCAAAGATAGAGCTTCGCAAAGTCGAGCAATTTTACAGACGTTTGTATAGTAAGGGCAAGTTCGTGCCCCTCACCATGCAATCGTCTTTTAAAATTTTGCGACTTTGTGGAGCAATAAAAACCGTGCCTTTTAGTTAATCGTCTTTATAATTGGTAAGCTTACTAATTTTAAAGTGCTCTTTGCAGCAGTGTCGATGGATATTAGCTTACTGGGGTCAATTTAATAAAACTTTTAGAAGGGTAGTTTACAAATGTAGCTTTTGTTTTCGGACCCTAAAACAATGGCTACACTCGTAAATCACACTTGAAAAAGTTTTATTAAATTGACCTCTGGTCTTTTTTAAAACTTGAAATAAACCGTGAAAGGGTCAATTGTGCCAGTCGGTGAATTGTGTTAGAAAAAGGAAATACCTTAAAGTTTCTTTTCTATTTGTTTTAGGCGCAGGTGATAGCTAAGAGCATCGGCCAAGCGTTCAACGTGGCTTATCAAGAGTTTCTAAGACAGAATGGTTTGTCAGAAGACGTTGTTGAGGACGCCGAGTACAATGGCGTGTTAGAAGCACAGAAAATACTCGGCGAAGATCTGTCGTTATTGGCTGATGAAAATAGCGCTAAAGAAGTAAGTGAATTAACTTCACTTGAGTTACAATTCGATTCTCTTAACCGAATGTAAACATGGTGTCTCTCTGAATTGCGAATTATAACTTAAGTATTACTGTAAGGTATGCCGGGTGACGTGGCCTCTGCATGTGCAGAACTTTTCTGTGATACAGTTTGCGAGCCCATTGAGTAGCAAATTGTTGTGGTAACGTCCATCATTCGATATAATGCGCTTCCAAATCTTTGGGACTATTTAAGTGAAAGCTGTTATACGGGTGCGTAAGGTTTTGTGAACGGTTTTGTTGTTGAGTGACGTTTCATAGTGCCTTACAGTCGATCTGTTTGATTAAAAGAAAATCATATATTTATCAGTTTTTAATTCTTTGCTTCTTTATTTCTTTTTTTGTTTGGAGAAAAAAGCCCTTCTTACGTGCTTTTGTTTTACTTGTCTATGTTTTATAGGTAATAGTAAATAAGAAACCCCATGAACACCTTGGTGTGATGATCGTGGAGTCAGGCTGGGGATCCATGATACCTTGCGCCATTATCGCTCATCTGGCAAAAGACGGACCAGCGGCTAAGTCTGGCAGGCTCAATGTTGGTGACCAGATCCTCTCGGTCAATGGTACAAGTTTAGTCGGACTCCCTCTACTGGAATGTCAAAATATCATCAAGGTATGAAGGGATGTTATCGCATAGAGAGGCACTGCTCTAGTGGTTATCACGACCAATCAGCAAGCTTTTTACCACGTGACCAAGTTTTTTCCTTTACCTCTCGTTTACTGTTCATTATGTTTGTCTCCGAAAATCCGGTTGGAAAGCAAATTGAACACGACTTTTCGGGTCGTTTCAGTGGAAAAATTTCCTTGAGCAATGGAACGCCTGCAAAGGTAGTCTTGTTTTCTGGATCAGAATATTCCAAAGAGCCTTCTTTGATACCAGTTTCAGGCTTTTTACGGTAAATGAGCACCGTACTTTTCGAAGTATTCATGAAGTATTCATGTAGATTGCTGTCCTTCGTTTCAGGGTATACGACCAGCCACAAAGGTGATAATGAAAATCGTGTCGTGTCCTCCAACTGTACAAGTGGTGGTCAACAGACCGGACACAAAGTATCAATTAGGATTCAGCGTGCAAAATGGAATGGTAATTCTGTTTTTTTCATTTACAGTACCCTTTATACAAACGACAACGTGTTACTAGAGAATGTATCGCCTCTTCTCTTCCTGTATGGAATAATACAGATGAGAGGAACTTCCCTTTTGTAAGGAAAAAAATAAGCGGTTTTCCCCTTGTTTTTGAAATCGCGGCAGGATTAGCTCAGTCGGTAGAACGCTTGATTGCAGAGCGGGAGGTCGCGGCTTCGATTCCCGGGACCGGACCAATACTCAGGGTCTTAAAATGACTGAGGAATGAAGGTACTGCCTTTGCCCTGCAAATGGCTAGACCTTCCCGTGGTTCGGATGAACACGTAAACTGGCGGTCCCGTCTCCAGTAGGAGAAGTAAAAATAGGTACCCAATTAGTACTTTCGTGCTAAATATATTGACACTCGAAAAAAAAGTGCATTTTTTTAAAATTTCCCAAATGGTTCAGGCGTCTAGTGCGTTTGCTGTATGATCATCCGGAGCTATTATCCCGCAACTTACGTTCCCCTGGTTTTAAAGGACGGTACAGGCTCGAAAAGGATTGTAACTAAGTGTTCACTGTTTAAGACTTTCGTGTCGTTTTTTCTATAGATTTGTAGTCTCATGCGCGGTAGCATAGCTGAGAGAGGTGGAGTTCGAGTGGGACATAGGATTATAGAGATCAACAATGAAAGTGTTGTAGCCACGACGCACCAACATATAGTAGAGCTTCTGGCTACTACAGTGGGGGAAGTGAGTATTCATCCTGTCTCTCTCATGTGCTCCTATGCTTTTGTTTGATTGTTTGTTTTTTGCCTTAAAAGCAGCTGCCTATCATGTTACTGTACGTGCCTATCACATGATATTGCACGTGCTTGTCACATGTTATTACACTTGCTTATCACATGGTATTGAAGTTGCCGCGGGCGTGCTTTTCAAGCGTTGAAGACGTTAGATCGATTCCGACGATCTTAAGGGAAAATAGGAGATTGTGAGTATTTGACACTCATCCCCAGGTCAGAATAGGTATCTTTCAAACCAAGATGACCGCTCGTAAGGGTAGTTGTTCGATCCCGACGATCTTACGGCGGAACAATAGGGGACTGTTAACAACCACGAATACGTTCTCATTGCCTTGCGATTATTTCAGTGTGGTTTATTCATTTGTTGTTTTCATAGACGTTTTTTCAAAGGGACGTTGTTTAGTTATACCAATTATTTACTATGAGACTTGACTTAAGCTAAGACATTAATTTAAACGACACATTTACATCTTCAGAATAAAGAAACATCAAAGTAATATCGTAAAGATATGAGGGACCGCTTTTTTTCAGATTCGCATGAAGACAATGCCTGCGTCGATGTACCGTCTTCTAGTTGGTTTGGAAGCTCCCCAGCACATTTGAGGTGATTAGAGAGAGGATTCATTCTACAAGTACAAGACCTTGTCGCCATTGGAGACTCTGACTATGTTAAATAGAAAACGTTTATCACGCAGTCGCGGATACTTTGCCCACCTTGAATCGTGCCGCCGTGGTTACGTAATATGTCACGGCAGCAGTTCTGTGGAGAACAGTGAGCAGGCGACAGCTTGTACTAAGTACTTTTAAATGTTGAAATATACGTTTGGTATACACCCGCTCTGCTCACTGTGGACGCTTTCAGGAGGAATGAAAAAGACATTTTTGTACGGTTCAAGTCCACAGTTTTAAAACGTATTATTTGGGAATATTCAGTAGATGACAAACTACGAGATATATAAGAAAAAAAAAAGAATCACTTGGGCTTTCAAGTAACGGAAAATTGAATAGCAGAAAAAAAAATTATTTATCGAAGTAGCAGCACGTTTCTACCTCGTCAATCGCAAGACTGTTTATATAGCAAATCATTTCATAGTTTTTATTTATAGTGCTGTAAAATAGGTAAGACTAACGGTCTAAATTCTTGCAGCTACGCATTTGCCAGTAGACATCTTTCATTTGCCAGTAGACACGTTTTCTCACTGTCTACGACTGATTACAAAGCGGCAAGACATCTTTGTTTTGTTCGAGAATGCGGTTACTAAATGGTGCTGGAACAATTTGAAGACGTAGTTTCAAAGTATAGGCTTCGCAGTTAACATCTTTCTAAAACAGACGCTAAAGGCGTAGTCGAAAATGGCCCCGTTGTTTGCTCAGAGGGGATTTTAGCATCGGCAATGGGTCCTGGAAGTAGGTGTCACAGACCATGCCCGTACATTCTCAAATCTCGTAGTCCACGCTCGTAGCATGGAAGTATTTTGCCTCAAACTCTTGTAGCAAAACGAGTAAAAACTCAGTTTGAATAGGTGTGTTTTACCCTAAATCTCGACAGGGGGTACTCACTTACACAGGCTGAATAGGTATGTGCGGGCGCTAATGAGTATGGTTTTTTAGCGCTTGTGGTCAGAAAGTGGGTATAGACTTAAACTGTATGGATCTGAAATAGGGGTAACGTTTTGTTCTCTCTGAAACCAGGGTCTGAAACCAATCGTCCCTTGAGAACACGTAACACCTGTTCAGGTCTGAAACTTGAATGTTCCCAAAATGTCCAAGAGTACCTCCCGGATCTAAACGGGCCTCAGGAGATTGTTACGTTCATATTGCTAAATTCTCTTCATGCACGTTCTCTATGCATGCTTACCGATCACGTTCTCGTCTTCGAGTCGACGTCAAGACTCTGGATGACTTGTAAAGAGCACAGTGACCAGCTGAGAGTAGTTTTCAGTGTTTCTCGTGCTACTCGGACAACCTATATCAACACCATTCGACGATAATCTGACCAGACTTGTAACACGGTCGCCTTCTGAATCGGATGACGCTACGCTCGGTCTTCTGTACAGCTACAATCGCACCACGATAAAACTAGAATCAAGGTCAAACATGACGTCGAACATGACAAAACCAATAGAGACTACGGTTATTTAAGTGCTATAGTCATTACGAGCAAGAAAGACCATGGATGAAAGGATGAAAGGTGGTCAGTTAATTTCATTAAAACACACTGATTCAGCAGGAATAGACCTGACATTTTTGTGTGTTCATGGTTGATTAAAGACATGTAACGTAATAAAATAAACCTGTGAGTTCGTGGAGAAACACCTTTGGGGCCATTTGTGTAAAATCTTCTCTTCAGGCGTGGCGACTTAAGTCTGACGTTTAGCCCAGTGAACTGACCCCTGACTCCTTTTGGGGAGGAGCGTTGCGCGACGAGACAAAAACGCCGGCGAGGAAGACTAAAGGCGCTTTGAAAAAGTCAGAACTGCCAGACCTGTCATTTTGAAAATAAAATGTTTGTCTTTTCTTATAATGATAATTTACTACAATCCAACACTGCCGTGCATACCATTTAGGAATAAACTGACTGGATAGTCCTGATTAATAGTGGAATTTTCTTTACAACTGGACAGGTCTAGCCAGTCAGTTCTAAGAAATGGTAAGAGCAACTGGTGTAACTAGCTTGAGGGCTCTGGCTAAGGGGGAGAAAAAAGGGACGTTCCTGAGGCGTGACTGCAAGCTCTCTTTTCATCAAAGTTCGGTGAAGTTCCAATGTTTTAATCCAAGATGAAAGGTTAATATTCCAAGATGCTCTTGATACGGTTAAAAATTAATTGTAATGTGTTTCCAAGGTCTCAAAGTTAACATAGTTCCAATGATTATCCCTGATTCCAAGGTATAATAAGTTTACTAAGGTCCACTCCTGATCCGTGTTCCATCCAGAAGTCCAATCCATGCGGAAAGCGAGTCGTCGATCGACGAGGACAATATTTTCGCTATTTCACCGCCAATCGTCAAGGGTACCAGTTGAAATTTACGCGATTTAACCTCCCGTCGTCAGCGTGTTTTCGATAAGAAAAGAAAAAACTGAACTCTAGCTGTGCTCGGCAAAAACTGGCGAACTCCGAATAGAAAAATCTATCGGAAATCATGGCCCGCAACCAGACGCTTGTCAAACGTTTTGAAAAAGAATCATGAAGGAAAGAAATAATTTGGTTTAGGTCGCCTTTGGTGACTTGTCAGTATCCCGAAGGATTTCGCTTGCTAACAAGCCATCCTAAAGCACGAGTGGGAAAACTCTAGCGCGACAAATTTGGCAAGGAACGTTCTGATTTCGACGTGGAAGCAAATCGATTAAAAATCGATACAGATTTTGTACAATCTGATTGGTCGGCTTGGAAGAGGAGCTATTCGATCAAGATTTTAGGCAATCCTATTGGCTGGCTTTGCAAAGTTGGGTACAACCGAACCGGATTTTTACAGGCACTCCCACGGAATCAACAATCAAGGTCACAATTAACTGCTCTGCGCCCTGTGATTTTAGAATCTTGGTCGTAGCGTAAAAGCCCTTTACCGTATTTCAGTGTTTTCAGTTTTGTTTTTAAAACGTTAGGAACTCTTGAAAAAGCTCTGAAAAGCCTGTGTGGGAGGCTATCAAAGTATCAATTCAATTCAATTCAGTTCTTTATTTCACACTATAAAAGATATTTATATATTTATATGAACGTAGGTAGGAAAATAAAGTAGCTGACAAATAATAATTAACTAACAGACATTAAGTTCATTTGTGTACAGTGTCCAAAGTAGCAAGATCTGCCCGCAGCACTTGACCGAAGTCCTTCGGGAACCAGTACAGTGGAACCTTGATATAACGAACTCCATAGAACGATGTCGATTTTCTTTACCCCAGTAGTAATAAAATATGTGGAAAAGAACTTCGATATAACGAAACCTCGTCATAGCGAACAAATTTTCCAAGTCCCTTGGCCCTACGTTATATCAAGGTTCCACTGTACTATACATATTACGGAAATAGAAAAAAATGTCGCTACTCGTAAAATTGTTTGTTATGCAGCGGAAGTACGTCAGCGTTTGCAGGCTGGAAACAAAGCGACGTCTCAAAAAACTTTGGTTTCCACGAAGACACACGCGGTACAGTAAACAAAACTGACAGTAAATCTAAACCCACTGCTGTTTCTGGAAATTAAACCCATTCATAAGATAAATCAAACTGCAGCCGGCAAGGCGACACGAAAACAAACTGCTCACCAGCTTAGTTTAAATCTTGTTGAATGTAGGAAGTTGGAAGTATTAACTAAGAAGTAAACGGAACTTGAAAGTCCTGCTTTCCCAAGCACGTATATAAACAGATTTAAGGAGCTACTGTCACTGAAACCGGTCTTTCGGAATTCCTGTGGAGTCAGTCTCCGGCAAGTCAACTGTAGGAGATTCGCTGTCCAGATCGAAGGTACGTCAGGCTTGTACACCCTGTAGTGTATATTTCGTATTCGTTTTTCGTAAGTTAGGGCCTTTTTATTTGAAGTGCGTCAGGTTTGTTGCGAAAACGAAGACCTAAGACCTGAAAGCCCAGACCAGAAAACAAAGACCCGAAAACGAAGACCACCGAAAATTGGGGGTACCCGAAAACGCAGACCCGAAGACGCGTAGGCCGCAGTTGTAAGTAAATAGGGCAAAATAATTCCAGTGATACTGATCGAACTTTTGGAGCGGCCATGTGGCCCTTTTTCGTTTAATTACTCATTCCTCAGGAACAAAAACACACGGGTTGAGCGAAGTTCTTAGGACCATCCTGGTATCTGAAATGTACCTTCCGAGAAACTTGTGGTCACTTGTTGCTCTTTCATCACCATCTCTCCAAACGTTTTGGCGTAAAAATTTTGACCGTTACTTTGTATTCAATTATACGTCAAGTGACGAAAATTGGAACTTCTGAAATGTCGCATGTTGCTGAGAAATTCTTTATAATGCAGTGAAACCTCTTTTAAGCGGACCCCCAATTAAGCGGACACTAAGCCGGGTCCCGAAATTAAAGTCTAATATTTTCCTTTGTAACGAAACCCAATTCAGCGGACACCTCTATTAAGCGGACGCGGACACGGAAATAGATTGTATTTGGCCAATTTTTATTGTTAAAAACCTCTATTAAGCGGACACCGGACTGAATGGACAATACGGAGCTTTAGCCTGTAGCAACGGCCACGGCAAAGAGGACATCAAAAAAGCAATAGATTTATGATGTAAAACAACAACTTTGCACGCTTTTTTGTACATTTCTTTACCGTCCTTGCACGACTACGACGTGAAAATGCCTAATTGCAAGTTTTATGGAGGACGTAAACAAGCGAGGACGAATCTTTTTTTCTCTCTCTAAACTTGAGTGCGGTCCTCAAGAAATTTTTAAAACTGAAGAACCAAGAACGAGAAGTCCAAAGACTACTGCAAAGCTGATTTAAGACAACGTGTATTGTTTTTTATAACAATATTTCGGCTGGCCATACCAGCCTTCTTCAGGTTTAATTTTTAGAGATGTTACTGAACTTATATCGCAATCACAATATTATATAAATGGAGAATGTCGCAATAAACATTGTTTAAAAGGGAGAGGCGGAAATGACGTACAACACAAAAACTGGAAAGGAAAAATACTAAAGAGATGGATTACAATAATTCGTCACGGCGGTTTAGGCAATGAGGTTCAAGTTTCAAGGCCTTATCTATCAAATGCGACTGCCTGGCCTTAAGACTTTAATCGCAAGCATGCGCACTTCATCCGACGCGCACAAAGTCTTGACAGTACCCGCACATAGCCGCGTTAGAGAAAGTGAACAGTTTTGCCTGTTGGATCTTCTACTCAAATACGTTTCCTTTTCCTCAGCGATCAAAGAATCTCAAAGGACCAATATTTCCCATGTCTTGAAACGAATGGATGCTAATATTTTAGTGTCAAACCTTTCTCTTCTCTTTATTTCACCATGGCATTATTATTGAAAACGAAACAAACAAAATACACTTCTGTACCCCGAGATCAATTAAAACGTTAAAAGTGGAACATTCCGTCCAGCTCAACCAAACTTCATCAGCCAAAAATGTGTAAACATGTCTTCTCTTCATCTCTCATTAGGTAATTCTCGAGGGAGATACAATGCGCGTTAAAATAGTGTCAGAGATGCTACCTTATTAGAAGCCATTGTCTCTACAATATCTATTCAAAGAGGGCTTTCTTGTGGCTTTCTAGCTTGACCGAATCTCAGCCGGTTGCCTTATGCTCTGTTCAAACGCCATTTGAACGTTTTGCTTTTTATGGCAAAAAATTTTGTTTGCTAGAATCCACGATTCAACTTTTCTTATATGTACAGTATTAAACTGGAAATTTAATTCAAGTAAGGCCTAGGCCAAACGTCGAACTATTCATGAGACGAACCAAACTCTAATTTGGGTCGACCGAAATTAAGTTAACATCGTCTGTTGGGTCACACGTCGAACTTAGGACGCGTCGAACCAATCAACAAAATCAGACCAAAAAGCAGTATCAATAAATTTTCTCCCAATCGAGGCTAAATACTGCGCGACATTACTCGATCTCCATGAAACACTAACACTTATTGCAGGTCATAAAGCTTTCCCAGACTCAGAGCGGTAAAAGTAACATTTGGTCAGATTTTAGAATACTCTATGCACTGCACAACCTTAGCGAAGGAAAGAAAAGGAGGAAAAAGCTAACCCTGAGGTCATGTTTTTACACTACCACGAGCTTATGAGTCGTGTTTAGCCTTCAAAACTGCTGATTGGTCACTTACCGCGCGAATGAAACAATGGGAAAGGAATGGTGTTCTCGGTTGAGCAGGTGTTGGACGGCAAATTCCTAGCCTGCATAACAGGCGCTTTATGAGCTAAAATTCCCAACTGTAACAGACTATACTATTTGACGCTATTAGCTTCATTTACCTTTGCTTTCCTGTGGGAATAATCGTAGGCACTAAACAAAACGCACCCAAACTGTCACGGCGGCCAAACAAACTCCGATTCTGTGTAAACAATGTTTGATGAACTCTAATGCAAACAATATAACTTTAACCCGTGTATTTCTTTTATTATATTTATTTCGTCCGTTTTTCTAACGATCTGGAACCGTTTGCTTCACAAACCGAAACTTTATCTTATTTAGAAATGTTGTCCATCTCGTTCGGTCTTCGGATTAACCCTTGAACGCCATTAGACCTGGGCGATTAGACCAGACAAGGTTTTTTAAAATACAGGTAAGGTTCAAAATCATTTACCTGTTGGCTGGAGAAAGTGATCACGCTGATGACGCCAACGCCAAAAAAAAGTTGTTTACTCCAAAGGTCTAATCGATGGTTTCAAATATGCCATCGAATCAATATTTTTTGGGTCTGTTTTGGCTTATAAGCCAGAAGCAATGATTCTTTTACTTAAAATAGTCGGTCTTTAAAATAGTTCATTGAGTAGGTCAGTGAGGTTTCCACCTGATCGCTACCACCGTCTGATTAGAGCGAAATTTTCTCAGTCA